AGTTGATTATCATATCATATCAAATCCAATCCAATCCAATCCAAATCACATTCAATACAAAAGCAAACCAAAAAATCCAAAAAGTTATTTAAAAAATTCATAAATATATTATATTTTGTATAGGTATCATGCATGTATACGTATCTGTATCTGTATCTACAAAGCCATATCCATATCCATATCCATCCATATCTCATAAAAGCTAGCCAGATAGCATAGCTAGCTAGCCTACTCATCCATCCATCCATGCATCATAAGTTTTAATAAAACCCCAGCCCGCCGGCCAACCAACCCAAACCAAACCATTGTCCCCCTCCCACCAAAAACAAAAACAACAAAAACACCATGATTGATTACTACCTAGCTAGGTATTGAATGTACTGCGTAAGATTACATCCCCTTTGAGAAAACAAAAAAAAGCCTCCGCTTTATCAATTACAATTCGCGTTATGAATCGATTGATTGATCGATTAATCAATCAATCATCTAAACTTCAACTTTCTGACCACCCTCAGCATGTTGAACATGTTCAACACCAGACTTCTCAGTCATACCCATCTCATCTGCGAAAGTGGAGTGAGGAACCCATTTAGCAGATGTACGGGGGGTAGTTTCTTCCAACATGCGATCGACTTGTTCGAGGGAGAGACCCTTGGTTTCAGGAACAAGGAGATAGGCATAGACGAAACAACATGTGCAGAGGGAACCCCACATGAAGAATACCTTTGCGCCGAGGTTTGCTTGGCCTTTTTCGGTACCGACGAGGTAGGGAGTGATGACGGCGATGATGCAGTTCCAGAGCCAGTTGGAGGCGGTGGAGAGTCCGACTCCGCGGGATCGGATGGGGAGAGGGAAGACTTCACCGATGACTACCCAGGCTCCGGGACCCCAGGTGGAGGCGAAGAAGGAAATGTAGATACAGATGAATGCGATCATGGCTGAGACGGCAGAGGTGTTGTTTTGCGAGGCACGACCGGCGGTGACTCCGATGATTGCGACGATGAATTCACAGACTAACATACCGAGGGCACCCCAGATGAGGATTGTACGACGACCGAAACGTTCAACGGTGTAGAAGGAGATGGGGGTGGAGCAAACGTTGACGAGGGTGGTGATTAAACCGATGAGGAAAGGGTTGGAAATGGTACCGAGAGCTTGGAAGAAGGTAGTACCAAAGTAGAAGATGAAGTTGACACCGGTCCACTGTTGCATCATTTGAAGAGAAGTACCGAGGATGGTTCTGCGGAGGTTGGAACCAGGGTTGCGGAGTGATCCCTTGAAGCAGTTCATCCATGAGCCGAAGTAACCGGTTTGAGGAATGACGGACATTTCGTATTCATGGTTGGCAATGATCTCGGTAAGTTCTTGTTGGATGTATTCACTTCCTTCTGGTTGACCTCTGAGACGAGCAAGGTTGGCAGCGGCACGATCAAGGTTACCCTTCTTAACATAGTATCTTGGGGATTCAGGGAGAAGGAAAAGACCAAAAGCTAAGATGAGAGCCCACGCGATTTGAAGACCGATTGGAATTCTGTAGGAACCAGTATCCAAACGATTTTGAGTACCATAATCGACGCAAGAAGCGAGGAGAAGACCAATGGTAATGCAAAACTGGTAACCCGATACCAAAGCACCACGAACCTTCTTGGGGCAAATTTCCGACATGTAAAGAATGATGGTGGCCGAGACGAAACCGACACCGAAACCTGCAACCAGACGACCAGCTACGAGGAGTCCGAGACCAGTAGATGCAGTTTGTAAGATGACACCGATGATGAAGATGATACAACCGAGAATGACAGTAGTACGACGACCGATCCAATCCGCGAGATCACCAGCAATGATGGCGCCGAAGAATGTACCAGCGGAGAGAATAGAAGTGATTAAAGATTTATCCGAAGCGGGAAGAACGAAAGCATCCTTCTCGGCTTTTGATGCACCAGGACCTGGAATAGCTTTGCCAGTCTAGAAATGAAGATGTTAGTTAATGTGTATGGGATGATGGGTGATGAGACATGACGTACATATAAGTTGATGAAGTAGGGCATTCCCATAACACCAGAGATATAACCGGAATCATAACCAAAGAAGATACCACCGAACGAAGCAAAAGCACACATCATGTATGCCTTTGCAGTGACGGGAGCCTCGATGCGGGCCACATCTGAAGTAGCAGCCAATCCACCTGCCATTGCTGCGGTAGGCTTGAAAGTACGAGAGGGTAGGAGAGGAGAGGAATGAGAAGATGTCAAGTAAAGGAATCACTCAAGATTGAATGGCCGAGAGAAGAGGATTCAAGAAACCTTACTGAAGTGAAGAGACTGGGGAAAAGAGGAAGTAAGATGGAGGGATTTCCAAAGCTTTTGTATGCAGTGAGCCATGACACTTGAGAGATTGGGGTAATAAGCGTAGGGGACTAGGATTAAACGCTTGCATGGAAGTTCAAGTCAGGCGTTGGTAGGCTTTTGGTACGGAGAATGTTGACCCAGGAATCCTCACGAGCAAATTTCTCTCCAGATGGGGACGCCGCTCTCCACTTCCTCTTCCTCTTCCACTTCCACTTCCACCTCGCCACGCTAATTACCCCATGTCTTTGATGATCTCTCCAGTCTCCAGACGTCTAGACATGTTTTTAGTGCATTTGGTACTAGTGCTGTACAGTGTACTCCGTACATGAAGCTAGGTAGGGATGGTTAGGCGAGGCATTGGTCTGTGCAGTACCCCGAGTAATCGGTCCGTTTTGTAAGGGATTTTCTCCATACGCTAGAGTTGGGGAGAGCCTGGAGTGAATTGAATGAGTGTAATATGTATAGTATTGACAGCGGGATAGGTACAGATTACAGTATTTCCCTAGTCGAATTTACGATTAGCTAGGTACCTACTGTAACATCCTCGGTTCAGCTGGATTATTACAAAAGTAGAGGCTGACTACCAGGTGACTGATATTATTGAATTGAAGACAAGAAGACACGTGATTGTTTAAATTGATTATCAGCTAGTATTTAAGTAGGTACGCATCACTGAGTATAAATTGAACAAAATCTAATTATGATTATCTAATTTCCCTTCCTTTCCTCTAAATATCATCCACTAGAATTCATCATCACATTTAATAAAAAAATCTCTTCACTCATAAATTGTAAGTTGGTTGTAACTTGTAAGGATACTTACAAAAAGAAGCTAAAAACCGAGTAATTTCTCAATCAGCAAAAGAAACGATCCATCCAAAAGAATGGTTCGTTCATTCATTCATTCACCCAAGCTCCAATCGAAACTCCAACTAATAGTAGAAAGAAACAATCAAGGTAATTGGTCCAAGAAATGTCCGTGTCCTAATGTACAAAGTTTAAATTCTCCATGAATTGAAAAGCTCGCTCCTAACAAAATATATTTTGAACGAGCTGTCATTCCCGAAACAGTCATGCCCGATGCATGCATGCGCCATGGGGTACATGGATTCTCCCCACAGCGGGTTTGGGTTTGGCCCCTCGAACCTTTTCCTTCCGCATGACTTGTCTCGAGCCTCTCTTTCGTGGCATGTTTGTTGTTTGTTTGCATTTAATGTATGTATGTATGTATGTATCGACTTTGCCAACGCGCTGGTCCCCTCGATATTAGGTATTGTAACGTTGTCGATACTTTAAAGATAGTAGATACAGTAGGTAGGTACCAATTAAAGATGTGCAGAGGAGAGTAGGTACTCCATACATACATACATACATACATACTCTGTACATAATTCACCGAATTTTGGTCTCTTGTTACTGCATATCCCAGCTGAGGATCATTTCATGCATACGACCCCCCTTGTTCAGTGAAAGGAAGGCAAGTTCAAGCAAGCAAGCAAGCCATCAACGTGATCATTTTTATTATTATCATTATTATTGTAAGATCTTAGGTACTGAGTATAATAAGAGAAGATATATTTATTAATTTCGTTTTCATATTTGTTGTTAGTATTGATTTTTGAATGAATAGATGAGTGAAACGTGTTGGCTAGGTAGCTCCATGTAAGATTAATTGTAATTGCCATTGTCATTCTCATTGTCATTATTCTACAGCGGTATTCAACTCAGCAAAGAATTTTACACCAAGTGGTTTGAATTTCGATACCAAAAAACCCATTACGAGAACTTCTGGATTCAGTTGCTTGATCCATTTGTTCCAACTTCCAAATCCCAAGATCGAAAGCTTCTAGGCTTGATACTCCGTATATTTCCACGGGATTAGTTTGGAACTTGAAGTTTGTTTGGGAGAGCTGGGCTGGGAAGGTAACATTAAAAAAGTGTCGTCGGCTATTAGTTCATTTTTTTAGGTGTGCATTGATACCGAGTATTGGGACTGAGCCACACCTTAACTTGGCGCTAAAATAAACTTATTAAATGGAGAATGGAGAAATCTTTTCGTTTGTATGGGAATTTGTAAGTCATTTGTTGGTTACTCTAGTCTGGATTTTACGGGCTGTCCGTTCATTTGTTCTGGAGTCCAATCTTTATAACCTTAATCGAATCATGCAATGTGAGAAGACTAAAACACACAGCATGACCCATCTAGATTCTGGAACTATCACAGCCAAACTCGTAATTTGAAATCTTTTAGAAATCTTTTCCCAGCTGTCTGAGCCGAATGATAGAAATAATAATAATCCGTATTCCGTACTGCATCCCCTTCCTTAATCCTGGTGACCAAGATCAAAACTTCCCTTCCAACAAAACCCATTGGGCTGTCCGCCGTCCACCCGTTTGTCGGCTGTACCACCGCAAAAACGTGTTGTGTTTCTTGGCATGTCGACCCGCTGGGATTGCATAGTGCTTGGCTTTGTTGTTAAACGCCGAGTGAGGTGAGGATATAATGGTGGTAGCAATACTCAGCGCTGGGATAACCGTGGGATGTAGGATTAGGATGTTGATATTATAGGATTGTGAAGAAGTTAATTGAATTTGTATGAGCGCCTATGAATCATTGAAGTCATGTAGGTAATTTATAATTTACGATTTCATGTTACCTAGATATTGTCGTTGAAGTATAAAACTGTCGATGAAATAGAGTTGTTTACATAAATCATTAATCACACATAACACTTTGTTCAGTGGAGAGAAGATTTACCTATCTGTCTGTTTCCACCTTTTCTTTTTTTCCCTTACTTCCCCCTTTTTTTCCTTTCCTTCCAACCAAACTCCACTCATCTCCGAAGTTTTTTCTCTTGCCCACAATTACTCCAAACTCCAGAAAAAAAAAGGAAAAAGAAAAACAATAAAACCCCAAGATCCCCACTCCCCGCTTTCCCATCACTAATCCCATCCCTAATCCAACACCTACCAACACCTACCAACACCTAACCATAATCCCACATACCCTTAACTCCACAAATGCCTTACATGTTTTAAAAAACTCCCCCCAAAAAGGAGATATCCGCATTTACGCATAAGCATATGGAGGTAATCGGCCCTTTAAACCATATACTTTTTTCACCCATTATTCAATTTCCCATCTTTCTTCCCCCATACATACGAAATCTTGTCGGATCCACTTTTCAATCTCCAGACCGTAGTAATCCCACGACGAATCCCCCACTATTCCAGAATCCCCCAACTTTTCCCTTTTTCCACTTTTCCCAAACTTCCTCGCATCGCATCGTCCGTACTCTCAGAGGTATGTATGTATTACCTATGGTACAGAATACGGCCTATTTTCCCTATTGCCGGCCGAGGTTCCCACGAGAGCCCGAGATTGGGAATTTTGATCACGAGTTTCGTATTGAGGCTGAATGGGGTTCGAAGTACGAGATGAATGAGAAAGTGGAAGGATTTGCTCGTAGGATCTAACATCAGCTTTCACAAATTCGCTTCTCGGTCTAAGTTAAGGTTACATCTTAAGAGCTGAGTAAATGGTCCTGACTAAATCGTGTGTTACAGTATATCCATACAAAGTTTGATTGATGACTGTACTTTTATCCTTTTGATAGTCGCCCGAAAACCTGGAATCGAGATGGTATTATATTACATAGATCGAGCTTTTCAGGCTGTTTGTGAAAGATTCGCTCGGTGCTGACGCCTCAATCTTACCGCCGGCAACACAAGATTCAAAGTTCCCACTCACCGTAGCAACACCGATTGGATGAGTTGAAATCATCAGATTCCCCAAAATGTGAGAAGTGTTCCTCCGGCCCCGGATATAAAATTTTCCTATTCTCCTTTACCAGCCATGAGATTTTCGCCTCTCGCATTATTGAACATGATCATGTGTTCCTAGGACCTAAAGGGATGTAGGGTTAGGGTTTTGGATAATTGGCGCTGATTTTTGATTTTTGGGATCCATAATAAGACCGCATAAGACAACGGGAAGGGAGAAATTGTTCCAAAGAAGCTTCAAGCTCCGATCCCTAAAAACGCCTCTTCATCTGGTGGCGTTTTCGGCTGGTGTTTCCGGATATCGGTGTACATATTCACATGACTATTTTCTTTGGTATGGATTCTGGATGAGCTTTCGGGAGAATGGTCGCGCGCGGTGATTGTAAATCATGGGGATACAGTAGTTGGAAGTTGGGAAGGTTTCTCGAGGTGGGAATGAATTATAATGCATTCATTTCATGTTTCATGACTTTTGCTTGGAGCTCTTGATTATAGTCATTTTCATTTTTTGGGGAAGTACAAGCTTGGCGTGGCATAGTTTCTAAATGCAGAAGTAAGTCCAAAGCAAGTCATCAATCATGCCAAGTGGCCTTTCATTTCTCCTCTAGTTTTAAGTCTGCACATGCAAATATATGGACTGCTTACTCATTTCTTTCCTTCCTTCCTTTCTTCTTTCTTTCTTTCCTTCCTTACATTCTTACTTCTTACTTCTTGCTCCCTGAAACCATCATCGATCGCATCATAGAAACGATTCACAACATCACTAACATTCGCACAACTTAATATTCCCCTCGAGCGAGATTAAACGAGGTTCCGTATTCACCCTGAAGAATAACACTCTTACACGGATTGAGAAATCGTAACGTTGCGACAAATACCCATGTATATACGAATATTATGGCAATCACTCACTGATACACAAGAATGATTCTCGAACACGCGAAGAAGTCATTGAAATGCAGTATGATTCTTATGAATATACATATGTATGTATGCATATGTACGACGGGTGATCTGTGAGGATGGGTATCTTATGATGTAGATTGGGAGGTGTTTGGGTTTTGGTGAGAGATGGGCGGCGAGAGGTGAGAGGTGAGAGATTATGATGCTCATGATCGCGGTACAAAGTTATAGTTACCTAGGTACCTACTTTATATCTTACGGTGAGGAGTTGGTTATCTTTGAGACTGTACGGCGGGAGGCGAGAATACTTGTATACTTGTATATCCAGGTACTTGTATACTTTGTATACCTAGGTACTTGTACTGATACACACATTGTGCATTATGTATCATATTATTGAATTCGTGTATAAGTGAAACAGGATAAGAAAGGAGTGATTATATATTTATTCATTTTGTAAAAAATTTTAAAATTCCTACCAACTTTAAATCTTTGTATTACAGCTATGAAAAAAAATCTTATAATAGAGTAATTAAATACTGTAATATTAATTAAAAAAGCTAGAATCGGATTTTAAGGATATTGAGATTCGATTATTCAATTCGTTTTCGAATGTAATATAGAGTACCTGAATACACAGTCGTGATAGAGCATGAAGGAGGTGAATATTTCAATTTTTTTTTTTTTTTGGTTAAGAGTGTATAATTTGATGATTGGTAGTGATATGATATTGACAGTGGAAGTAGTAATTGGAGGTACTTGTGATTATAATGATGATAGGGGGAGATCCAAAGGAATGATAGGGCGATTGTTTCGTTGGCATTTATTTTGCGAGATACTCATGCAAGATGCTGAGTTACATCGTTTCATGACTTTGACTCATCTTTAATATGGTTGTGATATAGTGGAAATTTCGCAGTGTTCTATTGGTGACTAGACGGGCTTGGTTCCCTAGTATTAGTTTTCACTTCCCCCATTCAAACATTAGAAGATTGAGGCTTTCAATCTCCCCAACCTGTATTAGCTACGGTCGAATAAGGCCAGCTACCCCCCATGTATTATTGTTAGAAGCCTACAAAGCTCCTAGCCGTCTTAGATAGTCATAGACTCAGTGTAGACGTTAATTTAATCAATCAATCTATTGGTGACTAGACTAGTATGATATAAAGGAGGTAAAATTCGGCAAGCTTCAACCACCAGTGTACCCGTATAGAAAGTAGATGGAGTGCAATCAAAAAAGAAGATAAATTTGTGCTATCAAGATACTTCCAAGTTTGTGCTTACTACGTTTCCAACTTCACGATATATATCCTTTCACCTATTGTCTTCTGAAAAATCCATCACAGACATATCCAAAATCAAGCAACAGAAACAAAGAAAGATTTCTCCCCTTCTTTCCTCTCCACCTTCCCCATCTCACTAATTTTATCCCCAACCGCCATTCTCAATCTTTCCACTGTAGCCGGACTATCCAAATTCCAACCCTCACTCTCCTTCTCCCCATCCTTCTGACTACTTAACCCCAACCCATTATCAATCCTCGCACTCCCCACCGCCATCCTTAGCGCGAAGAATACTCCTGCACCCAAAAACAAGGGAGGTTCACCCACTCCCTTACTACTCTGTACACTCTTCAATCCCTGCCACATCTTTTCTTTCCCCTCCTCATCTTTCAAAAAGGAAACATTAAAAATCTGAGGAATATCCGCAAATCCCGGTATTTTATACGTACCAGGTCCCTTCGTATAAAGTTGACCCTCACGTGTCCAAAGACTTTCTTCCATGGTAAACAATCCCAACCCTTGCACATAAGCTCCCTCAATCTGACCATAATCAATTGCCGGATTGATAGATCTCCCGATATCCATTAATATATCCGTTCTCAATACTATATGATGACCTGTAAGTATATCGAGTTCGACCTCGGTAAGAGCTACTCCTTGGGTAAAATAGTAATACATATCCTTCACTTTCTCCTTATCATAAACTCCCCATTCATATCCAATACGTGGCATTTTCCAAAACCCGCTAGCGGTCAAATGAACCCGATCACGATAAGCCGCATGTGCTAAGTCTTTCATACTTGCATCCTTTCCCATCTTTTCTCGATAAGGTGCTAAGCGCGAGTTTAATTGTTTACAAGCATCTAAAATTGCCATACCGTTCAAATCACTTCCTGAACTGGCAGCTGTGGGACTCGCATTTGCAGTTTGATAACTTGATGTATCCTGTGTGAAGATAGATGACATAGGCACACCTAGTTCCTGAGCGCATATCTGGGCCATCTTAGTGTATAAGCCTTGGCCCATTTCTGTACCCCCGTGATTTAATAGTACACTGCCGTCGCCATATATTTTGAGGGAGGCGGATGCTTGATTTAGATGAAGGGCTGTCGCGAATGAGAGACCGAATTTTGTGGGAAGTAGAGATATGCCACGTTTTCGGTATTTGTGCTCTTCATTGTAATTTTCGATTGCGAGGAGACGTTCGGAGTATTTTGTTTCGCTTTTGATTTTTTCCAATAGAAGAGGAATATGCCAGTCTTGATCGATTTTTTGTAGAAAGGGTGTATGGTCCCCTGGTTTGTAGAGATTTTTGAGTCTGAGTTCGTCAATGGGAATGTTGAGGCCTTCTGAAATAGCAGTCATGTACGTTTCTGCAAAGAACATGGCCTGTGGTCCCCCAAAACCTCGGAATGCTGTGTTACTATGTGTATTGGTTTTACACAAATGGCCTCTCAACAGAACGTTAGGAATTTCATAACAGTTATCGAAGTGCGTCAGACATCTTCCCATCACCGCAGCTGACATATCTCGTGAAAATCCGGCATTGTTGTATACATCCGCTTCCAGTGCAACGACCTTTCCATCAGATTTAACGCCGACTTTCCAGCGAGCTTGAATTGGATGACGTTGTCCAGTTGTCATCATATCTTCGTCTCGATTTAACATGCATCGTACGGGACGTTTAGTTTTCTTAGCTGCAACGGCAAGAAGACATGCGAGTTGAACACTACGGGACTCTTTACCGCCGAAGGCTCCTCCCATACGTTTTACCCGGGCATTGACACGGGAGCTGGGAACTCCAGTTACTTGAGCTACAAATTCTTGGGTTTCCATGCTGCGAGAATTTCTTAGCTATTGTTTGGACTAGAAAGAACAGTTGATTTGTCTTACCTGTTTTGAGTTGATGACCATACTTCATACGTTCCATCTTCCTTATTTGGAATCACCATCGATGCATTAGTTTCCAAGTAAAAGTGCTCTTGACCACCTATTCTAGTAGTACCTTTAAAGACTTTGTCACATGATGCCCAGACATCGTCCATTTTGTCCTCAATTGCAACTCCTTTCTTCAAAGAGTTTCCATAAGGAAAGTAACTGTTCGCCTCAATTGCTTCATCGATAGTCAAAATAACCGGAAGATCTTCATACTCAACTCGAACAGCTCTCGCAGCAGCTTGTGCTTGTAGAGCAGATTCTGCATATACTAAACCTATAGGTTGACCATGAGAAAATACTTTTCCGTCGGCAAAGAATGGTTCATCCTTCACAATAGATCCCCAAAGATTTGCATCTATTGGGATATCGTTAATGTCGACGTAGCCCAAAGCAAGTCCTGACTCAATCGCTGGTTTCCAATCTACATCCACCAACTTCGCATGGGCACGACTTGACAAAACCATAGCACCAAATAGTTCTCGATGTTGTCGAGGCATATCATCTATGTATTCAGCTTCTCCTGTCGTCTGTTTCAAAGCTGATAAATGTGGGATTTGTTTCCCTACAACACGTTGTTCGTACGGGTTAGAGTTATCCCTGATACCTGAAGAAATACCTCGATGTATTTCATTGATGAGATCAGGGTCAACCTTTCCCAGCCCTAGATCAGAAACTACTTCATGCCAGAATCTAAAGAATAGAGATATGGCCAATGTTTGACGATATGATGCCATTCCACCAGGAACATCGTGTTTCAAATTAAATTCTTCGGCTAGACTTTTCATGGATTCATTGAGAGTCATTGGACTGTACCATGTTTTACCTCGCAAGAGCTTCATAGTTTTTTGTGCTTTGATAGTCATTGGTGCCATCCCACCATATACCAGTGATACTTGGGAGACGATACCATCTTTATCGAGTCGCACCCGAAATGCAGACGTCACAATTGCGATATCATCATCTTTCCTCTTAGCCTGCTTATATGCTTTGATGATCTCTCGAACATCTGATGGTGGCAAGGGAACTCGAACATCCACTATCATAGCATCAACTGGAAGTTTGGTAGTACGGTATGAAACGAAGAAGTCGGACATGGGTAAGTCCTTTCTCCCCTGGCTTTTGCTTTGGACCGTCAAAACAGCATCTGCTGCCATTAGTACAGGATTGATGTCTGAAATTGGGGAGGCTGTAATAATGTTTCCAGCAAGTGAAGCAATGTTACGAATTTGCCTTCCTGCAAAGTAACGCAATTGTTTCCTCATAGCTTCGAAAACCAAGGCTCTCTGCCCAAGCGTTTGAAATATCCTGCGACAAGCATATTCCACCTCTGTCAAGGGGGTGTTTGCCCCAAAGATAATTTCTGTACACGATTGAAGTTCACCATCTTGTGGTATATTCATACCTTGAAGTTCTTTAATTTCCGAAACGTAAACTGAAATAGGTAATGAAGTGTGTTTGAATCGGACCTCAACTTGAGTTTCACTAGCTCCACATACTAGCTTAGCGGCGGGATAGATCTGTTTAATCAGAAGCAGTTGCTCAAGTGTTGTCGGCAAAAGCCACATATTCGTGTCATTCCCATAATATAGCGGTTCTGTTGTGAAATTGTGGAGTGCCGGTGGAAATATAAGTTCGGTCTGAGGACGGTTAGGAATGAACGAATGTTGTATGTCTTTCGAATCCGGTGATATCAAGCTTTTCGAAGACATAGTATCATCGCAGGGGGAACTTATTGAGCTTTCGGAACGTTGAGTGAGGCTTTCTTTTGGAGAGTGTTCCGAAGAGCTAGTTCGAGATCCACATGAATCATTACCTGGCGAATCTCTACAGCAGCCTCCAATTCTTCCACAAGAAGCATTCTTATCTCTAGTTTCGACAGAATCAATGTCCGAGTGTAATGGAATATTAGGAAGATCTGTTTCAGGCGCACGCTCATTGACAGTATCTGACCTAGGTATGGATAGTTTTCCATTTAGGTCATCAGTGATAAATGTCTTTGCGGCTTGCAAAATAGGTTTATAGCCGGTACATCTGCAAAGGTTTCCATCTAGATGCCCTTCTAATTCCACATCATCTGCAGATAGTTGAAATAACTTTGATATCGGGTCGTAAGAATTCCTGATCAAGGCATACAACGACATGACAATACCAGGAGTACAAAAGCCACATCTAAAAATCGTGGTTAGACCCTTCATAGAATAATTTATGGTGTTAAAGTTTCTTACTGTGATCCGTGAAGCTTTGCTATACGTTCTTGTAGTGGGTGAGGATGTTCTGCATTTCCAAGACCCTCGATGGTGATGACATGCTTCCCAACCACTGCAATCCGTCAGCTCTGATCAAGAGATGTGTCTGTATGATGAGTTACCTCCTATCAAAGGAAAGAGACAAGCATTCACAGCAATATGCTTTATCTTTCGAAAGTCTGCAAATTTATCAAGAGTTTGAAGTACAACAGTACAGGCCCCGCATCCGCCTTCGCCGCAACCGAGCTTGGTGCCCTTGAGATCATCTTGAGACCTTATGAAGTCTAAGAGTGTCCATTGAGGATTCGGGTTATGAAGTTTTACCTTCGTCCCATTTAGGAAGAATTCTAAAGTAGAACCTTGAAAGAATGATTGAATCTCTGGTTTTAATTGTATCATGGCTAAATAAAAATGACGAGTGCGACGCTGAACCAAAAGGCTGAGGATCAAATATCTGAGAAGTCATTTTGCTCGAGTGGCGTAATACACCAGCAAGCATTGTGATCATGCTTCTAAGATGGGATGGTGTTGTGTATGCAGGGCGACGAATTGGGCAGAGCGGGGTGATAAGGTGCTTGTCCCCATGCTATGCTCCGTCACGTGAGCATTAAACCCACAGAAAAATCCCTATAGACCACTCACAGATGGGCCTTTTATCATCAATTGCATTCGTACATGTCAGGCCAAGATAGCTCGTCGCAGCCATCATTTGGCGTAAATCTCGAAGATTTCTTCGTGAACAGAGCCTTTCTGTGGTGCTCCGCAGGAAACTAGGGTAAGTTTTATGGAAATTACGCCAGGGATCATTTGAACACCAGCCATACTCTTCTTGCAATTTCTCTAGATGTTGACATTGTCCACAAAAGCCACCAGATGTCAATTAGGAAGGTGCAAGTGCAATAGCGACAAAAAGAGAAAGATTATGTATCAAGCATAGTGTTTGATCTTCTGGTGAAAGGCAGGTTATGAACTTCAACGCTTCTCGCGACCATTTCATCGTATAATGTTATCCTGCCTTCCACTACATTTCAAATATGCTACTTTTTGCTCCGGATGCGCCAATATCTTAAGCTGAATACGCGTTCCGAGATCGATACTCTAGGATCTCTGCATTACTTGTCAGGCATACACATTAGAGTGTACGAGACGTTTGATGGATGTGTCTCGATGGGAGACAAGTGCAGCACATTGGACACGCCGTCTGTAGCGAGTGTGTTGTTCGTGGCCGCGACCGCATTGTTCTGGCTGTTCAATGGAATCGACTCTGAAAATTTGAAGCAATTTGCATCTCTGGGTTCACATTCTCAGTGGATTGTAAATCATTGGGGACAGGCAAGTGTTATGACATGCGAACCGTTTGGAAGACCAAGACCAAGAGCTCCAAGCAAAAGCTTGCTAGGAATTTTGGAAAAGATTCTAACATAAGGGACATCTTCGTCGTCTATTTCTAGCTCATTGTTTGCACTCTTATTTAGATCTCTGGGTTAGGTGTTTTGATATCTTTAAGTAAAAGCTTTTGTCGTTGTTAGGCTTTGGGTTATTTATTATCATTCTCTCGTGAGAAACATCAAAAACCATTAAAGCCTCGGTCACAATTAATGGGAGGATTTTAACATCTCTTGATATATTGTGTGGTTTCGTGGTGACTGATGCTCTCTTGTCTAAATATTCTATGCTGGTTCTGGAAATGAGTAGCCCCAATCAACTCTTCAAGAATCCACCATAATATTCCTGCAACCAATTTACTACCTCGTCACCAACATCTTCACTTTCATTGGAAATTCCATGAAACTTTTTTAGTGAACCAACGTATCCATCAGGTCTGACATTCAAAACTACCATCTCATCATCTTCGACATCACCTACCCATTTGCTTGTACAACTTTTTCCATCTTTACAAATATCATCCACGTAGATCGTCCACCTACTCTCTTGCAAGCTCATTGGTAAGTCTGCGATCTCGAACCTTTCCTTGTTCATCTTTGTCACCAAAGCGTACGTGAACACCTTGCTCACACCTATATACCTGTTTGGCTGAATATAGTCATCCATTTCTGTCTCAAGTGGTGTGAATGCATGAGCTGCAGCAGAAATGCGAGCGAGAACCCCTGTGGGATCAGAAAGCTGCTTGAAAACATACTCCAGATAACCAGAGTACCGACGAACGTCTGGTAGGAAGAAAAAGATGCGAAATTGTCCAAGCAAAGGAATATCGAGCTGCAGATCGACAGGATTGGCGTCAATATATCTGGAAACTCTAGCCGGCGGCAATAGCGCACCAGGTTTCAATACGCCTCTATGTCTTTGGTCGTCTTCTCTTGCAGCAATTTCTTGTATGTTTAAAACATTCTCACCATATTCCGCAAGTCCGGATATAAACCTAACATTCTGTGCAAAGTTCTCCGCAAGCGCTTCAGGATCGCCAGCAGAGTAAGCATTGGCATGTTCAAAATCGAACGCGAGGAGGTCTTGGGCAACGTCTTTTCTTTCTTCTGTGTATGTTTTCAGAAGTGACGGCAGCGCAAGGGATTTTATGGTAAGGGCCAATTTCCATGAAAGATTGAAGGAATCATGCATCGATACATTCATACCTTGTGCTGCTTTCGGGGAATGGTTATGTGCAGCCTGTTCTATTATTAGACTGAGAGGACATTGAGAGACAACGCATTTTTCACTTACATCCCCAACAATGAAAACGCGCTGTGTGTCATCTGAGAAGCGTTTTGCTGCTCTTTGACCAAATCTGTATACCGCAAACCATTCTATCAAAATCAGCAATTTTCCAACTCACCGAGAAAATTTCACTGACCGATACGCTTCCATGTCAACTTATATGGACTAAAAATTTCCTCAGCCCTCTTCATCACAAAGTCTTGAACAACTTCTTTGGAGTCTTTCTCTGCCGTGTCTTGCAGTTCAATATAGAGTCTCGTCATATTTCGCTCTCTTGGTATGGCAAGTATTGCACCCTTCTCTGAATGAACCACAGTCTTGCTCCATAAATCCGGAAATTCCGTTTCAATGACTGCATCCAAAATACCCCATACACTCCCACTTTGGTCTCCTTCCATCTCTGCCCCATCTATACATTTTCTAACATTTGAATGGGCGCCATCGCAACCTACAAGGTATTTCGTTTTCAAAACCTTTGTTTTACCGCTTTGAAGATCTTGGTACTCTACATGTATATCTTCATTTTCAGATGTCGGCTTCACGAATCTCAGGAAAGAAGAATTTCTCTGCACTTCAACTCCTCGGGCTTTTAAATCCTGGATGAAAACATCCTCAATCATTCCTTGATGTATGAGTAAAAGATGCGGATCTAATAGATCTACTACATCTGTTGGATAATGGATTTCCCTGGCTGTACGATGCAATTCTTCTGTTGCTGTCGATTTCTGTACACAGTTAATTTTTATATGTAGAAACCGAATCGCGAACAACTAACCCAGAAGCAAATGTCATACACCTTAACACCTTTCTCGAGCAAAGCATCCGCAAGTCCTAGTTGCTTGAGAGTTTCGATGGTTTTTGGTTGTAAGCCATCTGCTCGACCTGTCGCGGTTGAAGAAGGCCTGTCATCGAGAATAGTGACCTGGATTCCGTATCGTAAAAGGGTACAGCTTGATTGTGTCAATGCAGATGCAATGAGTCTAGTGTAGCGAGGGAAGGACGGGTCAACTTACGCTAGCATAAGACCTGCTGGGCCTGCTCCGACAATGGTCACCTGATTGACGGTATCCATGGTGCTTAGTGGCGTCTGAATTAATTTCCTGCCAGGGAGAATTTCTAACAATGCGAGATTACACTCAATGGGATATTTCAATAAGAAATTTGTCCTCCTGGCTTTAGGCTCTAAAAACTATTCGACGGCGCAAAATTCAAAAACAATACCATCCAGTACATTCCAAACAAGTTCCTGTTAAGTTATTAAATAGGAAGGTTGCTTGACCTATCGCAATTGATAATGCGGGGTCAATTATTATCTATCAATACCTAGGTATTTTAGGTGTTGATCTTCGGTATTGTGGATAATGTAATGACAACACACACACAGTATGTCCGTTATCTTCTGACCAATGATTTGGACTTCCGCATGTTTGAGGGGTGACTAGTGTCATGCACGTTCTTATGATATCAGTCGGGCGGGGTACAGATACTGTGCTGAGGCGTATTTGATCGATAACCTTATCGTGCATATTCGATGATGTTATTGAGGAAGTCCTCAGAATAGATGTGGAGTGTACTGTACTCCTGAACATGCTATTTGCTTGATCGAGGATTTTCGTTTGGTGATCTTATTGTCGGCTTCAATATTCGACGTTGTATCTGATACTTACTATATCCTAATTGATTATTTCTCCCTTTGATTTAACTTTAAGGATTAATTAGATTTCTATATATCAAGTACCATCATGTCTACCTCAGCCATCCCAGTGAAAGAGAAGATAAACCGCAATGAAGCAAATAAGTTGAAGGTAGGTATCTTCATTGTTCATCCCTTGTCTCAAGATTAGACAACAATACTAATCGTAAAGCAAGGTGATAATAGTCGGTGCTGGTCTGGGTGGGCTAGGCGCTGCAATTGCAATTTCTCTCGCTGGTCACTCAGTAACCGTTCTCGAATCTGCACATGAAATCGGCGAAGTACGCTCCAATTGCTCCAACTTCCAGTTTTTGCCTCTCTAACAGACTATCAACCAACTAACACGTCTAATCTACCGCAGGTAGGAGCCGGAATCCAAATCCTACCTCCCACATCCCTCATCCTTCGCAATTGGGGATTGCTTCCCTACCTCTCTTCCCACAGCACTTCTCCTTCACATGTCAACATGATATCTTGGAAAGGTGATGTCATATCAACGATGAATACTAAGGAGAGCGCGGCACAGTACCCAGAAACTGTTTACTGGGATTTTCATCGCGCGAACTTACATAGGGGGTTATATGAACGAGCATTGGAGTTAGGAGCTAAGGTCAAAGTAGGGATGAGGGTGGTAGATGTGGAGATTCTGGAGGATGGAGCGAGGGTACTGGTAGAGAGAGGTGCTGATGAAAAGAAGATGAAGAATGAAGAGAACGAGGAGGATATAAAAGCCGACTTAGTAGTTGGTGCCGATGGGATCTTTAGTAAACTCAGGGAAGTCATGTTAGGACGAGAAGATCCGCCACATCTTACCGGAGACTTGGCTTATAGATTGTTGTTATCTACTAAGGATATGTTAGCAGATGACGAATTAGCAGATTTCGTGAAGAATCCGCAGGTGAATTATTGGTTGGGCCCAGATATGCACGCTGGTGTGTTTTTCTTCCCCTCCATCTTCAGGCTTTTTGGAAATGTGTTGGGATTAACCAAACTACTAGTAAACTACGTTCTGAGAGGCGGCGAACTGTTTAATATGGTTCTTCTTGTTCCAGATGATATGCCAGCTGGTGCTACTACTCTAGAAGGTAATGTAGAAGAAATGCGAGCGTTATTTAAAGATTGGGATCCGAGGTACTTGCCCTTTCTCCTCTTGTAGTACTGCCGCTGACACTACATTCATTTCCATTGATCAGGATACCAAAACTACTTAGCATGTGTGAATCAGTGTACAAATGGCGTCTTTGTACTCGTCCTGGTCTGGATAATTGGAGTCATCCATCCGGTCATTTCACTCTTCTAGGAGATGCTGTTCATGCTACTCTTCCTTATCTTGCTTCTGGGTATTGTTTACTTTTTTCCTTTCTCATTACTAGTGCTATCATGGTATTTTGGCGACGGTTGATTGCATATCTAATCGATGTGCAAGATATCCCTTTGTATCGGGAAGTCTCACTTGAATACTCCTTCTATCTTTACCCTGACATTTCTACGTACATATTTCTCATTTAAATCATCCAATTTTCATAGCATGTCTTACAATTTCCAATTCTATTCAAAATCTAACCTCTCCCGAAGTGCAGGAATGTCACTCGAAGACGCCGCCGTCCTAGGCGAGCTCCTCTCCCACTACCCCAATCCCTCCACCGCGCCCTCTTCTCCCAGTGCCACCCAAAAATCTTCCTTTCTCCGCCACATCCTCCCTATCTATCAAGCCATCCGCGCACCACGTACCCAGACTGTCGTCGAGCGAGGCAATACCCAACAATATCTCTATCACCTGCACGATGGCGCCGAGCAAATTGAGCGAGATCGGAAGATGAGGGAAGAAGAAGGAGGAGAAGCATTGGCGTGGAGGGATAAAGGTTTTGCGCCATGGTTGTTGGGGTATAGAGTTTCAGATGAGGTGAGTTCCTGTAGATGTTTACTGTTATTTCTATTCTTGTTTTTATTTTTGAGGATGGAAACCTTGTTTGGTCAGATTAGTAATGTTCTTCACTGTAGGTTGAAAAACATTGGATTCCTTTCTTAGAACAGTCCCAAGATGAGGCTTGTACAAGAAAGGCCGTTGATGATGGTCAAGATGGATCTCATGCTAGATTATAGCGTCCAACATAAAAGCCTTTTGATGGGGATTGATATATGAAAACCTAGTAAACATAATGCCAAATTCATATACCGTTTAAATAACCGCGATAACTGTGATATTCATCACCAAATATGACAATATCAGTGCCGTACCCGATTAAGCCGCATTCTCGTTAAAGGCAGGAGGAGCAGCGAACGTAACGTGATAGTTTCTGCATTAGTAATTCACCTAACTCAATGTAAAGAGGAAGTAAGAGAAGAGTGTTTGCTATAACTTTCTTCGATCCTCCCATCCTTCCTAAAGTCCTTCAAAAAGATTGTGAGTCACAGATCGGCCTCCGCATAAAACAGAAAGAGAAAGTTATCTCTCGACCAAGTGACTCTTAAAATTTACCAAAAACTCGGGAAGATTACCTGGGCTCATAAAAGTTCGCGACATCATATAAAATACAACGATAAAGTCTCTGAAGTCTCATCGAAAACAGTTTCATTGCTATCCATCCGACGTAAGTCCTACCTCACATATTTTGCAGACTAAAAGTCCATCCAATGAGGCAACGTTTTAATCTCAGTGTCCGAAAGCTGCTCAGCTACATTGATAACTGCGTCCGGGGTTCGATTGTTACCGATTAAATTCTCAAGTTTTTGGTTAATCCTATCTTAGGATAATGATGAAGTCTTCGCTGTGTAGTCTGGCGCTGCAGTAGTCATTGCTGTATCTTGTTAGAGTCGAGGAGTTTCGTGTAAATTTGGGCTGATGAATAGCCCCAGACTGGGTGGAGACTTCACTCAATATTGCTCGTACTATCTTTCAGGTAATTATCCCCTAAGAATTGATTATCTACTTCACCTCCATCCCCCCTTTTTATACCCGAGACAATAGAAACTACAGTAATACAGTAATACTAATATGCGTATAATGAGAGTTAAATAAAGCGATGCCGGAATATCTTACTGATTCCCTAAAGGTATCTCGGGCTAATATTGACATCTGAATGGTTTCATGTCTTAAGATTTTCACAATGATAATGGGTTTGACAGTCTGATGATAGATAATCTATGGATTCTGCGTTTAGGAGGCAAAATGGGGTATGATTCGACTTGATCTTTCAGTGAATTGGACTTTGCGAAAACAACCTATAAAATAAACAACACCTGTGGATATCAAGTCATATACCTAGGTACTCATAAAAAATGACTCAGAATAAAATCCCAGAATTTTGGGTAAAAATATCCCATTAGCTAGAGGGCAAGCCTCACCCTATACTTATTTTTATTCATTCATCTCATCCATATTTTTCACTTTATAACCAACACTGTATTTTTGCCACATACCCACCATCCTCAACAGATTAAATACCGGGTCTGATAAAAAGAAACAGGAAAAGGTAAGCCCCATTCTGTCCACCGGAACCGTCGATCGTATACACCAAAGGGAGAATCCAAGAACAAGACTATGCTATGCAGCGAGAATCGAAAGGATATTATACACGTGTGAGGATTCTCCATGCATTTTGTGAAAACTTTACTAAAACTCATCATTCATAAGGGAGAAAAAGAATCTCTAAACATATCCACCTTTGCATGGAGCACCTTATCTCTTACTCGCTGCCACGTTTAGACAGTCCAATACCTGTAAGTTATTAGCAGGAATGATATGATAGAATTGAAATAATGAGCTTACCTTGTCGCCGATGACCCCTTGGTTATAGAGATGTTTGCTGATTCCCTTAACAAGTTCCATTTGCTCCTCTGGCGTTAAACCGTTGATCACAGTTTCAATGACACCACCAAGTGATACTTTGTAGATAGCAATGAAGCTGTGGAAATAGACGTAGGCAAAGAAACCCATGATAAATTGACAATCCATTCGATCCGTGATTCCGCCGTGTCCTGGAATCGAGTCGCCGAAATCCTTGATTTTGAAAGTGCGTTTCAGTCCAGAAGCAAAGAATCCACCGAAAGGTGCAATGAGTGATGCAAAAGTTCCAAAAACAAGAATGTGACCTTGCATAGGTGCCATGGAGAAGGATTTCCAGACTGGAAACCAAATAGGGAGTTGATAGGTATGAGGCAAGAAAACAGGGTTTGGTGTACACTCAAGACCGGTCCATAGGTTGGCACCAAGATCCTGTCAGGCGTTAGTTGCCGTTCAAAAACTAATGGGAAACTCGACTTACATTTACAGGGCAAATGAAGTATTTGTACCGCATGAGTACGTTAGTCATGCCTACACCAAAAATGATTGTCAAAACCCAAGCACCAACAAAACCTTCGACGGTCTTCTTTGGTGAGAGTTTAATGAGCTGGGTTCGGCCAAACGTGATACCACAGATATAAGCAAATATATCATTGCAAATGACCAGAGACACCGGTAAGAAGAACCAAATCATTCCCTCAAAGACGTTGTTCATGATGAAATGGGCTTGGACCACGATAAGGTACAGGGCCATATGAGTCCAGGCGAATTGCGTGAACTGAAACTTGTAGTGACCTGCTTGAAGAGAAGCAACAAAGAATACGAATCCTTAATACTGTTAGCATTGCCCTATACATTCAATAAGTTCCCTTACCGATGGTGTAGAGCATAAAGCTGATGAACCTGTGATGTGTTGCAAACGGCAGCAAAACTTTATCGACCAATACTATGTGCTTGAAATAGTATATCACACTCTCGCCATATAAGAAGTACATGGTAGTGGCCAACCAATACCAATTCAAAGCTTTTGTGAAGCGTAATCGACGAGCTCGACTGGGTACATTTGCAATCGCAATGACTTCCTTGAAGGATATTATCTGCACTGCGGTGACAATCCCGATGATATATATATGCCCCATGAACATGGACGCAAAAAACCCCCCAATCATTACAAATGTCCATATCGATCGTGTAATAAAGGTCTGCTTCTTCTTCTCGTATTCCGATGGCACAACTATATCAGTCTGCGGCCAAAGTTATTAGCAAGTGCACCAAGATAATAGCATGGGCGCATATCTCACCTCTTTCTTCTCATCGCTTGCACCATCTGCCTTTGCTATCTTTGGAGAGCTTGGCTCCGAGGCAGCTTCACTGATATCGGAGAAACTGCTTCTGCGACCATCACTACCGGCGCGGCCATTTCGATGATTGAATTTAATCCCCCTTGGTTTTGCCATTTTTGCGTGTAAAGCTGGGAGATCGAGTTTGCGAATTCTACTGAGGTCTTGGCGATTGGATTTTCCTCTTCGCTCTTTCAATTATCCTTATCCGTAGCACCCAAAAAAGAAAGCCGGATCCGTCAAGAGTCTCTTCTAGTTCCACCACTCCACATGCGTAAGGATGAGATTGCCCGTAGAGTAAAACTGGCAGTGAGCAGAGTAGAATATCCTGAACCTCCCGAATTTGGTTGAGGTTGAAGTGGTCCTTTCTTTGTAAGTGGGCGTCTACTTTTTTAGTGATGCGATGCTAATAAGTTGTGGCTCCTCTTCACCCACTCCTACGTCAGCCCGAAAAAACCCTAGAAAAGATCAGAGCTCAGCGTTTGCTTGTGATATTCGCGTTAACTGAAGCCTGGTTTTAGGGAAGAAAGATGGGGAAAATTCAATACATAAAATGTTGATATTTATATTGACTTTATATTTTTAAAAAAGAAATTTAGTTCATGCAAACATTGTTGGGTATCATCAATACAACAGAACAATACGATTGGCTATATTAATAACTACCTGGTACTTGCTATTACCAGGTCTGCTACTTGTCACCCATTGAAAAGTAAAGAACAGCAGCATTTTCAAAGAAATTACCTTCACCTGTACTCCACTTTATTCGATCAGATGGAGCATTTTAGCCCGAGCCCCAAAAGGCGGTGGCAGAAACTCGATCCAATACAGCCTTCGGTGGAATTGAAAGCAATGCGAGTCTGCTATCGGCATTTTCAAAATAAAAAATTGAAACATCAATGTTCTCAAGAAATTTCTTATCCACAGAGATGGAATGGCTCCTCACGAAGATGGAGAGAATAACTTCTCCGATGACGATTTTCTTAACGATATACCAGCAGATGCCCTAGAAGAACTTGAGAACAATGCTATAGCATTCACCCAAGCTCAGATCAAAGCCCCTCCTTCTTCCGATTATGGGGAAGAGCTCGACGATGACGATTTAGATGATGCTGTCGTCGTCGATGAGGCCAGAAGTGTGCCTGCGGTGGCACCATATGTACCTCGAAACAATGTCAATCAAGCCACCCAACAAGAACAATTTCGACAGCAGCAGCAACGTCATAGGGCAAACATTGTGAACAGGCCTAGAAATTATATCGCTCCTCCTCGTTCCCGACAACCAGACGTCTTACAACAGCCAATTCCAAATCCAGTTTCACGAGAGACTTCGAACCTTTCTCGGTTGGAGAGTCAATCAGTTGTAGATGGTGATAATGAGGCCCTCAAAAAGTTGGTGCAAGAGGTATACATGGTTACCAATTGTCCCCCATGAACAAAGTCACTAACTCTTCTCCAGTTGCAACAAAAAAATAAAGCTCTCGAACAAGAAGCTCTATCAAAAAATGGCGAAATCTCTATTCTACGTGGGAAGATGGACAAATCGCAAAAGGAATATGAACGCACACAAGCGGCAAAAGAGAAGTTACACGCGGAGCAATTGGCAAAGCTACAGAAAGATAGGGAGGCTGCAGAGATTGCTGCAAGAAATGCTGCAATTGAGCGAGATTTCACAAAGCAAGACTTATTTGAAGAAACCGAACGAGCCAGGAAGTTAGGTAAAACTAAAAATGCGAAGGATCCACAAGTTATGACTCCGAAGAAAACAGAGCCGATGCCATTCAGGGATGGGTTCGATGATGATGAAATCGAGGTGATTTCTCCTAGTAAAATGTCCCCATCGAAGTTTCAGAAACGTCAACCTGGTACACCATCAAGGGCAGCAAAACGGAAACGCAAGGCAAACGATAGCCCTTCAGCTAGTGCTTTGGATATGGTTCCTGTTCCAGACCAACCTTCACAACCCCAAAAGCTTCCTTTCTTGGACGAATCAATATTAGAGAGGCTTGTTTTGCAGGATGATCGATCGGATTTCCTCGCGGCAATGCTAGATCATCGACCTGATCGTGAACACTTGAGGACTCTTGAAGCATTTAGTAAGTATGCTTTACCATCGTCCCCCAATGAATACTTTTCATCTCAGATTCTTGGAGAGATTCCAAGAATTGGTACAAAAAAGCCTATATCAGAGGTACCATCTGAGTTCTGCTTGTTTCTAATAGAATTATGGTCTAAGTGTATGGATGAAAGCTATTATACCCCTGTTTACTTGTTTGTGGATATTCTCACATTTGCGCTCGAGATCAAAACTCTCTCCATCGTACCGCATGTAATCGATCAACTCATTCCCTTGGTACAAAAAACTGCTGATCTCGTGGCGATCCCTCGCTTCAAAACCGAGTCACCCCATCCTTTTGATAAAGACATCAATGTATCCGCTTGTTTGGCTCTCATTCACCTCGCTGCATTGGGATGCGTCCCCGACCCGGAGCAGATCACTAGATTTTGGAAATTGATGCGATGGGACTTTGTTCTTCTCATGCTTAGTCAGAACCAGCTAGTGGCAGATTTTGAGTGGATGCTGCGAATTCTATCTACTGGTGTTTTGAAAAATAGTTTCGGTAGCAATGTGGATGATAATCCAAAGTTGAGAACATCAGCAAATGCCAGTCATATCATAGAACGTCTGACATATCCACTATTCGAGGTACCCTGGTTCCCCTCGAGCGGGACCAAGGTTGACGCCGATGTCGTCCTAAAACTACGTCTGCAAATAATTTTACTGTTGACTGGTATGACTCGGTCACCATATGCTGGAAATGCACTTGTTTCCCATCCAACTGCAATTGGCAGAATCGTCAGTTTGATAAGCGATGAATTAGATGGCCTATATGACCATAAATCTGGCCGTGAGGAGAGGTATGTAATCATTATCGCTTTACGTATACATCAGCTGATTCTTTCTAGTGCTCGTCTCATAAGTCTCGCAACTCGGCTTCTGTTCCATCTTGTCACTCGATACGAATTCGATATGCAAAAGAAATTATCAGTCATTCGTGGGGGGTCACAGAAATACCTACTCTGTTTGGCTAGGCTTAACTTTTCTGAGGATGATTTAGTTTTTGAGTCCGGTATTGATCCAGATATCCCCGGATGTGCACTAGAAATGTTGGAAATGGTCGTAACGCCCGAGGAAGGAGAAGCTATACAAGAAGCTTTGTCAAATGGGTGACTGATACCAGATACACATCAATGCATGCATATTATTCCATTCTCAGGTGGAGTTTCTGGGTATACCGAATTTAGTGTTTCGGGAGGTGTTTCGGGAGGTTTCGTTTTGGGCCCGGCATCGTTGGAGGTGCATAGATTGAGGACATACTTTGTTAGTTAATGCAAATGATAAACCTTTCACTTCACCATTATATTGGCTTCTACATCTTAAGTCAAACACCCCTCTTTTTTAAAACTCCGAATCCTATCCCCTTGCAAAACAGGATCACTTGCAGTAAACTCATCATAATGACTTTTAAGCTCTGAGCGAAACTATCCTCGGTTAATAATTCATTCAATACCTACGAACTTTTCCTAATCACGAAGGGTCGGGGTAAGTAAAGAACACTTAAAAATAAAATTAACCTGGTAATATTAAATATCATAATCGAATCATACTCATTCATATTCAGATATTTCTCTTGATGTGGCTGGTATGCGTCGGGTGGAGTTTACATGTATCTAAAAGTCTTTTGTAAGTTTGCAATAAGCAATAAGTCAAATGAACTAGAATGAATAATACAGTTGTTATTTATGTAGGAATATAAATTTAGTTTGTATATGGATATATATATATGAATATTCTCATTTTTGCAGTTTTCGCTAGGTAAGTAGGTATCAATTAACTCGACTTGTTCGATAAACTATCCAGCTGGTAGTGTATTAGAAATGAAGTAAGTGAATTGAAATCAGAAACTCCAATTTCCGCAATGGCCTGGAATAATAAGTTTGCTGTATTAATGATTGTTAAATCTAGTTGAATGTTAAAAATAGCTCGTTAGTATCCTCGGGTAGTATGGAAACGGTATTGGACTCCGGGGGTATATTGAATGGAATTGGAATTGGAATAGAGGTTTTCTTAGTTGGTGGATGATAATATATTTGATGGTGCGCTTTCTTTGGAACTATGGGTTGAGTTTGGAATGGAACGTCTGAGAAATTCTAACGACTTATGAATGGGGGTCTTTTCATTAGTGTGTAATGTAGATAATTAGATGTAGGCTTGAAGCGAATCAAGGAAAGGAAGGATCAAGGAGGATCCAGAGTGGAAATATACGATTCACCAGATTTGATAGACGAAAATCTTAAATCTATTTGCCAAAAGGAAGAAATCAGAATAAAAACTAGAATTTGCTATGGGATTTTGCTAACTCTTGAGAGAAGCTGTGGAATAATTAAACATCTTTTCATGATTCTAAATTTTTCAAACCTGAAATCTTCCTTTCTAGTCTAATAATCTAATCTATCGAAGCCCAAATCTAAGTTCATGAATCACGCTGCAATATACACGTCTTTTACCGTTCTTTCCCCCGCCGTTCCAAGACAACCCTCAATACGTCTATACATTAATTACTCCCTTCAGTAGCCTCCGAGCCCTGACGAATGACCGAAACCTGTGGGACCCCTCGTTCTTCATCAAAATTCTTCAGCTTCAAATTATCCCCCTCATTTCTTACACCCCTTGAAGTCGTCACATCTCCCAACCTCGTAGTGGGAAATACCGCATCAGGATCCTCTCCCTCACCCTCATCCCCCCACCCTTCCAAACCATCCAAACTTCCCGCCACTCCTCTCTCCACCCTCACCATGGATAATCTCCTACGATTCCGCACCCACGAAGATCTACCACTCCTCTCTGAAATTTTTTTCGACGAGGAGTTCGACGATTTAGAAGATCTAAAGCAAGAAGAAAAACATTTGTACATTTTTGAAATCCAAGAGATCTGAGCCATAGTTTTGAAGAACCTTGGTAATGTTGGTAGACAACTCGTTATGATACCTGCTCCAAGTTCGACGTAGGAGGGTATGCACATGATGCTTGTTAACCAGGTTACGTCGTTATTTTTCAATAGTTTGGATGAGATTATTAGGCGTACCATTGATGCTATGCAGGCTCTAAAATTGTAAGTCTTATTAATATTTGGAAATGCAAATTTATAATATTGATATTTACTTACAAGAGTCCTGTGGAGAAAATAGCAGAAACACCAACATGTTCCTTGAAACTCATCTGTAGCCGCCAAATAATCGGCTGCGGGAGTAAAATGATAAGGAAATCCGAGATGGTATTAGCCGTTCCAGTTGCGAGAAATACGTAATTCATATTGAGACAGTGACCTGTTTCCAAGACGTTCCAGAATTTCGGTACGGGTGTGCAAAGAAATATCGTCATGAATAATAGAATAACGTAGAAGATGACCGTCATCCACATGAGCGCGTGACAGCTCCAGAACATTAAGTCTCGTGTTCCTGCTGTGAAGATCCTGATGTACTGTAGTAATATTGAAATCTTGATTGATAATATCGCAAGACCGAATGAGATGGATGATATGTAGGTGCCCTGGACACTATGAGCTTCACCAAATGATAGAAAATAGACATAATTAGATGGTTTACATACGTAGAGAAAGATTTGAAAATCTACTAATCTGATATTCCATTGATGCCGACCAAAAACCTTAGGATCGAAACCAGTCGTTACAATAAAAACAATATAACCACCCTAAGAACCCAACCATTAGTTTTCGAAAATCTACGTAGGAAGATTTAAAATACCCAAGCTGCAACCGCAATATCTGCGAAAAGTCAACGCGAAGCTCAACACAACACACATATCTTGATACCTACAATCTTCCAAATGTATCTCTCGAATAATCCGGAACTTCGTATAAATCCGTATGAAAATAGCCAAAGTGGCTAGAATAGTAGTAACAATCTTCACCGCATTGGCTACTGGCAAAAGAGTATAAGAATTATCAAAATTCGGAATAACACCCAGCGGAGGATTCAAAGCTGGCCCTTGCAGTAACTCCTCAAGCTGCGATGGGGATAGTCCCGCCATTATCAAGCTAGCAGACTTCAAAGAGAGAAGAATTTATTTCAAGAAAAATGCAATGAATAATTAGCAATGTGAAAACTAGCACATCACATAATAAAACTACTGATAATATATTGAGAGCAGATCTGAGTCTGACATCAGCCGGATCATGGCCGGACTTGAAAAAGCCGGCTGTACAACCTTCGACGAATTTTGCAAAGAGAAGAAAATCTATTCTGCTGGAACAAGGTTGATTGGTAGGTCTTTCACCACAATGGCTTTTTGACCTTGGCTCGCATGCGCTTGCATATAACGTACTTCAGCCCGACCTCGAGTATACTTCAGCTGCCTGAAAACCGCATCATTGTAACGTTTCAAGAGCACCTTCGCCGAAGTCGAGGAAATTCTCACGTACTTGTCCGTATCTTCTATCGCATGTCTGTTGCATCATGCAGATAAAAATTTTCTTGGTAAAATTAATCATTAGACTATTAGCTAAGTGGTTGTCAGAGATGAAGATGTAGCTAAAGCACTAGTTCTAAAATGTGGCACAATTGAGCTGTAGTATCACGTGTACTCCCGTGACTCATGACAGTCTCTTCCTTGCTGTAAAAAAAAACCTTCCAAAATTTCCACTGCTAGTTTATATAATGTAAATCCCCATTTTTCATGCGGAGTAAAAGATTTCTTAGAAAGTTATACTCGAAAAGGAAATCGCTTAAAATCCTGGGCTAGCATCCTCATTCTCAATATGTACGGAGAGTCAAAGTCGTTGCATACCAACTCTTTTCTCTTTCCACTGTATATGAATTGTCAGTATTCGACCGAGAGAAAAATGAATAGAATAATCAAGAGGCTCACATCAAAAGCAACCTGTACATCTCTGAAAAATGGCTCTCCCAAAATCCACATATCTCCCATTCCATTGCCATCTAACCCATCATCTCCTCCAGCTTCATCCTGGTTATCGCCATCACCAAACCTTCCTTCCACTACAATTCCTACACAATAACCACTACCCCTTTCCATTCTCCCCAAACTAAACCTACCTCCTGGCGAAAAGCTTCCTATGTCTCTCTTACCATCCAATACCTTGACCCTTAAATTTCCAAACTCAAGTGACAAATGAGGCGGGTTAAAACATGGGTAGGCATGGAATTGATCGTATGGTGGTGGAAGTTGACGCGAGCCTGAAATTGAGGCGTAGAGGCTACGGACAAGGTGTGGTGGGCCGACTATGTAGGGAGTATTAACCTGTGGTGAAAGTTAACGAATATGAATTAAATGGAGAGGAGGAAACAAGGCACAGTGGGAAGTGTTGAACTTACATCCAAGACTATAGGTTGATTTTGTAAAACTTTATTTCCATCAATCCAGATCCCTTTCATTAGGATTTCCCACCACCCATCCGCGCCTCGAACTTTGCTCCATTCCCAAGCACTTTCATCACTTCGCTTCAAGTCACTAGTGCCCAAAGTACTATCATCTGTCGTCGTCAATTTTTCACTATTCTCAAATCCAATTTCATTTCTCTTCATCAATCCCAGTTCTACATTTCTCCTCAGCTCGTCATGTCCAGATTGTAGGCCCATCCCATCAATCTTCTTTAATTCATTGTTTTCAGGTTGCAATCCACCCACATCAAGCTTCACCAATTCAGCGTGTCCCGGTTGGAAGCCACCCGCGTCAAGTTTCTTCAGTTCCTGCTCGATCATCCCTTCCACCTCTCTAACTGCCTTGACCGACGACCCTCCAACACTAAAAACTCCCTCATGCCCATTGAGTAACATCAAACTCCAGACCTCTGTATCGACAACTCCACTCTTGACAATCTGCCCCAATAATCCTCTTCTCCAGCCACCCACCTGCCCCAGACCCTCCCCTACAGCCAATCCCAAACTTGCACCACTCTTCCCCAAACTACCAACCCACTGTTTCTGTGGTCTGCAATGGGCGAAGCTCACGGGTATATATCTCTCCCCCTTCAGACCATCAAAAACATCAATCCCCAACGGTAATCCCACTACATCTTTTCCACACCTGCATCCTGGAAAATTCATGCCCTTTCCCTGTTCATTATCATTACTAACACTGTAAGTGCCACTTCTCTCTTCGAGATAAAAACTCCCCTTCCCACTAGGTGTACTAATCACCGAAAAATCAGCCGTCAACATATTAAGATCTAGATCTACATTCTGCGACGGTTCGCCAATTTTCAAGGATGCAAACCAAGATCCAGAATTACCAACTTCGCCGAGAAGAGTAGTCCCTGGTTGGATAGAAGTTCCAGATCGACGTTGGGAATTTGTTGTGTTGGTAGTTTGACCATCATGCCATCGTCTAGGAATCCTAACAACCCTATTTCCCCTCAACACTCTCTCAGAATTTGTAAACCTGCCATGCACATCGGCAAGTGTGGATTGAAGGAATGTAAGATTTGCGGTGTCAGGAGCGGGAAATGAGCCACCACGTCGGGTTATAGTGTAGTGTATTGGCGGAAGGGTGGCACATGTGAGGTGTATCAAGTGAAGGGTGAGGATGAGAAGACTTATGAGATGAAGATGTGAGAAATACATTTCAGCGACTTCTCCAGAGATTTGGGAGAATTTTCTGATGGAAACCTGGATTGGGATGGGTGAATTGTGTAAAGGGAAATGAACAAAGTCATATTAAAAATTGGATTAGGAAAGTGAGAGTTGCGAGAGAGATGACACGATCGTTAGTAAAATCATTTATAAGGAAAGAGCACTTTCAGAATTTGGTTACCCACATTACTGCCACGAACAGTGTGTAACATAATTTTTCTCTGTATTCAATTCAATACACACCTTGTTATTGCTTTTTAAAATCTTACGAAAAGACATTGTCGAAACGAAAGGTATTACAGTAGATCTGTGTCAAATATTCAACTCAGGCATGCTAATAATGCCAAAGATTTTTATCCATAGAACTAATCGAGCAACTCTTAAAATTCTGTCCCTTATGCTCTTGTAATCAGGAAGTTTCAATCTTCGAATCATACCTTTCTAACTTCAACGCTGCCATATCTAAGCCGTCAATACCCTTAATCAAATCTGCTGCCTTCTCACCAATCGCATATGCAGGCATTTGGGTATGACCTTGATTAAGAAGTGGCATAACGCTTGTATCGGCAACTCTGAGATTATTCACACCTCTGACTCTTAATTCCTCATCAAGAACTGCCGTTGGATCCGATGCTTTGCCCATTTTGACGGTTCCTCCGGGATGATAACAGGTTGTAGCATTATCTTTGATATATGGAACCCACTGTTCTCTCGATGTATATGCATGGTGTGTTAAGTCCTTAGGCCAGCTTCCCTCAACTATGTCTTTCGTGCCTTTCCCCTTCATAATGATTTCATTGGCATATCTACATGCCTCACTGAGAACAACAATATCCAGTTCTTCACTCAAGTAGTTGTGATCGACAACCGGATTGTCCTTTGGGTCCTTTGATTTTAAGGTTACGGTACCTCTGCTTTTGGGTGCAAATAACTCCGCGATTATAGAAAATGCATGTGACTTATCTCCGTCGGGGAATTGATCGAACTGCTTTGGGCCACCATAGCATTCCGTGCTGAAGAATTCGACGTTTGGTTGTGATTTAGTTAACCCCATAGGATCTCGGCCTGGCCGTCGCGGTGCTGAAGTCCAAGCTGGTTCGGAAGCAAGACGTTCATCAAGACGAGAGTATGCGAACGCGCCAAATGGAAAAGTGGAGAGGGGTCCACGCTTCTCTTCTTTCCATTGTCTGTAAGCTTCACCTAAAGCATTCGGGCGATAAAGCAGATAATCGCTAGTAACATTTGGCTTTGTGGTTTCATAGAATATGAAAACAATCTGTGATTTTTGTTAGTAGGGTAGGTATATTTGTGAGGTTTCGACTATTTACCATGTGATCCATAAGATTTTTGCCGACTCCGGGAAGATCGACCTGACACTCGATACCATGGGATTCAAGCTCGGACTTTGCTCCGATCCCTGATCGCATAAGAATAGTTGGCGAGCAATACGCCCCTCCACTAATGATAATCTCTTTCCTAGCTCTAATTTGCTTTTCCGTCCCATCTTTTTCAATTACTTTGACAGCTGCAGCTCTCAAGTCGTCGGGAGATGCACCTTCGAGAATTATTCGATCGACTATCGTATTAGTTTTGATCGCGAGATTTGGACCTTTGTTGGTGAAGTAATTTGCCGAAGTAGTTCTGTCTCCTTTGTAAACAGTTCTTGGTACATGACCACAACCATTTGGAGTTTCTCCAGTCGAAAACATGTCAGGATGAAGTGGCAGACCTTGATCCTCCATCGAATCCAAAATCATGTGAGCTATTGGGGCCTAATAAAGTCAATATATTGTGTAAATAAGCTACTGTGGTACAGCTTACCAGGTCGTGAGGTTCCACGTCAAGCAAGCCGTCATGACCATGCACCGAATCGTCGGCCTTAAACCATTCCTTGCCATGAAAGTTCTCTGCCTTTATCTCTATCAGTTCCATAAGCATGATCAGGAAAGTGACTATTTTACCTTCTTCATGTAACCGAAAACCTCCTCACCACTCCATCCTGGCATTTCCCAGTCATCGTAATCTTGTGGTATACCTCTAATGCACAGTGTACCATTTAGACCACTGGACCCTCCGAGAAATTTGCCTCGGCTGGCTTTGACTTGACGATTATTGACTCCTGGATTAGGTTCCGTGGTAATGTTCCAGTCCGCTTCTGTGTCAAAATTCTGTGACCTATGAATAGATAATCAGAGCTCTGGCCCACGAGACAATGGGATGAATATCTCACCATCCCCCGACCATGAGAGTATTTTCGAGAAGGGAATTATCCTCTCCTGCTTCGATGACGAGAACAGAATTGTTGGGATCTTCTGCCAATCTTGCTGCGACAACGGCCCCTGACGTGCCAGCTCTATAAATGCTTGTTAGAGAGTTATCATTCAAACATTATATCTAAGTAGTAGACTTACCCGCACACAATATAGTCATATTCGGTGCCTTCCGGCTTTACGGTGATAGCCATGATGAGGTTTGAAGTTTCGCTTATGGTACCCAAGAAACAAATATAAAATGAGATAACGAACACAAAGATATGAACAAAGGAATATGGAAAGCAGGTACCCGCGTCAATATTATATCGACAATTCCAAGTCTAAATTAGCAATGGCATCCACTTGCATGGATGGGATAGCATCTTCTTCAATAGACGTATAAGTGTAGCTAAGGTACGTGTATTAGGAGAGCTGACATGCTACTCAAGCTGAGCCCTAGAGAAATCAGGTTATTCCTTTGGCGTCCATAGTTAAGCATTTGGTGGTATGTGCATATTAGAGTTTCGGAGTGGCACACTTTGTGGCCGCACGAGCACATTTGATCCTCCTTCAGGTGCATGTGGAATTATTCCTACGCATTAAGCGTGTATGTGTTAATAGTCTTACCACCTCTTCTCAGCCAATTCGGAATTGAGAAGATTAATCAGCATATGGCTCGGGGCTGAGAATTTGCTTGGATAGTTCCCATCCCAGACCACTGGGACAGATCACCTGAGTCCAACACAAACATAACGGACTACTACTCAAGCCTATTTCCGCGCAACAGTTCCGTCTCCAGGTCGGATTGATTACCAGTTATGCGGCCAGCAATGCTGCAAGACATTCTTATTCTGGTTTAAATTCTGAGGAGGGAAAGCTTACTACAGCTGAAAAGAATGGATCTGGTGGATTTGCTCCTCTACCGAGCATCTTCCACTTTTATTACTTGAAAATTTGTGTAAAAAAAGAAACAGATTGGATATTGGCCTTACAATTTATCTACTCTAAAGACCATTACTGTATATAAAATAGATTTGTAAGATCTATGCATATACCCCTCTCCCATAGCCCTGCCCATAAATTACAGATCAGAACGAGAATATGTTGTAGACGTCCTAGTCGCTCGAGTGTTGAATTTACACATTTCGGAAAGAAAGAGCTTGATATTTGAGATATAAATTAATTTATTCGCTATCATTTGATATAATTTGATGAAATTATCATAAATTGAATTTTTAATTTTCTATCAAAATTGAAGGTTAGTTTTGGACACATGCATGTTATGAAAATGGGTGTAACACAATGCATATGTTGAACCATCTTTGGGGAACACGCGGGGGATGTTCTTGATCTTCGGAAGGCCGTTCACCACGATAGGGGCGGAATTAAAGCGGAAAACCCCCGTGAGATGACAACAGCCGCATTAGCCGCACCACTATCTCCAACATTGATTGCAATTTGCAATCAAATATTTCTGTTCGCCGTTGAGGAGTTACATTCAACTACAGATACGGGGCGTATGCTGTGGAGTGTTTCCGACTCTCACTGTTTTGCTGCTGAACATATTCTAATCCTTGACTTCAAGGCGGAGAGACAAACTTCACGGCACACACCTCCGTTCAGAAAACCTCTTCCACCAAGGTAGGGCAGTCATAACAGAGTCAAGAACTTAAAAATAACAATAGCAAAATATTCTTTGTTTTATGTTGATTGTCCCATCGAAAGATCGCTCATAGAGACGCTCTGTTTACCCTTCCCAATACCTTTGATAAACGGAGAATCAACAAAGAACCAAAGTGCTCTAAACAACAATGCAACAAAACCCCTATTAACGGAATAAGTTATCTAAGTGTACTCGTAGCTGTCTTAGTATTGCAAGGACTTACATGTCCATAAATATCTCCACTCGAGATCTAACTACATCAGCTACATTCAAAATAGGGAACCTCACCCTAATTCGAATCGCATCACATATCAAAGGTTAGTCAATATGTCTAAACGTCCAAGTCTTTTGGCAAATTTCTCTGACAAGTTCACGTTCGGTGTAGAGTTTGAGTTTGGCATTCGCCTCCCAAAACGACCATTTACAAAACAGAAAGAGATCTGGGCGCTTGTTAGAGACACCCTGATTGTCGAGACTGAGCTTGACATTCTGTCACAAGCTGATATTCAAAAGTTAGATGCAGACCTCTGACCTCCAACTCCAACTCCAACTCCTAACCAAAAGACCCCACAGGCAGCATTGTTCAACGCATGGGTTGTCGACACGGATGCCACTTTATATTTCTTCGATGAGCGGAAGGCAAATAAGGTCTATTATTGCCCGATTGAAATCCAGTCACCAGTCTTGAAATTTGGCCTCGAAGCATTCAAGGAAGTGGACAGGATGCTAACCGCTATCCACAAACATTTTGATGTTGTTGTCAACAGATCATGTGGTTTTCACGTTCATGTTGGTAAAGGAAAAGCAGGACTGAACTTTACGCCGCTTCAACATCTCATGGCAACTCTTTGGATTTTTGAATCCCAAATCTCAGAACTTGTTCACAAGTCACGAGTTGGAATGAAAGGTGGCTTCTGTCCATCACTTCATTTACGCTCCAATCTTGGTGTACTTAAACATGAAGGAGAATTACTAGATGTACTGCTCAGCATAACTGACTTAAATGAAGTCGTCGAAATGTTCAGTGGACATTTGTATTTCAACTTTTTGTCATATCGTATTGAAGGACTCCGTAAACCGTACCTTAATACAGTCAAAAGAACCATCGAATTTCGACAACATGAAGGAACCATGGATTCAGAAACCGTCTTGAATTGGGTAAGTTTTGTTGTTGAGTTGGTGGCCTGGGCTCACAAGATTCACCGTCAAGATTTGAAGATATTTCTCTTAAAAAACACCACTTCCACAGAGTGGTATTCTGTGGAAGATCTCTTCAAGGAAATTGGTTTTCCACAATCAGCTGTTGAATTTTACCGAGGAAAAGTCGAAAGACTACGAGAACTTGAGCAGAAGGAAGATGAGGAGAGAGCTAAAAATAAAGAAGCCTTGGACACTGGGAAATCAAGCAGTAGCGAGTCAGACACTGCTTCATCCGTGCTAAGTTAAGATGCGAGTGCGTCAGAAGCGAGTCTTTCCCCTCTTATCTTCCTCTTTCGCAACTCTCCTCAAATCAAATCAGATTAGTAAGCCAGTTCATACTTCTTTCGCAGCCTACTATTTTCCATCTTCCTGTCAAATCAACACTTATCACTTCGGACTTAGATTTTCATTATCTCTTATCAATGCCATCCGGATCGTCTAATTCATATCAAGCCTTGATGTTTTATCGATCTATAATCTCATTTTTACGATCCAGATTTTATCCATAATGTCTCACTCAATTCTCGTCCGTGAAATCCACGTGCCTTGTTTTCACTAGCCTTCGCCTGTGTACAGAAAGGCACTTGTGGGGAATAGTAAACTTCATCTTGAAATCAATTACACTATCTTTCAAATTCCATTTCATTCTAATAAAGTTCTTCTGTCATAGGAACGAAAACAACTCTCAAAGGTTCGAAAGTCTCGAAATTCAAGATGATATATCGCGATTTCAAGATAATACAGCGTGCCATCATCCTCTTGTGCGACCGAAAAACACACCATAAACCGCTTTGAAGCATACACAAGATGCTAAACTGCAAGGAAAATAGTGGCTCTATTTTGAGTATAGTATACTTCTGGCCAGACTTCAACGATACTGAAGTCAAATCCGATCGTCCAATGGCAGCTATCACTACTTGATGTACGATGTTTAGCTAGACATTCATTTCAGTCTGTGGAGTTTTCTCTCTCATCCAATTGGACCATCCACGTTGATCTCCTTAAGACCTGATCTAGAAGCTATCTGGAACCTTTGCCTTTGAATCTAACAGCAGACTTGGCGGTTCGTCTTTGAATAAAGCGGATCATCCAAGACATGCCCCAAGCGCTTTCGTCATATATCAGTGGTAGATATTCATGTGGAAGGTGCGACTCTTATCCTCGCAATCGTCGCTCTGTTAATCAAGCTCTCTCTACATCTTAAAATCTACTTCTACATGATTTTGAATTTTCTCTCTATAAGTAATACTCCATGGTGATGCTAAACCTTGAAGTGGCTGAAGGTGTTTGCTTTTGGAAAGCGACCCATCATTATTGCATGTTAACAGGCTAGTGTTCTAACGGTCAAATGTCTAGCACATTTAGTTCCAACGGCTTCCCCATGCCAAGGCAGTGTTGTCAGTTCAACTTGACTTTACCTTCATAGTCATAGGTCATTACATAACACCTTAACTCTACCATTTTCCCCTCCCACAACCATCTTCCCCAATTTTCTCCCTCGATTTCTCTCTTTCCTAATTCAGTCATCTGATCACTCATTTGTTTCCAATCTTAAATCAATCACCAAACTTGATATATATTCAATCAACTGTCAGGTATTTCGATATATATTTGTGACACCATTTCATTATCAAGTTAAAGGAATTACCAAACCAAGTCAGAATGCTTCCAGGGCTTCCAGAGCACATTGCCACTTGGGTTTCAGGGCTACCAGGACCAGCAAGGCAATCAAGACCAACAGACCAAGCAGTAGAACTTGACAAAGTAGATGTCCATGGAGGATCGCTAGCTCCCAACAGGAGCGATCGGATCATGAAGGATATCGAAAATGGATTGTATGTATTCTCGTCATACGAAATCGATCCAGCCTCCGAGTTTATCCTCGGCCCGCGATTGAGCGTTAGCTAACTTCATTTTCAGATACAATTGTCCAATTTGCCATGACACTATTTCAATCGACATATCGGAGATCTGGGCTTGCCACTGTTGCTATCAAGCCTATCATCCTGGTTGTATCCATAATTGGGCTCAATCCTCCATTCGGTTTCTGAATATTACATCCTGGACATGTCCTACCTGCAAACAATCACACTCTAGCTATCCGAAACCGAGTTGCTGGTGCAGAAAACATGATGTGTCCATGCTTGCCATAACTACAGGTAGTTGCGGCCACCCTTGTTCAAAAGAACAGCGTTGTGGTACTCGAAACAATTGCGAATCGTATACATGCCCGTCAATATGTCATCCTGGACCATGCATTCAAAAAGAATGCACAGACAAGTGCGGGGAGGAAATTCCTTCCAATCCAGTCGTACCACCTCCAGCACTCCATCACTCCGGTGTTCTCAATAACAATACATATGTTCCTTCAGAAGGAGGGCCAATACGAAGTATTGCTGACATCAGAAGAGAAGTAGAAAATGGACATCGAAATGGGACAAATTCCTTTGGCATTGGTCCACGACGAGATCACAGGTTCTTAGGATTGCTCCGCGGTGGCTATTCAACCGAATTTCTCCTATACGACCTTTGTTTTATTTTCCCCGTTCTACTTACTTTCAATGGCATTATCATTCTCTGGACTAAAACACGTCTTTCGCGATACACAATGCCCCTCGCGCACCAAAAGTTTACGGAGGGTAATTTACGCAACTTCGAGCAAACTTTCTGCATCCTCTTGGCTGTTATTCTCTTCGGAGTCAATGCACTATTTTGGGGTTCAGCTATACTCAGAATTTCTTATTGTTTGAAAGTTAAGCTAGGTTTGAGTACATCCCTCACAGAATGGACGCCACACGATGTTCCTTGGAGACGTATCAAGATCGTAACTTCTAAGCTTGTTTCGCTCCTCTTGTGGATTATATTTTTTATGCTTACTCTTTGTATCCCGGCGGTGTAAGTTTCCTATCTTCTCTTCCTCGTTGTTAATCGTAGGACTAAAAAACCTCCAGACTTATCATCGGGCCGGGGCATTTCTGGAAATACAAAATGGACGGCACATGCAATGGCTTCGATACACGTATCAAGCTCTCCGAACCATATGCTCGTTACTTCGGTCTTGAAAACAAAACACTACCACGTACGAGGTTTGTCTCTCCTCATTTTATGCAAACTCCAGGTCGATATACATATCCCTCATCCGATGATTACGAATCCTACCCATCCGGGATCGACCTCTTCAACATCATCAAAGTAAACGCAACGACACCAGCCAACAACTCATCCACAACACTCAAGCCCTTCGAAGAATACTGGCGCATAATGGGAATCTACGGCGACAACCCACTCCATCTAGATTTCGACCTTGAGCACCACTCCTGGCGCATGAGCAAAGGCAGCATCGTCATCGACCCCGAGGACCCCAGTTCCTCATTCTACCCCGGTCGTCTATACAGAAAATTACTCCCGCAACACTTTTACAACCCCGATCTCACCAGCGATCTAACGCCCAATTTTGAAACCGCAATTCAGAATCTTACACAAGTACGTAATGGAACATGGACACTTACGCACGCCAAAGGACAAGATACCCAATTCCCAGAATTAGGATTGGTGATTCCGAAATGGTGGTTATTCGATAAACATTGCGCGTATCAAAGTTTCATGCGAGTTTTCAGGGAGAATGTCGGTGCGGGAGGAAGAACTAAAGATGGGATTTACAGAAATTGGGAAAGGGGTAGTGTGAGGGAAGAAGTGATGAGAACGATGAGTTATGGCTATGGAGGTCATGATGGATTGGAAGTTTGCGCGAGGAGGAATGAATATACGTGGAAAAGTAAAGGGGTAGAGGGGAGAGAAGAGGGATTGGGAGAGGATCTTTTGGTGCCCTTGGGTTTGATGGCTGTGGTTAGGAAACGGATGAGAGATGAACAGAGGAAGTTGGAGTTTTGTCCGTGGCCTGAACATTGAGGTGGTTTGATGTTGGGGGGGTTTTGTTTTGGATGGGCGTTTTGGGTGGGTGTTTGGGGGGTAGGATGGTATTTGGTGGAGATATGTTGATTATATCATACCCTGATCTGGAGAATGTGGATAATCGTAAATAGTAATTATATACATGATGTTTTTAGTTTAATAAATCTCGAAGGCGCTTTCAATAATCATTTATTTATCACTTTATCTATCGAGAATTAAGTTCCCGATACACTGTAGTATTCTCGCAGGTAGCTCCTGATAAAATAAATTTCCCTTGAATATTACAAAACATTTTTCAATTGTTGAAACTTCGAGCTGTATGTATTCAACATACGACACTTCAAAGCTAGGCACGATAATCTCACTGCATTGGAATCATCCAATGCTGCTACTATAATTTAATCATTTATTCATCGTTATTCAGAATTCTCTCTCCTACTCATAGTCCTAATAATCCTCCCAATCTCTCTTCAATACTCTTCACTTGCTCTGCAGTCATAACCTTACTACCCATAAGATAAATCACATTTCCTAATATCCTCGCGTGGATATTCCATTCACCCAGCTCGCCTTCCACATCGCCACCTAGTAACTTCTCTCTGATTACCTCTGTCACCTTGGATGTATATCCACCTCCTTGCTCATCTTTAAATGTGATAGCCAATACACTACCTAATGCAATTACACCATCGACTGACTCCAGATGAGATGCTGAAGTAACGAATGATTTACTCCATATACTCCAGACCTGAACTTTCTTATGTTTGTTTTTTGCCGCTGTTGTTTCTGTCTGGGGAGTTATTTCTCCTTCAGTATTTTTCACCGCATTCCAATCCTTTCTAAAGCCCTCCCAAGCCCCATTTTTCTCGCTGTCTAATTTTCCCATGGTTTCCAAACTTACGCGTGCGACTTCGCAGCCTACAGCGTGACCAGTATAACTATGCCCATGTAACAGCGCTTCACTCTTTTCATCGCCAAGGAATGCTTCGTAGATGCTTTCGCTGGCTAGTGTTGTGCAAAGGGGTAGTAAACCACCTGTTAAGAGTTTGGCATGCACTGAAATATCGGGATATGTATGCAAGAGGGTAGAGGAACTGAAGTGGCCAAGTCGGTAGAGGCCTGTGAAGACTTCGTCGTGAATTACGGGAAGGCCAGTCCATTGATTTGGTGAGGCTGGGTTGCCTGTGGAAGGATTATTGACTTTACCGAGCAAGTGTTCAGGCATATTGCGAATGATGTATGTCAATGTGCGTTGGAAGAGGGGATCGCTTCAATTTATGTTAGAGGAATGCTTGAGTGGTAATGGGATGGGTATACTCACCAGAATAGCATACCACCAGCACCAAGGATAACTGGCTCCAAAACCAAGGCACCAAATTTCATCCCCTTTCCCCTTGCCCTTTCCAGTTCGGCCAAAATATGTTTCTCATACTTTTTCCTCAACTTACTGGTACTTCTTTGCCAACTAAAAATATCTTCCAATTCGTCAAATGTCTCCTCAATTTTCTGGCCAGTTCCGTCATAAACTACCCATTTCCCGTCTTTCATCCAGACTTTTGGTACATCAAACCATAATCCTCTTCCTTTATACCAATGTACCTTTTCATTGTAAACGCTTCCTTCACTGAGATCCATAGCACCAATGGTATCTCCATGATAGCTGCCTTTTAATCCAATAATTCCCACCCGTTTTCTGGCGTCCTCACAATTTCCCCAACGGTAATGTTTACTAGCAGCTGTCAAAGCCATTTTTACAGCAACTTCCATGCCAGTACTACCGTTATCAGAATAGAAGACGCGTGAGAGACGGGGATTCTTGATATTTGTAAGGAGATGATTAGCGAGTTTGAGAGCAGGTGAATGGATGGTAGATGCAAAGATGCAGTGGCCATAGCGACCCGATGCATAAGCTGCGGCTAAGGAAAGGGCAGGATTTCCGTGGCCTAGACCTTGAGTCCACCAGGATCCTGAGCCATCCAATGTTGGTGTAAGAACATTATCCTTGGACCGCTTTTGTGGTGTGGATTCGCCTGCGCTAGTGTTCGGTAGGGTCTGGAAATAATCTCCATAAGCTGAATCTATTGGGAGTATATTATCAGGTGAGACATGTTTCATTTGGGTGAACGGAAACCAGATCGTTTCATGGGCTTTCGTGGCCATCTGTTCAAGATCTTCAATTCGTGAAATGTTTCGTTGACGGGCAGTTTCCAATAGAGCTTCAATCTCGCCAGACTGAGTAATACTTGAGTAGTATGAGGACATAGACTCCTCATCTTCTTGTAGATTTGGAATTTGGTTCGGTGGGGGAGGAATGACTGTTGTTTTTACACCCCTTTCTTGGAAATATTTGGAAAGATATGCATAATTGCTGTATTTTTCCTCTTGAAATATCAACACTGACTCAATATCATAACCACGAAGATGCAGACCTATGTTTTCATTAGTACAAGTTACATTTTTGGGGTTCACCTAGAAGAAACTTCGAGACTTTCAAGTATCTTAAGGATATGACTTACTCTCCCAAGCGCTAATTGTTGCTGAAATTCCACCCAATTTTGAATCACCAACGAGAAAAATTGGCATTCTCAAAGGTCTTAATGCATCCACCTGACTGGTACCAGAAGGTGTAGGTGAATGTACACCACCAGCACCTTCCACCAGGATCATTGATTCCCGTCCTTCTTCATTACTTTTCGTCCATTTTTGGACTTGTTCAGCGATTGCTGTGACAATCTCGTGATCATTTGGTGGCTGCAAGTAGTTCTCGGGTCAGCGTCCTTCGATCGTATCTCATTTGAACCCTCAAGGTCCGATCAATTCATTTTATTTCGGAAGTTAAAACATAATATATCAAGCTAAACCCATAAAACTATCAAGTCATCGTTCCTACGTCCAGATTTAAATTTCAAAACTTACTTTCACACCCTTTGCCGCTATATGTGGACTGACAGCTTCCCCATATCTGAACAAACATTTTATGTTCGTTCCCTTCGCAAATTTCCCAATATGGCCATCATCAGCCTCGTTTAAAGGGCCCGTAGAAACAGGCTTCAAATAATATGGGATTTGTTTTTTGGCAAGAAGTTGCCGACACAGAAGTGTTGAAAAGATTGTTTTTCCTAAAGATGTATTGGCTGCTGTGAGATGATAAACAGGAAGAGATCGTGAGAGAAGTGAGGGTGGCGGTTTGTACATTTTGAAAGGGGGAAAAGAACAAGACGAGAGAGTCAAAAGAAGCTCAGAGTTGCAATTGAATCTGTGATTGAAATTTGGACAACGAGGGGGTCAGAAAGACATGGTGGGGTAGCTTGCATTGATGACTAAGAGCTGACTATTTGATTGGATAATATACAATAATTCTACATTTACCCCTGAATTATCTCCACAGTAGCTTCGAATATGATCTGCGGGAAATATACATTCTGGCAATTGTGCCAATGTACCGGTGCTCCATATATCACCAGCTGTACGAAGGAAATAAAGTTTCTCGGCACAACTTCAACGGTTGTTAACTGACAGACCTGAGTCAAGCAGGCAGTTGGGTGACTCACGAATCACATCAAATTACCTATCTACTCTTATCCATCCGTACAATGTAACCACAAAATTTCTATCACACATTACACAGCTATTTCGTATCGAACACGACGAAAATGCCTACACTCGAGGAATCCATGACCTCGGCACTCAAATCCCGAGCTCAGAAATCCTCCTTGAGAAATTTATCTTTACCATCTACTATACAAACTACAAGCGGTGTTACACCAATAGACTTCTCATCTAATGATTTTCTGTCACTGTCAACTTCTCCACTGCTACATAATGAGTATCTTTCACTACTACGGAGCCACCTGTCACCTCCGTCATCTCAATCCCCAGCATCGTCTTCATCTCCGCCAACCCTAGGTAGCACAGGTTCTCGTCTTTTAACCGGGAATTCACCTCTGGCGCTCAATCTCGAATCCCTAATCTCCCAATTTCACCGTTCTCCACACCTTGGTTCCGGTGCTCTTCTCTTTAACTCAGGCTTCGATGCCAATTCCGCATTTTTCGCTTGCGTTCCGCAGAAAGGAGATCTCGTAGTCTACGATGAGCAAATTCATGCAAGCGTTCATGAAGGAATGAGGGGATCACGTGCTAAGAAATTTCTTTCATTTGTACATAATGATGTTGGAGATTTACGGAGGGTATTGGAAAGTGTGGGACAAGTAGAAGAAATGGGCAATGTCTTTGTTGCGGTGGAAGGCTTGTATAGTATGGATGGCGACGTATGTCCTTTGCGTGCGGTAGTAGAGGTTGTGGAGGAGATTTTTGGATTAGGAGGAATTACTGAGGGTGGGAGAGGATATATTGCGGTGGATGAGGCACATTCAACTGGGGTTTATGGACCGCAGGGACGAGGACTGGTTTGTGAATTAGGCTTAGAGGAGAAGATCTTTGCTAGGTTACATACTTTTGGCAAGGCGCTAGCTGGAAATGGTGGTATGTTATTTTCTATGTCCCTTTATCCCATCCACTGTAGAGGTATGTCGAAATTTGTGAATTGAGGTGCTAAAATTAACATAGCCATAATCTTAACCACCCCTCTGACTCGTCATTACCTCCTCAACTACGCCCGCCCTCTCATCTACAGCACTTCGCTCTCTACCCCATCACTCCTTCTCATCGCAGCTTCCTACTCACTTCTGCTTTCCTCAAGCACTCAATCTCTACCATCTCATCTTCGTTCTCTATCTCACCATCTCAAATCTTTACTTTCTGACATTCCTCATTCACACTATCTGAAACCGCAACCCCAAAACTCCGAACCATACACTGAGGATCTAAACTGGACACCAATTTTCTCTCTTCAAACACCTGAGCCAAAGGACCTAGCAAGTTATTGTCAAAAGGCGGGGTACAATGTAAGGGCAATAATGAGTCCGACGGTTAAAAAGGGAAGTGAAAGGGTGAGGGTTTGTCTACATGCAGGGAATACGTTTAAAGAAATTGAGGGATTGGTGGAATGTGTTAGAGAATGGATTGAGATGATGGAGAAGAAAGGGGAGATTCAGGTTGGTGATAATGTCTTGGGAATTCAATCCCCTCTAGCATCTGACTCTTCGGTTGGAGTTCAAAAAGGGTATACTGTAGATGTAGGTGCAAGTTTTGGAGAGAGGCCCCAAGAACAGAGAGCAAAACTATAGAAGCACCACGTGTTAGGAAACAGAAATTTCAGGATGTATATACGAGGATATAAAAGTACAGTCAACAGAAAGCCTAGAAAGCTAGTCAATTGCAAGCAGGGTCTACAGATAGCTATCAGACCTAGTCACTATCTCCGAAACAAATAAGCCGAAACTCAAAAGTATATCTAAAAGATCTTCAAGTTTGAAGCAGGGTACAAGAAATTCTCGGAAGGTGGTAGATCATACAGAGTAGATAATAGTAATACAGATAAAAGTATGAACGGATTTCTCATTGAAACGAAGCTAAACCAAGGCCAATGTGATTTGGTGAAATCTTTCCATTTACAATGGTTGGACGGATAATTGCAGGTTCCAAAGCTTGGTATCTGTATCCATAGCTCTGACTCGGGTCTCAATGCCAATGCACTAGGTAAAATCGGAAAAACACTTGATAGAATATGCAGTACTGTACTCGAGTACCTAGTTAACAATTTATTGTATTGTGAGATATACTCCCTATGATATTACCACATTGGTAAATATCAAGCTCTTTTCAGGATCCAAGCTCCAGATACCTACCTACCTACCTACCTAGAAACATTACCCCAAAAATCAGAACCCTCTTCCCAATCTTTCCACAACTAGCAATATCAGCTACGGACTACAAATATCCAAACGCCGCCGCAAGTCGCCCAAGATCTTCCTAGATAACCTCGGTTATCCAATCATGCCAGCTAACATCTCAGCAGCCCAGCCCAAGCTCCAACACGGGCCGACCCACTCAACGGCATGATAGCGGGGCAGCAGGGAGCCCCCCCCTTTTCCTCACCAATCACAAAAGATAATTACCAAGCGAGCGATTGCCAGAATTATAATTTGTTGAGCTGCACATGTCTGCCCCGCCATTTAGCTCATATGAGGTTGCATCAAATGCATGAATGATTTGTGTGCACAAAAGTTAATAAAACCCCTCATTTAGTGTGAATGTTATGTTGTATGTATGGTGGGGTAAGATAATGAGCTGTACGTACTGTATTTCCGTAATGCTGTGTTTGATTTTGACCTTCCTGTTTATGTGTTGAGTCACGATTTAGAGTTCGCTGAATAGGAGTGGGTTAATACCTACATACTAGTAGCTTGGTTGAAGATTGTAATATCTGTCAAATTTGAATTGAGGGATATTTTGTTTTTGTTTTCTCGTTGCACTCTCTTTCACTCTATTGTATTGTTTCTACTTGTCAAACAGTGAAAGAGTGTATACAGATAGATTTCCAAACTCCACTCACTCACCACTATGGCGACTCTCAGAACTTCCCTATCACGATCCCTCATCCTCCTTCGCTCCAATACCCCTAAACTCGCACCTATCTCTTCCTCTGTTCGTCTTCAAGTTCAAAAGTCGAGAAACTATGGTACCGTATCATCTGTTCCTCCTCAAGCTACAGAAACATCAAGCACATCACCTAGTAAGGATGTCTACCAAGAAGCACTCAACGCAACTGAACCCCGCAGCAATTGGACAAGAGAAGAAATCAAGGCGATCTATGATAAGCCATTGATGGAGTTATGTTGGGGTGCTGGTAGTTTGCACAGGAAATTCCATATACCTGGGGCTATTCAGATGTGTACATTGTTGAACATCAAGACGGGTGGTTGCTCGGAGGATTGTTCTTAGTAAGTTTGGCTAATTTTTATTCTTTTTGTTGCTTTTATATGCATTACTATTGTGGTTTTCGATACTCTCCTTTTTTGCTTTCTCTTTACAAGCTCTCAATATTTATCCGGCAACAATGCTAACATAAAATCTCCAGCTGCGCCCAATCATCCCGCTACCAAACCGGTCTCAAAGCCTCCAAAATGGTCTCCGTCGAATCTGTCCTCGCAGCCGCCCGCATCGCCAAAGACAACGGTAGTACACGTTTCTGCATGGGAGCCGCGTGGCGCGATATGCGTGGACGAAAAACCAATCTCAAAAATGTCAAAACAATGGTTAGCGAGATTCGCGGAATGGGTATGGAAGTATGTGTCACGCTTGGTATGATTGATGCAGAGCAAGCTCAGGAACTCAAAGAAGCCGGTCTCACGGCTTATAATCATAATGTGGATACGTCGAGGGATTTCTATCCCAAGGTTATCACGACCAGGACTTATGATGAGAGATTGGATACCATTAAGAATGTGAGAGAGGCCGGAATCAATGTTTGTACGGGTGGAATCCTCGGATTAGGAGAAAATAAGTCTGACCATATTGGACTTTTGGAGACGGTTGCTACGTTGCCTTCGCATCCGGAATCATTTCCTGTGAACATGTTAGTGGCTATCAAAGGAACACCACTGGAAGGAAACAAGAAGGTGGAATTTGAGAATATGTTGAGAATGGTTGCGACGGCTAGAATCGTCATGCCTAAAACCATCGTGCGTTTGGCAGCTGGAAGAGGAGAATTGAGCGAGGAACAACAGGTCTTATGTTTCATGGCCGGAGCCAATGCCGTTTTCACAGGAGAAACAATGTTAACCACACCAGCCGTTGGATGGGGTGTCGATTCCGTCGTTTTCAACAGATGGGGATTAAGACCCATGGAAAGTTTCGAGGTTGAAGCCTTGAAGAACGATAAACCTGCCACTACTAATACGGAAATACCGGTAGAGGCAAGTAAGGCAGAGATGCCAGGTACAGTTGCTTGATTGATTGTTTGATTTGGATACCCAGGGCGTTTGGTGCGCTCATCATCTCGAGTTTTTGCAAGGAGATTCGAACAGTGGAAGTGCCGTTGCGCCACCATTGGGATTGGCGTATCGGACTGAGATTGACTGTGCCACGAAAATGTTTTGCGCTATCGTGTGTTGTCATCTCGTGGGAATTTAGCGTTGTTTGTTTTGTTTTTGGTTTTGTTTGATGTGAGAGAATGATTGTTTAGAAGGGGAGAATGTATATACGGAACAGTAGAATATATTCTTGTCTATAAGATTATATAGGATAAATATATATAAGCTTATCCTCAAATCAATGTAAGTCTTCCAAAGTGATAGATAATTCGACACTGGCATAGACCGTGACATGGAATATGCATCTTGTTCCCTCACGCTCCTAATACGCGTTTCATCACTACCTTACCATCAATCCTACCCCTAAGTCTACTATCCGTTCTATAAATCAACCCTATAAAATAATAATCAGTGATTATAAGAGATACTCACACATAAACCCTTTCTATCATTCCCCTCACCCCCAATCTAGGTTATACTATAAACTACCATCCTAAACAACCTTTCAGAAATCCGAACTAGAAAAAGCTATAGTTATTTATGTAGTATAATAAGAATAACTGCGTATAAACCCCCCCCAACCCAACCAAAAGAAAGAATTCACACATTCATATTCATAAACCATTCGTATCCTAATTATCATTTGAAAAGCTAGAATCACAAATTAAAAGTATCAACAAAAAGAAAAGGGGGAAGTAACTCCAGATATCTCCAGACTATATCATCATCATAACAACAATCAAGCCAAAATCCCGTAGCTTAACCTTACCCGGAAGCCAAAAAAAAAGAAAGAAAATGACCTCACCACTCACCACAAGCATCCATCCATCCATCCATCTCATTGAGCCCATAAGCTTAGTTAGGTCCTGAGTAGAGCCAAGTTTCCGCGTAAGGTTAGTATAAGAAACACTGTAATCTTAGGTTAACGTTGAGGATTATATACCTACCTACTTATACTAGAGTAGATAAAAAATTGATACTTTATATTATATCTATACTACTGTACTCTAAGATCTTGATCATTCAACCAGGAAAGACCACCACTGTCAATTGTTCGATGAGTGTTCTAAGATTAATTACATGTTTCGGCCTGCCCTACCAGGAATGTTCCATGCGGATGGATATCTCAGGAGGGAGACCGCCGGGTATCGAAATATTTGACACGGGTATGAATGGACCTACCTGCTCGTATTTAGAGTTTAGCAGTTCATTTTGTGGAGAATGAGGAATCTTCTTTCGGATTTATATCCATGATTCTAAAACAATGAGGATGGTGTAAAAATATGAGTGTTATTTCCAATCATCCCTTTTTGATGTCTATACAATATGTAATATGATGGGTTTTATACTAAATGTATGCAAGTTGTAGCCAATACCGTATCCTGACGCCCGGCTCCGATTGAAAAAACGATGGTATCGTACAGCGGTCTATATCAAAAGAGTCTTCTTCAAATAGGTAGGATCCGCTTCCCCTTCACATCCTGTTGATATCTTCCTTCTAACCACACCCCCAAAATGCCCCCAGAGCATCCTATCACGATGGCTGATACACTTCCTAGATTGATCGGATGCGAATACATGTACATTCCCAGCAAAGCGATCACCATTTTACTCGAAGCTTCGACTATAGAATAAAAATATTGCGAGGACTTTTGCGTAATCGCCGTGGAAAAAAATAATATGGGAAAGATGCCAACACTAGTGTACATTATGGCCATGATAGTTGATTTTCGGATAGTAGACGGGAAACAATCGTTCATATTCTCGTCCGAGAAATCTTCGATGAAAAAGGACAGAGTCGATGCGATGATAAACATAAGAACATGGTTATATAGGAAAACTAAGACTTGTTAGCGAGCCGTCCGCAGAGTTTTGGAAGGAAAGCCATACTATCCCATTGACCAAACTTAAGATTTGGCACAATCTTTGCCTTCCACGCTTCGTATGTGCTGTATAATAGAAGATGAACGACCATTAAAATGTATCCAAAAAATAATATCCTGACTGGATCTTGAGGTTCCAAGGTTTGTTCGAGCCGTCTATCCCCATAGCTTGCTTCTGCATGCGCGTTTTCCAAAATTACTGATATGACGATGCCGGAGAATATTAGAAGATAGGATTTAAATGCAAATGGTGGTATTGGAGCTCCGAACAGGATGCTGTCGATGTAGGGAACCGTGAAGATAGTCGTGGTAGAAAGGAGTATATATGTTGGTAATGATAGACATTGAAGCGCTTTGTACGATAAGTAGTTTGAGACGAGAAGTAATATTGACAGAGGAAGCCCTGAAAGTAGGTTCCTCGTTAGCATCTGCCATCCCGGATTCGTTCAATTGCGCAACACATACAAGTCTTTGCCTTTTGTAGCTCCAAGCCCATCATTTCCTTCAGATATCCGCCCCTTTTCAAAAGAAAGATTGCTGCTATGGCACACCCCGACTAATCAGGTTCCAATATCAGTTTGCGCATCCTCTCAAGGTATGATGCTGAGTGTCCAGTGACGTACCTGGACCGCCAGCAAGAAGAAATTCAGATTCCAGTATTGACCTGAGATGGCATATTTCAAAGTCAAGGCTAGCAGGGCGCTGAAAGTTCCGTATGCCACCACATCTAGCCATTTCCCCGATTCTTCTCCCTTTCTCTTCGCGGGTAAATATCTATCCTTCTCCTTTCCCTTGCCATTTGGATAACCATTCATCGTCACCGGTTTTCTGCAGGGTTTATTCTTCTTCTTCTTCTATGCAGCTTCGATGTAGCAGTCATAGTACAGGACTGTAAAGTGGTCCCCGTCCCCGAATTTGGCTCCTGCGATTGAAATTGTTTTATTGTGTAGGTTTAGTGAGGGACAACAAGATAATAAAGCAAAGGATTAAAGAAGAGAGCCAAGAATTACTTAAGCTCAGACTGGTGGGTCGGAATCTCGCCTATGATGCAAGTGCCATATAGAGAGGACCCTGAATATTTATTTATTTTATCTCTAATGCTATCCATTCCATCAAATCACAGTCTTTTTCTACTTCTCTTGATAATCAAAGAAGCTAGAAAGGTGTAAAGTCACATCTTGGTGAAAATCACTATGGTTTTCTAATTCGATAGTTCGAATAGACTGCAAATGTATATGTGTCATTTAAGGTTGCTGACTAATAAGGATATGGGCTTGCTTTCATACTGCAATTATAAATTGCAATTGTGATGGATTGGCTCTACTTTGTTTGCAGGATCTATTTATGTTGTTATGTTATTAGGAAGAGGCATTTTATCACTGTGCCCTTGCATTCTGTATTTAGGCAAAGATGATCTATTTCGACGAGAGACCAAGTCGAATATGGTTCTCTGAACAGGCACTGAACAATGTCTCTCCCCACACAACATCCTTTCACAGAACAGTCTGTCCAACTCCTATAAATACTCTACGCCTGACTTCCAGAGTCACTTCTGAAGAATAATCAGAAATTTGAAGATACAAATCATAAGTAAATCAAATCTCTATCATCATATATTCGACAACCAAGCAATCTACGGAAATCATCGTAGATCATCCACTCCGAAAATCTCTTCAAGATGTCACAAGAAAGCGAAGAGGAGCGAGAAGGTGTTGAGAGCGGTGAGGTTGAATTAAGTCTTTTCGCAAGGCAAAACGAGGATGTCAGATGTTTGATCTGGCATGCAATTATGGAACCAGAAACTAGAGGCTGACTCGTGAATTTGATTACAGGCTTTACACAAGATATCCCATTACCTCTCGAATAAACGTAGAAAGCCGTGCGATGACTCAAACGTATTACCCAAACATATGGGACCGAACAAGTGGTATGCCAATCCTATGGCCACCAATGCGGTTTAATGTCCGCACAGATTCACTTTACATCACGAATGAAAGGCACATGGTTGACACGATCAGGGCGCTCGGTAAGAACTTGTCCCAAATCCAATCTATCTCAGTGCCATCAAGAATTATTCCGGGTATAAACATTATTCCTGCGCACCCTGCAGTACCACTCCCGGAGTATCTTCATAAATGGCACCAAGATCACGAAGAGACATTCCCTTTTCAAAACCTCACACACTCCATTGTTGAGGATCCACTTTGTAGCATGTCTATGTCCTTGATGCACAGACTGTCCGAGCCTGGATATTGCGCATATATTCGACAAGCAGTTGAGGAATTTTTTCAAGAGGAAAATCGTCGTCATCCTGAGTTTAGGATTCCCATGGTCATTATTGTTCCCCAGAGAACAAGACCTACTCCTTGCCGTGACTGCATTGGGCAAGCTATACGAGTGGAGGTAGGAATTCAAGGGCAGTAGTTATTAGGATGGGCTCATTCATCTTTCTCTTATTTCTTCTTGTACATCACTTGCTTTGAAATTTGACGTTAATCTGCATTCATTCCAGTAACTTTGTTAGAAACACGTGACAACCGTACTATGGACCTGTAGAAGTACACTAGTGTTACAATCACTACCTACTACATATATTCTATCATATAACTCTCTTTAAGATAGATATATAATAATAAGATTGTACACTTCCAACAAACTTGAACTCACTTCTTCACGATTTCTTTTTTCAGTCAAAAACAAATTGACGGTAACGAATACATCAGAATAAAAATGCCATTTCATTAACCATACTACCCATTTTCATAATCTTTATTAATTTTCACCCTTAGTTCTTTTACCATTTGCATTGTGAATTATACAACCTTCGGCACAAGTGACAGTTACCAAAAACCCTACCGAATCATAATTCGCATCACGATTTGAGCAACAAGCAAGACGATAATAACTCTCGGAGTGCTCCAGGTAAGAAGTTTCCACTAGAGTGTTACCTTATTTCAAAGCCCATATTTCTAGATAAGCCGAAAGAAGGGATCTACATCAAACGGTTTCTTTGCAAGATCTCAGTGGTATTTCATTAGATGTCAAATACCAAAGAGAGCGAGGCAGTATCACAATAACAATATATATTATAAACAAATGCAAAGTCTTTGTGAGAATCAAGTATATATGTCTTATTTCTGAGAGACGAAATCTTTTATTTTGGATATACGAACAGGAAAAACCTACAACATGGTGAGTTGTTTCCATAGAAAAGCTTCCCATCCCAAAGTACTGCTACCCAGCCAGCCAGCAAGACTAGAAAAGGCATTCAGCAGCCCTCCCCCGAATCCCCGACTAGTGTCTATTTCTCCAATCTTTGCACGTTTAGAGTTACTTTGCTCATCCCCGAGCTTCCTTCTTTCCGATGTCTCTTCAATAATAGCCTGTAGCTTTGCTATTTTTGCATCGTCAATCTTGGTATTCAACGTATACCGGTAAGCTCAAAGCCACCAGTACTTATCCCTCCTAATGAGCTCTAGTTTGACGAATTATTTTTCCTGGAATTGTTTAATCATCCTTTTGATAGGGGCTCAATCTTTAGCCATCTTAGACCAAAGACTCGACGATATTGCAGTCTGTCTGCGTTCTTCGTGGCAAGTATATCCAATTACGTTGTTTTACGATTCTAGCGATATCAGTATGGCAAAATTTATTCCTTGTCGCTTACGCAGATATGTCCCAAGTGATAATAAGTGTCCCGAAAATCTTTAAATCCAAGGCAATGTCCATTAAATGGTCTAGCGTCGATGTTGGAGGGCGGTGGCTGTATCAGATATGCTGCTTTGTGGTTGCGCTTCTGCTCTGACTAAAAAATTCTATATATCTCAAACTAAGACTTGGCTAGAGATTGCTCATTCCACTTAACACTTTTCCAATACATTGAGTGCCTCTCAGCATCACATTGTCCGTAATAAAAGCAATATTTTGTGTAATGCTTAGCCAAGAATTTGTTGCGCCCGATAAAGCTCCAACCCTTTATCCAAGGTCTTTCAGTAAATTTTTTCTGGACTTCATCTTGCCTTTACCGGTTGTCTAAGTTCTTTTCGTGAATTTCCTGTAATTGCTTCATTCTATCGTTGAAAGTTTCTGATTGTAGGTGTGAGAAGATTGTTTATCTATAGCGCCAGCTAAATTATATATATCCCCGTTGGAGTCGCCCCCGCCATATTATGCCCTAATTCGACCCATTCTAGCTCTTTCTAGTTTTACCCTGCCTGTAGCTCCCCAAGAATGGTTGCTGATGGAAAGTTGTAAGTAAAACGCATCAATGACGTCTTCATTCAGTAGTCTGGACTTTAGTCTAATGGTGGAAAGCTTTTGGATTCCTAGATTTCTTTAGAATAATTTAATCCATTAATAAATTACATTCAAATATTTACAATTTTCTCAATATTAAACATAGTTATTTATAATATTCAAAATATTTAAAACATTAAATTATACTCAAACATTCAATGAATTTCTGATCATTAAAAGCTTAATTCTAGTCTGCCAATCCCGACCATTGGACACCCTGGATACACCAAAGCAGATAGGGCGATCCCTAGGAGAATCTGCGATACATCTCTGATATGTCATACTTATATATAGCTTAAAATTCGCACATTCGCACATTCGCTTTTAAATTTCCATATGTTGAATTCGCCACTATATAGCGTATTTAAAAAATTAAAAGGTTGAGATTTCTTTAAAAGACCTCATTCTAATCATTATTCCTCTTGCAGCTCATAATCGCCCCAATTTCTACCGTACGATCGAATCAATTCTTAAATCCATAACCCGAAGAACTTTTTGAAGTAACTCACCACTACGTATATACGTTAAAATTTCATTCTACAAATCAAATCCCATGTTTTACTCTATGGAGGCATTAACTCCTTTCATTTCTCGTTGTTGTTGTTCCCATTTTTTAATTTGTCTTTGTCACATCTTTTTTTCTCGCTTAGTTTTACTTGGTATATTTGACCTCTGGAAAATAGAACAGGCGATAAAATATGACCGCACCGTATAAGTCATTCTTGGAGTCAATACTTCACTCCCTTATTTTGGCATCAAAAGAAAATCAAGAACAGAGATAAATCACTTAAAAAAACAATGTTGAAACATACATCTTCTTCATTATATAAAAAGAATTCCCTGCCCACTCGGATCATAACCACACAATTGTACATCATCTACAAATCATCACTCACTCAGCAACAAGGACGAGCATCACACAAACTCGTATTATTGCAAATTTCACTCGAGACAACCAAAACCCAGCACTCAAGATGGATACCTTTGAAGATATGGCAAACTTGGCAGAGGGTTTTCAAGTCAAAACCACGATCAAATCCACAGGCGAACCTAGGTTATATAGGGGACGTAAGCTATTTCGAGACACATGACAAGAGTTGAGAAATGTCAACTTGGATGTTGAAGACGAGTCTGAAGGTTCCAAATCTCAGCAGCCTCAAGCTCTCCCATCATCAATCCAAGGTCAATGCTTTCCAGAATTCACTCTTTTCCCTAAACTCCCACTGGAGCTTAGACGGAAGATCTGGGGATTCACCGTAGAGCCACGGCTGATTGAAGAGAAGTATTGCAGACATTTTGGTGAAAAATATGGACCACATTGGGAAAAGAAGGTAAGAACTCTCTTTCCTCTCAATATTGTACCATACAGTAGCATGCCTGCTTCTTTTTGGGCTTGCTCAGAGAGTAGAAATGAAGTCGCTAGGTGTTATGTGGACATTGCAGCTATATCTAAGACTCGCATGCTTTCTGAAAGGTACTCACAGATGCCAATTGAGACCATTCGTCCTTTGCTACGCGCTGATCCTTTTAGCCTAGACCAAGCAATTGCCAACTTCAAACGCCTTTGCGAGGAAGACTCTTCGCTTCCCTTGCCACCATCTGTACCTTTCAATCCAGATCAGGACATTATCCGCTTCGATTCTCTCAAAACTATAGACATTAGAGGTCTTCGTGAATGGCTATCGGAACTACGGCTTCTTCGTGAAAATATGCCTATGCCTTCGGATCGAAAAGCCTGGCGCGTTGATGATTATCCCTTCGAACCGCCATTCATAGTCCACCCTTCGCTTGTCAAGAGAGTTCAAACCACACCACAATCACTTCTTGCAAGTTTGACAATCATTATTTTGAGAAAAATGGCGCGATGAAGGCCATGATTTTCATTGGTTTCATTTATCAGGACCTCGACGAGTTCATTATTCAAGACTCTGACTGCAAGTTTCCCCACAAGCTTGATCTGCCAGAGAATCGAGAGTTGTGGACAAAATGGATTCTTTGGATATTCAAAGTTCAGAGCGCCCACGAAGAATACGCATTCATGAGAGCAGGCTCTGCATTCAAAGTTTCCAAAGTTGTAATCCGTCCTGGTGTCAAAATTGCAAGACCATTTGAGGACTGCAGTGAAGGTCAGAAGTACGCCCAGAGTATGGTTCGGGCGGTCAAAAAAAGCAAGCACTACATTAAGTACATCTATATTGACCCCCCGCAATAGGACTCTCAGGATAAAGAGGATTCAGACGACAGTGATCTTGGTTGTTTCCAGGTTTGGTCAGATGTCAGCAATTCCTCTGGTGAGTAAAACCCCCCATCATTTTTCGTACCTAGGTACTACATGTTAGCTCTTTCATATCAAATAAGGAACCAAAAAAATAAAAATAAAACATATTAATTTTCTATAAAAAGACAAACTTCTTCTCGCTCAATGTGTATGATCCAAGTGAAGTAAATTTGCCTCGTAATTAATCCTATCAACCCAAGTAATCAAAATCGCCACAAATTCTCCTTGCACTTTACATGACGAAAAGCTACTTAAAGAAAGTGAAATATTAATATAATCAAGATCATTTTAGCAGATTGACAGATAAATATTTGAAGATGTTTGATTTGAATTTGTTCGAACCAGATTTACACAATGACTGACATACTGGTCTTCGTGGATGCAGCCAACTTCTGGAATGCATTTCCCCTAGTGTTATTGATGACTATTCTCATTTGAAATTCCGTATGTTTAATTACAGTGTATATAAAGATTAATTGCAGAGAAGAGAAATCAATGCAGGACCACCGAACTTATACTCTTGTGGTAAGATAGCATATTTAGTCTTGTGTCATGCCACTGAGTATCCAAAGAAGTAACCTTGAAGGGTGTATTCTAAGAAGTCACTCCATTCTCCAAATTCACTCAGAAGTTTGGTCATATCTAGCAGTCTTTGAACAGTACATCACATCTAGATTCAGATTCCTAATTCATACCAATAGTTCACGATCTTCGTTCCAGTCAATAACTAGTATCCGGGGGTTTCAAGTCTCCAGGATAAACTTTTTACGTCTAGTATGACAGCGGTGCAAAATGGCCTGTAAAATCCTCCGCCATTAAGCTTCTCTATCAGGCTTTTTGTCACTAGATTGAAAAATACGATTATTCCTAAAATCTCAAAAATTAAATTGGTGAGCACAGTCTATTTTTCGTATATCATCCATTCCACCAAGCGTTCTCAGAACTCTATGTACCTCTACGGTTAGATGGAGCATATTTTATGCTGCAAGAGGTTACCTGCACCATTTTATTGAGTATAATTAACATTGAGAATCGTTTAGGTGCAATATATTGATGGCTATTGGTCCATTTTCTATAGATTTATCTTCTTCCGTGCATTTTCGATGGTCTGAAAGCTTTGTTCGGGATTCAGTTCGAGTTCAAACTTGTGTAGGAGTAAGAGAGTAAAATGATAACCCGGAAAGCAGAATCCTCAATGTAAATTTGATGAGTAGAAGTCCGGTCGGCAAAATCCAACCCGATCATAAACGTATTACATTTAAGTCTCCCCACACTCAATTTCATATATTGCCATTATTATGATAGAAAAGTCTCACTGATTGTTTAATATCAATGTTACAAAACTCATATATCTCCTATTATTCTTATCTTTCCTGTCCTCCTTGCTATATCCTCCTTATTCCCTTTCGCCTTCCTACCTCCCATCTTCTGTATCCCACGAGCCCTAACCCGACAGTAAGAATAACAGCAGTACCACTCACAAATCCGTTTGATGTTTTGCTGTTGTATGACCTGGTTGACTATGGTGAAAGCCATCGTGGCGTAGAGCATCATCCCCATCATAGTGTCTGTGATGACTTAGCCGTTGCTCTGGAAGAGGCGCACGTAAGATTTGTCGAGTCGAATTTTAGCCGTCGGGAAGGTGTCTGAAAACCAATTGAGGAGGCTGAAACTGTTGAAACGGGGCCTTCCAAGCAATTGAGGTGATGTGTGGCCGTCAGAGTGAGATCCCCGCCACAGTTTGGCGTCCTCCTGTGTGAATGAGAATTTGAGCAAAGTTCGAAGTACCATCAAACACATGTCGACAATGAGAGCCTAGCCTGTCTGCACACGCAGAAAGCTCTCTTTCTTTCACGTTCAACCGGGCCTCGTCTTCAGACAACTTGCGTCTTTCTTGTTCAAGGTCCTCCTTCAGTTTTCTAAGGCTAGCTTCTTTGAGATGCAGTTCATCCAGAACCTTAATTACACCTCCTTTGCTGGGCATTTGTTCTTCCCGCTCAAAACTGGTTTGGTGATTTGCCGTAAAGGTATGTTGAAGTGGTCTACAGCAGAGGAAGCAACTATTTATAGAGAATGGACTCTTAGCCTCATCTCCCTAGTTACCGAGCGTTAGTATTATATATATCAATAACGCGATGAGTACTCACGCTGTGAATGCATCCTCCTAAAAATGTCCGATCTCCTTCGAATTCTTGTCGAACGCGCATGGTTGATTTGAGGATGGTTTTTGAAGTAAGTTCTGGGTCTGGATGTGATCCTGATCTTAGTTTGGGTAATGGTTTTGAGTTGATTTAATTTTGATTTGGGTTTTGGGGGTCGGAGGGATTATAGGCAACTTGGTCCTTGCTCGCTTGCTATACGGTATGACTGTTTTAATTTCGAGGATTCATATATGACTGAAACATGTTTAGATTTTATTCACCCTGATGATTCAAACAAATGTCTACCTCAGTACATAGTCATACACCTACGAATTTCTATTTGAGTCATAATGGACCAACTTATGAGCCGCCGGACCTTAAGTTTAGTCAATCGAAAACATGCACTCCTCGAATTCAAAATATAATGCGCATTGCTAGCCATACAAAGATTATCTTCCGTTGGTGCAGGTTATCAGGAAGCCATTTTCTGCAGATTTACTCACAATTTTTCTTGCTTTTAAGGCTACATGTTCACACATCTATTTCCAAACTTTCGATTTATGGCAGTAGCTGTGGTTGGATATGGATTCTGCAGAATTCCTCTTGTCAGGGATCAAAGACGCGGTCAGATCTTGTAATACATTTCTGGGGCCAGGGACTCAGAGGATGACTCTCTTCTTGTTGCTGATAATCATATCTGAACACATACATCTGGGTTACAGTTTTTTTCATTTGATGTGACTCCTTAGTGAAGGTAGGCTACAGCCCACCAAGTTCCTTCTCCCCGCTACTATTTTCCCTTATGCATACATTGCCCACTAATACTTCAGCAAATTTAATGGCCTACGTTTCTACTCGACTTTCCAGTCGCATTTGTCCCTGAACACTCAGCAACCTTTTCACAATAACCACAAACCTCATGCCCACACTCTCCACATTTATCCTCCGCAAGCGAGTTCTTCCTCTTACACTATACAATCAACATCAGCATCAACATCAGCAAAATCCACCAAATTAAAGCCCCTCAACCTCAACATCAAAGAAAGAAAACTTACCGGCCCCCTAACAAAAATTTCCATTAAACCCCCCAAAGGACCCATAACCTTTGCCTTTGCACAAATATGATTACAACATGTCCAATAAAACCCAAATCCATAACTCGTACTCAAACTCGAACTTGAATTCCCAATTCGCTTTTGCATACCCAAGCCACGATGACAATTAAGCCCCGTTATTTTTTTCATAGCTCTATAAGATAATTTCTCGTTTTCCCAACTCATGACTTTTGCCCCTCTATAGGAAGGACCTTCGAATTTTCGGCGAGCTATGGGTCAAGATTGGGGTTTGCATGCGAATTCAGAAGTTGATGTTCGTGCAAATGTATCTGGGGCTGGTGCCATGGGCAGGCAGGACATGAGTAGCATGAAAATTCTTGTGTCCATTTTGCTTGTATGGAAGTATGTACTGTGAATAGTAAGTGCTATTTGTATGATATGCTAGTACTTGCACAACTGTGTATGATGAAAGCTGTTTGTTCTTTACTTCTTGATAAATGGAAGATGTTATATGATGGTTTCCATCAAAGAGCAGATTCCAAATACTGACTGCTCTAAACATGAGATCAAACCGTTGCAAAACATGATGGCTGTACTGGCCATATCAACTCGACGGCGCGAGAAGTCAAGAACTGTGTATACGTAGTAGCGTATTGTGATATAAAGAATATGGCGCAAAGAAAAAAAAGAATAACAATGCAACAAGGTAAACTACCATGAACATATGGTATTCAACAGCTGCAGTGATATAATATTACTATTGCCTCATCCACCGTACCTCCTATAATCAACCTCACCTATCACTCCTCACTCCTGTCTCTCCACTGGCCCCACATAGAGTTCACAATATCTGCGTACAAACATCAACAGCCAGTTTTCGTTCGTAAACCCCGCATCACTCAATGATGAGAAGCTATTCTTGTCGCTTGATCCCAACTATTCGCTCGCCGGTCCGATCGTCTGTAGTATCCTTCTCGTAAAGGCGATTCTAAACTCTCCGAATTTTGAATCGCCGTATCTATACCGAAGTATCTTTATCTTGACCAACTCGTATCTCGCATTGATTCACCCAAACGGTGCAGTGCGGGCCATTCTTCGATGACAGGAGCTACAAGTTGAGGTAGAAGAGTTATTGGAAGCGCCACATTGAACCTAGAATTCTGTCAGGAAAAGGAGCAACAGATTCAGCTAGATACTTACAGTTTTAGAGTTGTTTTTTGTTAAGTTGGCACATATCCAGAGCGTGCTAGGTACCGGCACTGGCATAGCGATAGAAGGATTCATCGTCTTTTTTTGATGGAAGGTCTGCTTTTTTGCTTTTGTTGAGAGAAAATAAATATCTGGCGGGTTTTTTAACTGGAGCAGTTGAGGAAGAGAGTTTTGATTTGATCGAGTTTCGAAATCTCCGTTTGAATCAGGGAAATATGCAAAAGTAGCTCATGACTGGATTTAATATTTGCACTTCAAAAAATATGTGATTCATTTATTCATACATAGCTGCCAACAAGGTTTCCCACATCAGCAAGCTGTAAGTTTGGTGCTGGAGACTGGGTTGAATCAATCCAGTTCTCCCAAAACTTCACACCCTCTATACTCACTTCCCTACATAGAGCTCCCCTTTCCTCAGCCATTTCAAGCTCTTCTTCTGCAACTCCAATGCTCCACCCAAAGCGTTCTGCGGCATCTTGCGACGTGACACCTTGTCCAAATTCTTGCCAATCCCAAGGTACTTCTTTCTCTGGCGGAAACACATGCAAATCCCTTAACCATGCTAGTAAAGTCTTTATAGTCTTTTCATCCGTCCTATCACTGCCTTGAACCACTAGCACCCCACTTCGAAACTGCCTTAGTCGTACTGGAAGCTTTAGCTTCTCCCACAATCTTGCGGCCTTTTCAAAATCCAATGGGCTAACAAGTTCAACGCCACCCCGAGCACGATTGAAAGTAGCCCATAGATCGACCAGACTAATTATACCACCAGCCTTGCGTAATACTCCTCTGGCATCATCCATGAGGAATTCTGCGAGGTTTCGTGACAGCTCTGAGATATATAGTGACTCGGCATTGCTTCCACCACCAAGCATCTCTTTTGTCGTGACCAAACCAAGCGCACTTGCAACGGCATTAGACTCAGTATTTCCATTCGCACCATTACTGCTCGCCAATGATTCTGCAAGGGCAATGATATCTTTAGCCGAGGACATCAATGCATCAAGATCCTCAAAAGCATTTCCTATGACAAATTCATTATTCTTACGTTCTTCAAGACGTCTCTGCTCTAGACCTGCTATTCCAACTGTTTTTGCCCGCTCGCCACCTGCTGTAGAAGTACCAGAGCCTGACCCACTATCTGTCCTTGCATGGCGGTTGGGTTTAGGGAAAGGAGGGGCAGTATGAAGAAGCCATTTACGCTGTATCATACATGCTTTGAGACGCTCAAGAAATACCTTTTCGCCACCACCCCGAAATGATAGCTTGATGCTTTCATTGGTTTCGGTTCCAGGAGCTGGTAGATTATTGAGCGTGGGGCCGGGGGAGTTTCTACGTTGCTGTGACGGATGCACATCTGTTGGGAGATCGTGGGATAGTAATGGTGCCCCACAAAGTTCGCAGGCTACAAGTGAAGAGTGGTTCAAAAAAGTGCATCTGGGACAGGCAACAGGTGCTTCACTACTCTGAGCTGAAGAGGATCCACTCTGATCAGGTCCGAAACGATTCAAAGGTGAATCGAAGAGATCCGATTGCGGGCGAATATCCGGACTACCTCTCACTGGCACTGGTGTCTTTAATGGTGTGGACGCTGGAGCTGGTCGATTGCTTGCACCGGATATAGCTGCCTTAAGGACATGAGAGAATGGAGGCTTAATACCACATGCTAAGCACGGAGGCAAAGGATTATTTGTATTAGATGTGGCTGGATCAAAATTGGATGGCACAGAATTCGAGAAAGAGCAGATAGGACAAATCCATGTGGCATTACTTGCAGGTGTGGGTTCGGGCGTTGGCAGATGAAATGGACTGTCAGTTCGAGATAATGGGGATGATGTGGCACTTCTGGAAGGAGAATGTAGGCTTGTTAAAGCTCGATTCTGAACTGAGGGCCGCTTCGAAGGCTTCGGAACAAGAGTAATCTTCGCAGATGATTTAAAAAAACCAGCCTATAACAATGTTAAAAATACATAGGCTCGAGGGTATGGCTAGTAGTCCTTACATAGAATTCAACGCGATCAACATCCTTGAGATCTATTGCCGCGGAATTCCTTCTAGGGTCATCATTATCTACATAACATATTCTATGAGATGTCAGGTAGACCTGGCCATTTTGATGATCTGGGATTTTGTATTTCCTATTTACATTTCGGGTAAGCAAGTTTTCTTCTTATTGATTGAGCGGACACTCACCCTTCATAAAGTCCAATATTATCTTGAACAAAGAGGTTGACCTCATCTGGCAAATAGAATGGCCTCAAAGCAGTAGTGAGGTCTAAATGTTTTAAAAACATTCGTCCGGACAAGCCATATACTAACAGTTCTTCAGGTGTTTGTATAAGAACAGTATTGTCCACCTCTGCTGGAAACAACAAGAACTAAGGGTTGTAGCATCTATAAGGACTTTGGAAAGTTGTTAAGATACTTTGGATTACTGCATGTTCACTTATCATTGCCTTATCGTGATGCAGTACAAGTAATGAAAATCTTACATAAGCAGCAGACAAAAGAAAATCAAACAGTTGAATTTAGACTACCGTACTCCGTCTTGACTTTGTTTTGTCACCTCCTGACCAATCAATTATACGACAACTCATTCGGTTAATTGAACCAGCCAAACCAGCCATTCTTACAAAACATTCATTCCACTTCCACCACTTCAACGTCGACAACTACAAAATCACACCCTTTCTACACCCCATCTCCTCAACAAATTCTCTTACTAGAAAACCTTGTCGCGTTCCCTGTATCGCATCACTAATATCTAAGAACACATTGAAATAAGTTCTATATGTTCAATACGATGGCTTCACCTTGGAGCTCGAATATTCCACCGCCTCCAGGTACTACGGGCTCGTATGGCTACCAGCAAGGTGAGAATCCAGCACCAGCAATACTTTTAATTCCAGTAATCTATCATAGTTTTCTAACAAATATTACAGTTCCATCGATAGTTGCCCCAGCTTATCATCCAGTGCAAGTCCGACAATCATTTAATCAAGCCCCACCCATAATTTATAACCCAGCAGTAATCCCCCAGCAATCACCCCCTCAATCAATACCTCCTCCTGTCCAAAAGAAGAGGGACTGGCCGCAGTCAGTTCGTAGCTATGTTCAGCGTTCATTTGATGTCGCACATGCCATCCACGGCATTGAGCGCGCAGATATGGAAGACATGTTAAAAAAGACCATCACCGAGGCATCCGACACCGATACACTTTACAGTCGTGATTGGGATAATTATCCACTCCCTCAACAGTTAATCCAAAACGAGCGATCAAAGGCCGCAGCGGCATGGCAGCAGGAATCTCTAAACTTTCAATTAGCTTCCACCGGCTTTACGAATTCGGGAAAGAAGAGAAAGTCTATAGAAGGAAGTAGTGATGATAATCTCACCGCAACGCCGCCGTGGCGTGCTAATAATCGCACCGGAAATGATGACCGTACCAATTTAACACCTTCCAAACAACGTTTCGATAAACGACAACAACCGTTCCAGGACGAGCTCTCTTATAAAGGTACAAGTAAGTTTCAAAAAAACCTTGAGAAGCGACAAAAACGATTTGACGGTGGCTATAAATCTACCCACAAATCTAAGACGCCGACACCCGAACCTATGATGGGTCCTTTGATTGGTACGAATACATCGTTAGAGAAGGAATATTTCCGTTTGACTACTGCACCTGTGGCTTCACAGGTTCGCCCTGAGTACATATTAAGGGAAACCCTAGATCTTTTGAAAAAGAAGTGGAAAAAGGAAGGGAACTATTCTTACATCTGCGATCAGTTCAAATCTATGCGTCAGGACCTTACGGTTCAACGCATTAAAAATGAGTTTACTGTCACAGTCTACGAAATCCACGCACGTATCGCACTGGAAAAGGGGGATCTCGGTGAGTATAATCAATGTCAGACCCAATTACGGGCTCTTTATGCCCAGAAGATTGGAGGGAACCCAGTGGAGTTCAAGGCATATCGTATCTTGTATTTCATTCACACAGCTAACCGCACTGCACTAAATGATGTCATTGCGGATCTAACTACAGTAGAGAAGGAATCGGAAGCAGTAAGACACGCCCTGAGTGTACGTTCGGCATTAGCATTAGGAAACTATCACAAATTCTTTAGACTTTACCTCGATACCCCGAACATGGGAGCTTATCTTATGGATATGTTTGTCGCCCGAGAACGTCTAGCTGCTTTGTCAAAAATTTGCAGAACGTAAGTTGACCCATCTAAATTGCTCATAAGATTTACTAACACATTCTAGTTACAAACCTGAGGTCAAATTAAGGTTCGTCACGGAAGAACTAGGATTCGAGTCCGATGGCGATGCTGCTCAATTTATCTGTGACCACAATGGACAGGCTTTATTAGTGGAGAAAGATGGCGACCTTCGATTCCTCTCTGGCCAAGCCGGCCAGATTTTTGAGAACGCAAAAGCTGAAGCCTTCCGCGCGATTGATATCAAGGGCCAAATCTAACACTTTTATACCTTTCGACTTGGGTTATATTCTGCCATCTCTTCGTCTTTTTCGTCATTTTCTTTCTCCATGGTTATTTCAAGGCAGCCTCAGCTCAAACCTATATGATTTCATTCTTCTGGTTGGCCTTCTTCGCTTATGAAACCAAGTGCGGGTCTAGATGACTGCTCGTTCCGTTTTCATCTACTCTTTCGAAGAACGAATCTTCGAGTCGATCAAGAGCAGACCTGAATTTTCTTTTTTTCCATTCTTCGATTGCGAACGACATAAATCCTTTGCACAGTCAAAATTTTCTTTTTCTTTAATGCATGGTGAATATTTAGGTGGAGTTGTAGTTTTGGCGCATGGGCGTAGAGTGGAGTGAGTGCTAGCCATTCATGGTAAGCACAGTTGGGTCGGGAGTTCGAGGGTTCTTTGCATGGTGCTAGTGGGAGGGAGCGTTTGATACATTCTTGGACGACGTGATGGGCAATTAAGTGTGCATCATTTGGCGGTATCCGCCTTTCATGTATCTTGTTGGCTTTTAATACCCTCGTAGATCTGTATATATTCTACTAGAGACGAGGGTTTACATCAAGTAGTACTGACAAAAGTTTGCGAAAATAGCTGGATACAAATTTTCATGAAAATTAAATACAACTAAATAAAGGTTCCATTGAGATTTTTTCGTCGAATGAATATGACATATACATACCTATATATAGTACCTCGAAAGTTCACACCAACAACTCAAGACCCAAGGCTCTCCATCAAACCTTGAATATAAAAGCAGAGCTGCTTTACTCGTAGATATTTTTAGTTTTTATCTTTGCTCGTTCTATCTCGAATCAATCGTTCAGTCATTCGCATAGGCCAAGAGTAAGATAAAGTCTAAACCTAAGAACTATGAATAGAAACCAAAGTGTGGATTTATATTTTGCGGTGTGGTTTTGGGTTTGGATATTGTATATTGAGTTTGACGCACTGAGCTTGAAGTGTTGAGTTATGGTTGGGTGTGGATCTAGGGTTGGATGTGTGCTTGGATAATGCGATGTGTGGGCTTGGTCGGGGAGTGCGGTGTGCAGTGTGTAGTGGAAGGTTTGGATTTGGGTTTGGATTTGGGTTTGGATTTGGGTTTGGATTTGGGTTTGGATTTGGATTTGGATTTGGATTTGGATTTGGATTTGGATTTGGATTTGGATTTGGATTTGGATTTGGATTTGGATTTGGATTTGGATTTGGATTTGGATTTGGATTTGGGTTTGGATTTGGATTTGGAGTGTGGAGTATATGCTTGAGCTTGGGTACAGACTGTATTTGAGTGTGGAGTTGGTCGGGGGTATTGAGTTTGACGCGCGGAGGGTGAAGTATGTGCTTGTGCTTGCGTATGTATCGTGTTTGGGTGATGTTGAGGGTGGACTTTGTCGGGGAGTGGGGAAATGGAAATGGGGAATGGAGTGTGGAGTCGAGTGTAGAGTTGAAGTTGAGCTTGGGAATTGGTGACTGGGGATTGTGTTTGAATATGGAGTGTGTATGTGCTTGGGTAACGCGATACGTGGGTTTGGTTAGGGAATGGGGATGAGGGATGAGGTATATGTTTAGGCTTACTTTTGGTTAGGGTTATGGTTACGGAGAAGAGTATAGGCGATAGTTGAGATGGTTGGTTGGATGAAATGGTAAGGTAGGGTAAATTGGATGGGGGTTAAGGGTTTGAGAGTTGAGATAAGAAATGAGAGATGAGAGATGAGGGTTGAGGGTTGAAGGATTTTATATGTATATATGTACATAGGAGGTTTAGAGTGAAATGAAGTGATTTTCTAGGAGGTAGGTTGTTAGGTAAGAGGACTATATCTATTTTATGACTTGGAGTGAGTTGAGGTGAGGAGAGGTGAATCAATAATTAATTACCTACTAGGTAATCTTACTAGTATATAATATTAATATCACTATCAATTTTTTCAGTAAACTCATTATATTATACACCCATGAAAAGTAAAAGAAAATAAAAATTAATAATTTTATAATCTAGACTAATAAGAATATAAAGATAAGGAATACTAGATATCTAATTCAGTATATATATATTATAACAAGCTAGCTAGATTAATTACAAGTCTACATGTATACTAGGTAGTTACGTCATTTTAGACACCAGTATGTTTATATGGTTAGGTTGTATACTAGGATTTGAGATTTAGATTTAGATTCGATGAGATGTGAGATTCGGGAGGTCTTAGAATCGCTATAGGAGCGCGGTATTTTCTTTCACGGGGGAAGGTGGATGGGTAAATATATCGGTTTAGTGTAGAATGATATGCAGTGTCTTTTGGTTATTAGGTTGGTATTTTCGTACTCAAATCCATGATTTTAGGGCCTAGTAGTAGGCACGGCAATGTAATGTGATATGATGTGATGTGATCTTAGTAGAATCTAAGATCTCTTCCTACAGCATCGTATCTATCTCACTATCCCTAGCCATCAAATCAAATCAAAGTCATATAAATTATATAACAGCCACACTACACCTTAATTAGCAATCTTCTACGTGTAAATAACATCGAGAAGAAGAAACCCTCCATATAATCACAAAACAAAATATCTTCTTCACAAAAGTCAAAATCCAATAAGGAATCGTAACTTACCGTATCTATTCAGCAATAATGATGTCGCACGAGAAGGAAGAAGGAAGTGAGCTAGGTATATACGACTGATATAAAACAAAAATAAAAATAATAAATAGCATGTCGTGGTATCTTCACGAAGTTTACGAAGAAGCGTCTCAGTTATATCGTAGGATCGATCGTAGGATGTTTCGATATCTTCGTTTCAGAAGTCGTTTGGCTTGTGGGGTCGGAAAACTTTATACTCCGTATTTGTATTTACTTCAATAGTGTCAATAGCCTCTCCAATAACATACCTAGTTGACCGTCAATCTGCCTGTTGTGTGAGCGTTGTTTCTGTGGAATAATTATCTAATCTAAGAGTAGGTATGTAGGTTGAAGATTTATATGTATGGAGATAGGTAGGTAATTGTGATTCTTATGTATGATGTGTGATGATGAATTCGGTAGGCTGAGTGTTCGGAGGAATTGGATGTTGTATTCCGTGATGGGGTGAATGGGATGGGATGAATGGGATGTTTATAGATTATGTAGATGCAGATAAGTACTTTTGCCTTTTTTTTCTTTTTGTGTTCAAAGTATATATGTGTGATACAGAGTACGAGTATATTCCTGCAAAAAGTAAGCCACGCCTAGATGTAAGTTGTGTACATCAATACCTACCTACCAGGTAGTATGTTCAGGCACGGTACAGGAGGTGGCTTTACGTTGGAGGTAGTAGGGAGTGGAAGTGTCAGGAAAAGTAATATAGAATTAATTAATTCAAGACGGGAATGGATTTATCGATGTTATACATATACTAGATGATAATATTGAGAGGGATTGAAAGTGCATCTGCCGGTATGTGTTCACGAAAAAGAAGAGATGGAAAATATATATAGATAGGTACCTAAGTATACATGCATTAGAAATGTAATTGAATGGTACTTGCAGATAGGTACGCAATTGTGTTACTTTACTCCTATCTATCTATCTATACCTATCTATCGCTTTGTGTACTATGCTCAAATCTTCAAAAGTCTAGTCAACTCTAACTTCTCACTAACATGAAAATACCTAAGGATTGATAGGTAACTAAATTGCCACGCAGAATAAAAAGATCGTCAAATAATAAGCCGCTCAGCCCTGAATTGATGGGGCACCTCAGGGCTATCAAGGCTATTAAAGGCTAGTTTTCACCTCAGCATCAGCGTGCCGCCGTTGAGATATTGATGGTGGGGGATAATGAGTATAATTGGATGATGAATGGGAAGTTTAAGACACTGCTTTTTTGAAGGAATCGATGATGCTGCAGGTCCCAAGCCCAAGTGCTTTTCTGGTTAGTGTGTGCATATCTTCGCAGTAGTTGGAAATACCCTTGGTTAATTTTGTATGGATCGGTGTGTGTATGCAGACTGACTGCAATATATTTCGTAAGAAGGGATGAAAAGTATCTATCTAGGTACCTACTTGAGTATATGAAAATTCGGGTGGTAGATTAATAAATATTGGATAATAGTCATGATATACATATAGAGTTATATCTTGACTCATGAATTACTAATGAATGATAAAATATTAATGAAAATGACGACGACGGGTGGACAATACTATAGAGGGTACTACCTAGTACCCTCAATAGTAAAGGTAGAAGGTTTATACTTTCAATTTTTTGATCTCGGGATCATCAATTTAAATAAATGATTCAAACTTGTCCCCTTACACTCTTTATGCGCAAGATCTAATTGGTTCATCGAATAAATATTTCACCTCGATCAGGAAATTGGGCATTTCATGGTTTGAACCAATAGACATGTCTAGATGCAGGATTCGGATTTTTGGGTACACATCTTGTAGGGAGGTTGTGGATGCCTGATACTGTATAGAATTATGTATGTACCTAATAATTATGTATAGAATTATGTGTACACAGCAAGCCGGGAAATTTCTATGACGATGTTAAGTGGCTTTGATATTTTTGATACCATCTGAAAAAGCACGATCAAAACGTGGAGTTTTAAATGCCGTGTGTAAGGAAGAGTATTTAATTTCATCATGTCATGTCATGACCAGTTTTCCCTCTCAGTACTCCAAATCCAAATGCAATTGTCCGTCCGTGTCAACCTTGAGAGTTTGGTTATCGATATCGATAAGAAGGAACAAGGTGTGTAAGGTTCAGCGGTTTGCATGATAATTTGGAACCATTTGCTTTTAATGTCTCGCTGCTTTTTCCTCTGTTTTTTCTCCGTACTGCACTAATAAGATCTTACATTTTCCCATGACTGAAAGTGAATCTGGATCAATATTTATTGATGAGAGAAACTTGAATTCTCTAACATTTATGTTTTTACTATTTGAGATAAAACTTAGCTAGGTAGCTAAAAGATGTCAAAGCTACTTCTTCACATTCAAAAATTTGTTCTAAAGTCTTTCTAGTCAGTGAAAAGCGGCATCTAGGTAAAATAAATGTTCCTAGTGCCATGTATATCAAACCTCTACTAACGGTAATTGTGGATATCATCGGGAGAATCTTTGGATAAATACCAAATGAACATGTGCGGAATCGTGATAGTCTAGAAGCATTGAGTAATTTAAAAGAGGGATCTTGGTACTGGGTGTATCCATCTAGGAAGTCGAATGATGAAACTGGAGAAGATGTCATTATCATCATCTACAGCATTGGGTCGCCTTTTCATATCTATCTATCTATCTATCTATCGATTGATTGATTGATCAATCACACATGGTATATTGGCATGAATATAAATCTGATACTCGAACATTTCAAAGATGTCGATGTACAGATATGCAGGCAAATATAGATCTTGTCAATAGAACTTTATTACTAACATATGCATGCTCCTTTCCCAACTGCAAGCCAAGCATCCTCAATCCTTTTGTGGGAGTAATCCCTTGCCCCTCTCTAGCCAAAGATAGAGATTCTTTGATCCAACAAAGAAAAGGCAGCAGCAGATCAATAATGAGGATGCTTTTTAATGCCAACTTTATTTTTTCTATAATATTTGATAGAGATTGGAGCTTCCTGAGAAACTTATTTGTTATGTAAACAGTTTGTTCTAAAAATCCGAAATCCGGTACCGGTGAAGAAGAAATCTATTCTCTACATAATAAGTATACCTCTATTTCAAATACTAATATTCACATATTATACCCGAAAATCCCATTGTTACCAAAACGCTGAGGCTACACTACACTGCCCTGTTCGTTTGTATCCCCATTCTCAGAGGCTCAACCTTGCTTTTTAAAGCCGTTCGAGGGGTAACTGGACAATCATCTCCTCTTAAGAAAAAAATATCTCGTTTTGCAGCTAGCTTAGCCTTTTCTTCCCCTCCCTTCTTTATTGCAGATCATCATCTATCTTCTTGCATCCCATTCTATTCTATTCACCTACGCTCCGCATCAACTAGGTACCTAGATATCTGCCGAGTACCTCGAAAGATACCACGCGCGCATACAGTAGACAGGATACAGCTACTAGGGATTTATTATCCTCTCATATCTATACCATACCATACTATACCATACATACCACACTATCTTACACTATCCTACACTATCCTACACCATACTTTAAAGTTATAACCCATCGTTCGAGATTCTTTCACGCTACATTACAGGATTCACATCTTTTTAGTCACCCCACCTTATCAGTCCTTCGGAAGCTAGCTATTTCATAGTGTAGTGAGTGGACTCGGAGTACTAGGTAGCGCTTGGGGTTTTTATCGCCGCTTCAAAGAAAGTTGGAAGCGTTGCATTGAGAAAAGGAAGGAAAGTTAAGAAGCAAGAACGATCGATAGTGATCATATTTATTTATTTTATCTACATCATTTAACGACAATCATATCTTGTGCCCCGACATACAAACCATCAAAATTGGAGAATCTCTTGAATTTCTTTTCTTTTCATTGCCTTTCTTTTTTGCCTTGCATCTCGAGGAGCACGACATAACGATAAAGCAGTCAATATGAAGGTCAGTCACCAACCAGTCTCTTGTTTCGTCTGAGCATTTTACAAACAAGTAAGAGTCATCGCTAACTAAATATGTTTGTCTATCAGGCTCTTCGCAGGTCGATCAAAGGTGAGAAGCCTGATTCGAAAGTTCAACATGTTTCCCTCACGCCCAAATCTGCCGTCGCAATTGTCCCACCGAAAAAGGTACGTCGCAATTCGTATACTTGAATCGCAACGGCATTGATTCGCATTCTAACAAACCGCAATCATTCTAGGTTATTCGCGCATTGTATGATTATGAGGCACATTCGAACCAAGAATTAGGTTTTACGAGGGGCGATTTCTTTCACGTCATAGGACGAGAAAATGATACGGATTGGTACGAGGCATGTAATCCCGCGGTGCCAGATGCAAGAGGATTGGTACCTGTTGCATACTTTCAAGCGTTAGGGAAGACTGAGCGAGATAGTGCGCAGTCCATATCAGATAAGTCGCCTATGATGAAGGTGGATCATGATTCGGGTTATTCCGACATGTCCGGTTCAGGGACATTGACGAGTCCACCAGATAGCGGTGGAGGTCAAAGATTTTCAAAGACAATGAAAGGCACCGGCGCGATGGTTTACGGCGTGGTTATGTACGATTTTGCGGCGGAACGACCCGATGAATTGGAAGCAAAGGCTGGTGAAGCAATCATCGTGATTGCTCAATCGAACCCAGAATGGTTTGTCGCGAAACCAATTGGACGACTAGGAGGTCCAGGACTGATACCGGTGGATTTCATCGAGATACGTGATATGAGTACGGGAAAGGCTGTGCCAAACGCGCAGGAAGCAGTTCAGAGAGCGGGTGTACCAAAAGTGGAAGAATGGAAGCGAATGGCTGCCGATTACAAGAATAGTAGTATTACTTTGGGCAAATTTGAAGTTCCCAATGGTTCATCACAACAGCAGCAGCAGCAGCAACAAATGCAGCAAAATATGGAACGATTGAGTTTGCAGCAAAGTGCAAGGCAGAGTCAGCAGAATGGTCAAGGCTATGTATGTATTGATTCGCGTGGTGTCAAGAAGCTTATACTAATCCAAAATCAGGACCAAAGACAATCACAACAAGCGAGAGCCGTCCAACCAGTTCAACAAATACCACAAAATCCCTATTCCGTACCATCTAAATCCACTTCTCAATTATACGCTCCGATTTCCGCTCGAATACCACGATACTGTTTTGCAGAAGATAAATATTGGTTCGTTATTGAAGCAGCTTTGGAAGATGGAAGACATTGGGAACTTTCGAGATACTACGAAGATTTTTACGATTTCCAAATCGCTCTTTTGACAGAGTTCCCAGCGGAAGCAGGAAATACTGGTACACAGAAGAGAAGTTTGCCATATATGCCAGGACCCGTCAATTATGTTACAGATGCTATAACTGAAGGAAGACAACATAATCTGGACGCATATGTCAAGAACCTTTTGACTCAGCCGGCATACATCTCAAGATGCACTCTTGTCAAACAGTTTTTTGCGCCTCGAGAAGGAGATTATGAAATGGACCCAAATGCAGTGGAAGAAGAATATCGTTTATCAGGTGGTTCACAACAATCATCAAGCGATTCAAGAACACAAGCAGCATCTAGGCAATCTTCGCGGGGTGATTTAAATGGAGAAACATATTCAATTGGTGGCCCTACTGGTTTAACGGCCGCTCCAGGACATCAAAGAGGTCAATCATCATTATCTGTCAAGAACGGTCAAGGTCCAACACGTCAGACGTCATCCCTTTCTCAGCCACCTAGCAATTCATTAACTCCAGCGGCGAATATGAATGGACAACAACCATCTGCTATGAAGGTCAAGATCTATTTCGGTGATGATTTGATAGCTATTCGAGTACCTACAGATATCCAATATAGGCAACTTTACGAAAAGATTAGTGATCGCTTGAAGATACCACAAGGGGACGAAATTGCATTATACTACAAGGACGAACCTAGTGGAGAAAAACCAAATTTAATGAGCGACAATGATCTAGACATTGCTCTACAACGAAACGATAAGCTCATTATCTACGTCGAATATCAGTAATGATGCCGGGGATGATGTTTACATCGACATGTATCCGGTATTGAACTTGGGGATAGAGAGTCAAATACTCTCACACATTCTTTGAACGATATGTTCTATTGCTACTTTTTTGGCACTTATACCTTCTTAATCTGCTTCGAATGTACAGACAAATTTTGGTGAGGGTTGATAATAGCTGCTGGTATAACTTTAGCAGCCGACACCACACTCATTTTGTTGCAGATCAACACATTTTTCATAAATACCTTGTTCTTTTTCCTTTCGAAAACATTTCTGTTGGTGATGAGAATATTGGGAGGCATCAGGCGTTATCATTTATGGCGCTTCCTCTTCTTTATTCCCCTTGATACTTTTTTTTACTTTTTCAAGATTTTGGGTTTGCATATTTAGTGCGTGACGGACATACCATGGAAGTTTCATTTGTTGGAGGAAGTTTATCAACTGATTATTACTTTTTTTTTGTTTGTTGAGTGGTGGAAGGAAAGAAGGGAAGGGTATGAAGGGAAGGGAAGGGAAGGGAAGGGAAGGGAAGGAAAGGAAAGGAAGGGAAGGGAAGTGGAAGAGGTGATGATAGTGATGACTAAGTTTTTATTTAGCCTGTGTGAATGAATAGGTACTTGAACCGTTGAACAGCGAGCATTTAAGTATGGAGTAGTGAATTGAATGATTGATTGAGATTGAGATGAGGATGAGATTGAGATTGAGGATGTAGTGTAGTGCAGTTGTGATTTGTGGATGTGATTAGTGATTGAGGATTTTGTGAAATTATAATGTGTAATGAGTGTAGTGTTAAATATGCTTTTGAACTGGCTAAAAGGGAGAAATTGTAATCTTATTCCTCGAAATACCGATACAAAAACTCTACCCAATAAACCGGCTTACCTAATAATCACACATGCATACTAGATACTAGGTAGGTACCTAGGTACATAGGTAGATGTATGCATTAGATCGCCATCCATCGTATCGTATCGTACCACCATAGCTAATAAGGTTACATATACCTAACATACCACTTATTTAGTCCATCCAAGTCCATGTCCATGTTCAAGTTCATATTATATTATATCACATCGTACCGTATTCCAAGACAGACACCCCTCACTTCATCTTCACCTCTTTCATTGAGCAGTCGATATATTTATATAATTATATATAGGTATCTCCTTGCATAATTATATAACTATATAAATATATAAACGCATTTTTCAAAGATCGATCAATCTTTTATTGGCTAGTTAAGGTTACGTCCGTGTGGTGGGTTTGAGGTTTGAGGTTTGCTTCGTTTTCGTTTGATGCGGAGGAGGTGTATACTTCGAATTGAGCTTCTTCATTCTTGAATGTTTACGGAGTCGTTGGTTTTTGTTTGGAGATTTGAGATTTGAGATTTGAGATTTGCGATTTGCGATTCTCTTGCTCTTTGGCTTACTGGCGTACTGGCTCGCAGGCTCACTGGCTCTCAACCTCGCAGATTCACTAGCTCTCAGGTTCACTAGCTCGCAAGCTCCACTTCCGCCCCGCCTCGCATCATCGCTCAAGCTAGACAGACGATCTTATCGCAATCGATGGAATGATTCTTATCTGCTGTTGAATAATTGATTGAGTTGCAGTGGGTTTTCCCGTTGCTATTGCGACTGCGACTGCGACTATATAGGTACCTAGTGATATATTGCTACAATAATAGGATACGCGCTACACTCGCTTTCAATTCGGTTTCGATTTGCGCATGAGTGGTCGAGATTACGAAATTCGATGGGACGAGAGTTTATGAGTTAAGCATAATTTTATCACGGAGCTTTCAAAGCTCAAGGATATCTTATCATCACAAATGCCATGCCACCTCTACAGTTACGCCAAGAATTCCCTTCTTTGAAAGCTTTTAAAGAAGCGTTACATGCTTGGGCTATCGAAGCACATTTTGAACCTAGGATTTTGAAAAGTGATACTGGGAGAGTTAGGGTTGGGTGTAAGAGAGATCCCGAATGTCCGTTTGTGGTGAGATGTAATTGGGAGAGAAGAGGTGGGAGGGAACCATTGGCTAGGGTTACGGTTTTGAGGGAGAGACATACTTGTTTGGATGATTTGGTTAGTGTTGGACATCCGGGTGCTGGGGTTAGAGTTGGGGTTAGGGGACAGATTAATGGGGGATTAGCGTCGGGAAATGGGAGTTGGGATGGGAATGTGGGAGGGATATCGGTAGGGATAGGACAAAATGGAAATGGAGGATTAGATGGAGTAGGTATAGGGATGTCGACGGGAATGGTGGTTAGAAATGGAGAAGGGGAAAGTGGACATATTATACCCGGAGCGAGAGTTATTGAACAACATAATGGGGGGAGTAATAGTGGAATGTCAATACCAGGACAGGTTTTACCGGTTCTACCCAAAGTTCAAAGGAATAGTGCGAGTCGATTACCATTTTTGATGGGGATTTTACCTAAATTAATGACGATTACGAAAGAAACTACACCAGTGGAGATTAGGGATTGTTTGATGAGGGAATTTGGTGCAGAGGTACATTTACAACAATGTAGAAGGGCGAAGACGGAAATTTTGAAGAAAGGAGGAAGTGGGGATGAGGGAGGTAGTGGACAAGGGGGGGGAACAGGTAGTGAAGGAACGGTAGGAAGCGGGAGTGGGAGTGGTGGAAGTGGAAGCAGCAATGGAAATAATGGCAAAGGTAGTGTACAAGGAAGCAACAACAATATACCACCAACCCAAGTCCTCTTCCCCGAAACAAACAACCACGCAAACGGAACCAACAATCCCGTAAACACATCCATGAATAACGGTCCATCTACATCCACATCTACACCTCAAAACACAAACAGAATCGATGCCCCCATGCCTCCTAATGCAAATACAAATCCAATCCGAACAGGCAGTAGCGCAAGTCCCCAACAACCATTCATATTACACACAGCACAAGGAATCGTAACACCGGCTGTTATATCAGAAAGAAATGATTCGTCGTCAATGCAAGTCGAGCAACCGATTCGTTGTCCGTATTGTATTAATCAGAGGTGGTTGAGGAGTATTAAGGATGCGGTGGAGCATTTGAGTATGCATGTTGTTGTTTGATGGTGGGGATGAATGGGTGAATGAGCGAGGGCGATTTGATTTTTATATGGGTTATGGGATAGGGAATAAGATGGGAATATCCAGGGTGGTAATTTGCTGTTGCTGTTACTGTTTTGTTGTTTTTTTTGTTGTGGTGTTAGGATTTTAATTAAGGTTAGGTATCTAGTATAGGATATATGGATTTTATTTTTATAGTAAGATTATATTATTCTAATAATCACAATGCTTTTAATTACTTTTGTGGTATTATAATAATAATAATACGTTTGAAAGTGATTCTGGTATTGTTGATACTACCTACCTACCTACCTATTGATATCTATCTATCCCAGATATCGAAACAGCAAAAGGGGGTTGATCGTGCTCCTGGTCCTGTTTCTGGTATGGGAGATGGAGATGAGGGTGGAGATAGAGATTTTATTATTGGATTGGATGGTAAGATTGTTTTTGTTATTTTGTTATTTTGGGGAGAAAGTTTAGGTTGGGTATGATGGAAGGGGTATGGAGGTCTAGAGGATATGAGGATATAGGATGATAAGGGAAATGATGGAAGGGGAATAATTCATTAGCTAATTACAACTAACATTTTCTTTCCTGTTCTTAGGGGAAACGAGTAAATAGATGGAGGGGATATATTTATATCAATATTCTCAAGACTAATGTAGTATCATTATGAATCATGAATTATTATTATTTGATGAGAGCTTTTGATGTTTTTATTTTTTTTTGTAGATGTAGCAATGTATATAGATATTGTTTTATTAATTATCAAATTTAATAAATTTTATATTTTAATCATCCTGATATCCTGATCTCTATATATTATCTAATTATATATTACCTTTTCTTGTATTTGAGTTTGAGTTTGAGTTCAGAGGGCTTGCTTTTGGCGCTTTGGGGTCTATTATAAAAATGAGGAAAAACTATTTGAGTCTAGAAGTCTAGAAGGTTTATTTAATATACTTTAAAAGCTCTTTTGAATGTAAAAGGAGAGGATAGAGAAGAAGTGAAGGAGATTTTTGTATAAAACTTTGAATTCACTTGTTGTGCTTGTTTGTATAGTTCATAGTGAGTTCATTTTTAAAGTGGTGGGATTAGGTTTCGAGGTCGAATATGTGGAAGGATTGTTTTTTATAAGTGAGTGAGTGAGTGAGTGAATATTCTTTGATGGATTTATTAAATGTTATAAGCTTGCAAGTTAAGTTCAATTTCAGTATTTATTTATTTACCCGAGAAAGTCAATTCTAACGATTCATGAGACAGGTCATCTACTTTGTGATCATCATGAAAATCGATCTAACCATTTATCACCATGACGAATCAACTACCTAGGGCGGTATTCAAACAATCTAATGGTGATTGAAGCCTTACCTTTGCTTTTGCTGTCTGTACCTATATTTGAAGAATTTGTATCTCCCCCAAAAACGATCACCCTGATAGAATATATATAGCGCTCTGCTTGATGTTAATCTCCTTTTAATAGACGTTAGTTTCGATTTTTAACGAATTATTAACAAGTGGTATATCTTCAACGCACCAATAGATCTAGACACTCAATAAATCCTCGATCTCTGGGAAAGTCAGATCCGGAAAGAAGACAGCAATTATTTGCTTAACCTAGTAAAATTACTACTGACCTGCTTCGAGGGGACGGGGAGAACTAAGAAGCGACTCTCTTTGATATAACTAGATTAAAATATTTACTACAATAAGACAGCACCTTAGATAAAATTGAAATTTCAAACATCTAAATGATGGCAGCTGTTATAAACTCTGCGCTGACTAGCAAATATCCCCATCGTCTTACAGCCTAATCTGACGATTTTCTCTCTATGATTAAACGCATTTTCGCTATGATTGTCACTCAGTTCAATTATTTAACCCTACTTCTTTGTAATCGTGGAGTGTATATGAGAGATTTCATGAATAGACGTTGCCAGCTTTCGTTGAATATATAGGATATAATAAGACCTTACTTATATTATAATAAGGCGATTAGATTTCAATCATTCAGATATTTATCTCCCTAAGCCTTTCCATACCGGTATCCAGCTCAAACAACTAAGTCTTACAAAAACCGATATTTAGTCTTATTCCTTTAATTATCATTATTGATCCATTCCTCTTTTAATCACATCCAAAATCACAATCAAATTCAAATCCGAAAATCAAACACACCACCAAATTTTAACCAATCATACAACTCTTCCATCCGCCCATCCATCCCCAAACCTCCTCATCCACCATCCACCCATCAATATCCCAAACTCAACCTCATATATAACTATTAACCCCTACACATCAAGCCGAAACCAACTTCTCCAACTCCAATCCCAGTCCCAATCCAAATATCCCTCCTCCATCTCCCCGCTTCAAGCCTTCAAAATTTTCCCCTTTCACCCCTCGCTTAACCCTAACCTCCTCTCCGATCCCCACCCCACCCACCCCACCACATACCCACCACGAAAATTTCTCTCTCTCTCCACCATGCAGAGATTTCCATTCCCCAAATGAGAATATATACCATAATATTAAAGGACGAATATAAGTCAGGCCTGATAGTTCAGTGGTAGAATTCTTGCTTTGGGTTGAGAATGATTAACTAATCTGTTGGTTAAGCTTATAAATCTAAATTGTAAGAGGTCTCCGGTTCGATCCCGGATTAGGCCCTGTGATATGTGACTTTTGCTTTTGCTCAAGGGGTTTGGGGTATCATCACGATTCAAGTCGAGGGGTGGGTGATTGCAGTTGTGATTGTGGTGATTTGGGATGGGAGTGGATGGGTGGGATTAGGTGCGGGATGGATGGAATATATCATTTTGTAATTCCTTGTTCATATTATTTATGCATGGGGTTGAATATTCAATGTTGTGAAATAGCTTCCTTCATAACCCATACCCATCTAATATCTATACACATCCTCTCCATTCCTTTTGTCTTGTCTTTTCCAAACTCCATTACCACACCCTAAACACTCATCTTCATATCAATCTTCCCATGTGGTTTATATCCCCTAACCTCAAACTCTTCTCCCTTCCATCCATCCACAACACCACTACCCCTATCCTCTCTCAAAATTCCTAATTCAGGAAATTCTCTAGGTTCTCGCTCAAGTTGTATTTTCAACGCATCAACATGATCAACATAAACATGTGCATCTCCCATAGTATGAGTAAATGTACCCGGTGTAAGATTGCATGCGTGAGCAAGAATATGAGTTAAAAGGGCGTAAGAAGCGATATTAAAAGGAACCCCGAGACCCATATCGCAAGAACGTTGGTAAAGCTGACAATGAAGTATGCCTTTAGGTTTTGATTCGGGATTTGTATTTGCTTCTGAAGTCGAGGAATCTGGAGTTTTCGGAAAAGAAACATAAAATTGTGCAAACATATGACAAGGTGGTAAGGCCATCAACTTAATATCTGCCACATTCCATGCACTTAGAATAATCCTCCTATCCCATGGATTATTCTTAAGCTTCCATACAATTTCCGCTAATTGATCAACACCTTGTCCTGTATAATCCGTTTCGGCATCAATATATTTAGCGCCGAAATGTCGCCATTGAAAACCATAGACAGGACCTAAATCTCCTTCTGCTCGATGAGATAAACCAATCGAATCTAGGTATGTGCGGGATCCATTTCCATCCCAAATTTTTATACCGGCTGCAGAGAGAGGAAGGGACGAAGTAGAGCCAGAGATGAACCAAAGAAGTTCTGTTAGGACGGCTCGTAGGAATACTCGTTTTGTTGTGAGAAGTGGAAGAATTGGAGTTCCGGTTGGGGATGTGAGGGAGAATTTTAGAGGGGCGGGGGCGAAGAGTGAGATAGTACCAGTTCCTGTTCTATTTGTTTGTCATTAGCTATGTGTTCTTCAGAATAGGGGAAAAGATAAATAATAAAGATAGATTTACCTATCAGGACGATGTTCACCGGTTTCTAAAATCTCTCGGATTAAGTCTAGATATTGATATTCTTCATGTTTTTTGGAAGTCGAAGTTGGATTTGGAGATTGGGATTGTGTTTGTTCTGTTGATTGTTTTGTAGCGGGAATTTCGTGAGGGAGAGTTGAGAGTTCTTCTTCTAATGATGGTGACATCGTAAGTCTTTTGAATTTGTAGAAGTTAAAAATTGGAGATTTTTTTGTGGTTTTGAAGGATGATTTCAAGGAAGTGAAGGAGACGCGTTTGGACGCGTAAAGTGTTATTTCACGCTAGGAGTAGAATTTTTGCCTGAGGATACAATATATTACGGCATAGTGATTTGGTAAGTATTTACTAATAACTTTCTCCACCAACAAACTTATTCTGCCCACACAAATTAACTATTGCGAGCGAGGGCGGTGAGCTAAAAAATTCGACCATACAATCTACATAAATGAGACGTTGATGATTCTTTGCCTATATCATGATTAATCAATAAGCATTCCCAAGTCGGAAATTGAACTCACAAGAACCGTTTTGACACGGCTTCTATCAATGATATGCCCGATGATGATAAATCAAGAATTAGATAAAGCATGATGAAGACTTGTCAAGTTCACGGATGCGGGGCAACATTGGGCCGACTTGGCTAGAGATTGACATACTCTAGCAGTGTTCAGTTATTTGAAATCTAGGACTCAATGCAGAGTTTTGAAGAAAGGTTATATAAACCACAGTTCAGTGAACTACATAGATAGATCAATCAACAAGCTTTTACTTCATACATTTTCCATTTGCAATCTACACATTTCACTATATATATAAGCACAGCTCCGTTGATAGTTTCAACCTTCCCATCAATCCTCAAATCATAAAAAATGGCCCCAAAAACAGTTTTGATCACTGGGTGCAGTGAAGGTGGTATTGGAGATTCTCTTGCCAAAACTTTCCATCGCAAAGGTCTTCGAGTTTTCGCTACAGCTCGAAATGTTTCCAAAATCGAACACCTTAAAAAGTTAGGACTTGACACTCTTGCCTTGGATGTCACGGATCCAACATCCATCAAAATGGCTGTCGAAGCCGTCAAATTGGCCACTGGAGGAACTTTGGATTTCCTCGTTAACAACTCTGGTGCTGGTATGTTTTTGAATCTCACATATCTACTTCAGAGCATTCTAGAACAGTTACTCACCAAAAATAGGATACGCCATGCCACTACTAGATACTGAAGTAGAAGTTGCCCGAAAGATGTTTGACGTCAATGTCTTCGCAGTCATCACAGTAACCCAAGCATTTTCACCCCTTCTCATCTCCGCCAAAGGAAAAATCATCAACATCGGTTCAATCCTCGGTTTCTCTCCTATGTACTGGCAAGGATATTACAACGCCAGTAAAGCAGCAGTCAATCATATTACTGATCAACTTCGTCTTGAACTCGAACCTTTCGGTGTCAAGGTCATTCTTGTAATCACTGGTTTGGTAAGAACCAAATTCTTTGACAATCAACCATCGGTGAGGTTACCGGAAAACTCTCCATATGCCCCAGCGAGAGATATCGTTGAACATGCTGCTGGAGGAGATGAGGAGTTGGCTTCTGCAATGGATGTAGATGTTTATACAGAAAAAGTAGTGGAGAATGCTTTGAAGAAGAATTCACAGACACATCAATGGGCTGGTGGAAATGCTTGGACGGTTTGGTTTGTTTCGACTTTTTTTCCACATACTATTTGGGTTAGTGTTGAATCCTTTTTACAATTCCCCCTATTTTTTTGCCCCAAAACATACATGATGCTAATGAGTATTAGGACAAGGTCTTGCCCTCAACAAAGAATATTGCTGAGTTGAAGAAGAGACTGTTGGCTGCAGGGAAAAGGGAATAGGTATTGTTAAAGAAGATGTTTCTGGGTGGTAATACGGGGCCAAGTTCATAGGCGTTAGGCGTTATTGGATGATTTATTGGACATTGGAAAATGTATTTATTTTATCTTCGGCCTACTTCTTTACATCACATTCCCTGATTGTAGATGTTTTGTGATCTCAAGTTTTAATCTTCTTCAATTCAATTTGTTTATCAAGAACATGCTCAGAATCTCCTCATTCGTTTTCAAAACTCTTGCCGCTTCAATTCATTTTCCTAAGAGCACAGTGTTATGGTTTCCTGTTTAGAGTCAAGCATACTCGATGAAAATATCGAGATGCAGGTAGTGATGCAAATATTGAAGTTGATATTGCAGCTTTCATATTACTCCCATTTTGTGAGAAATTCAATATCGATGTCGTCAACCAAGGCTTAGGATGAGGAATACAGATACAAATTAACTGGCAACTCACATACCTAATCGCAAGCATAGTCTTCTACCAGCTGTATCAAGCCGTAGCATCATCTGCGAGATTTCCTCTCGATTTTCTTGGTCCACTTTCCTTCTGTCATGGTAGCAGCAGCACCAATCTTCACATTCTTGTTCACCTCAACTCTACTAGCTATCTGGTTATTTCGACATTTTGAAATATCTGATTATTCGAGATTCGAAACCATTATCTCCTGATTTGTGAGGTAGTGTTTTTGAGTAATCGGTGTCTTCATATCAAGCAAGTGGTGGGTGGTAAGAAGAAAGAAAGAAAAGCAAAGAGATTCTCCACCCCCTCTTAAGCTCACACTGTGAATTTTTTTTTTAAAAAAAAGGATTCATATTACCAAATCATTTCTGGACTTGATGTGTTCGACTCACAATCGTTCATTAATGATGAGTGGTCTGCAAGTCATGCTTCTGATAAATAACATTCTACCGACTGTGAATCACAAATCTAAGTGGTGACTCCTTAGAAGAGATTTTGAGCATATTCAACTGGCCTCCACCGCTTGCCTCCACCGCTTCCACCGCCTCCCAGTCATCAAGCTTCCCTAAACACGCTGTATTCCAGAATATTGCTCAACAAAGCCGAGAGTCCAATCCTCAATACATGATTTTAAACGCAAACGTATAATATCACTGAATATTCCAACCTTGATTATGACTACAGCAACTCACTGCCCTAATAGACTTCCGAAAAAGCCTCGAAATTGAATCCTCATTATCCCCTCCCATACCAATCATGTCACATTTATATTCCTTTCAATTCAGCCAACCACTTCACTCAATTCTAGATATTGATCCATAGCGGCCTATACTACTCATCATCCTACAAAGTCAAGAGAGAAGCACTCCGCACAAGGTAGGTATCGAATGCCGCAATTATCCCATGGAATCCGATTTCAGCATTTTAAAATCCCGAATCTGCAGTGCCAGTCGATACAGTGTGAATACCGCATAAATTCACTAAAACGATAAGCCAAAAGGCTGTGCCTCTGCAACAGGATAAGAAATATATAGTCGGTGTACTTGATTTGACGGTCTCGTTTTGAGCTTTCGGATTGGAGATGTGGAATATTGATTTGGCTGCCATCAGCAGTATCACTATGCTATTCCACTGCGCAGCATTCATTCCCGAATATCTAAGGTATCTGAATATAGTTCAATATCCTAGGATAATTCTTATTCCAAAAACTCAATCTTATGCAAGCATCAACTAGTATTCCTGAAAACAAACCCAAATAAAACAAACACTCCAAATATAATCATGGATCTAAAGTTTCTTCACCGTTGAAGATCAGCCAGATTATCAAAACGCATATAAAAACATAATGTAAGCAAGAGCACTTGCTCCGCTATGTTATTGTATGTATTTGACCCTAAGCTCTCAAATGCCAAGTTTCAATCTTAAAATCAAATCAAACCCCGAGATCATCCATGTAATCACCTACCTATTATTTTACAGCAGTATATGTAAAAACAACCATAATCAATAAGGCCATTCACAATGCACAATGTGACTATTGGTCTCTCATTAAATCTAGTGATATGTGCGATCAAGATGCACTAATGACTGAAGGAAACCAAAAAATATCAACGATAAGTTCATCAAAATAACAATATTACATATCGGATTTAGAAAACTCCAAGTTCTCCTCCTCCGCTCACATCCACCCCAAAAACCCATAGCAAAAACCCAGTATGTTTGCCTAAATAGAAGGAGGGATTGAATCGAGCAGTGTTACTTTGATGATAATATAGCGTCGTCACCAAGTCTCCTAATAACCTTGGCAGGTACACCACCAACGAGACAATCTGTATACACGTCAAAGATGTAAGCGGTAAGATTCCCAAACACAATTAATCGCATATGGTTGAAGCGCGCATAAATGACAAAGCGGAAAGACCCAAAGAAGAAATGCGCAGCACCTACTTGCTTCAACATCCTTGACCACAACAGCTCCAGCTGCAACCGTCGATCCATTCCCAATTGTAACCCCTGCAACTATGATTGCCTTTCCACCAATCCAACAATCGTTACCAATAACTATTGGTTTCGCATAAGATCCCATCTGGCTTTTTTCCCTGGATACAGCGTCAAGTTCATGCGTATCTGTGCATATACAGACGCCGGGTCCGATGAGTACACGGTCGCCGATTTGAACGGGAGCACTATCAAAAATCGAGACGCTGTTAAACCGTACTTAGTAATTATCTTGTTTGGATGTGATGGGGTGACCTACTCCCTGTTGATATACACATTTTTACCAATAAAGGTGTTGCAACCCCAGGTGCAGAATAATGGAGCTTCGATATTTGTATCAGGACCAAGTCTACCAAATATAGTCTTGGCTACAGCCATTCGGCGATTCTTGAGGTCATCTAAAGTATCTTCGTCGCCGATGGAGCTGTCGTTGAACTTGAGTATTTTCCTACGGACATCAAGCTTGTATTTCGGCATGCAATCGGCTAGACATGCCCTAAAACTAAACGCCAAAAAATCAGTAAGTAGATTCGATTTCGACTGAACATGTACTGACTTCATTCCTGAGAGCATCTTCTTGAACTCATCACACATAGGCTTCGGTACGTCGGCACTTTCGACCATTTCTATCAAGTCTTGGTTGAAGTCTGCAGCCGCCATATTGTTGTTCCCTTTTGAAGCTAAGTGGAAAAAGAAAAGACATTTTCAAGATTTAAGAACACTGCAGAGGAACCAAGATGAATCAAACCCATGTACTATACCCCGGATTTATATGGCGTGACTGTTTGGAAAAGAAAGGTTCAAAGCCAGTCTACTTGCCATTTCAATTTTAAGATGACGAGAAGAACCGTGCTGGTGAATATCAGAAAACTAACCGGGACATTGAATACAGGGAGAGCTGAGAAGTAAAGCCACTTGGGCGTAGAATATGTCGATCCTATAATAAAAAGAGGATCTAATGTATTCGTGAATCACAAATTTGAAAGTTTCTTTTGTACGACTCTTCGAAAACAAAAATATAACCGGTGCGACCAACCTTGGGTGTGATGTGTTTGAGCAACTCCAAAAAAGAAAATAAATCATTGCAGATTGAAATTGGAGGTGATATTTTCCTGACCCAATACCGATGCGCAGAGCCGAGTGTTCTCCTAGACGCCAAATCGAAAGCTATTCCTTATAATTCCTTTTCCTTCTTCACCTTTTTCTCGGGTCGCTCCAACAAGTGTTCCCGACCAGTAACGGGTGCATTACCGACGGCAGACTTACCACCGAGAGTCTCAAAACCTTTATGGAACACAAATTCAACTGCTTCCTCGACAGGCTTGTCAAACAAGAATGGTAAGGCGGGTACAGCTGCTAGTCCCAAACCTATTGGGCCCCATGTCCTGAGCTTTACGTTTTTGACATTTCTCATATATTTACCGGAATACCGCACGATGGAATGAATGGTAAAGGCGGGTAGACCTGGTCACATTAGTGACGGTTCATTTATAGAACTTTCTTCGTATCATGTATCGGCGCAAATGTGGCAAAGAATGCACCTACCCATAGAAGCGATTCCTTGAAATAGGGCTCGTTGTGCCATCACTGTCCGATAATCTTCCAATGGTGCTACTTGACGAGGCTTCAGTGACACCGCCGCATCATTGGCAACTATCTTAAGATCCGTCTTTGCATCATTGTATCGATCGTGCATTGCTTCACGCGGAAGCTCCGGGTGCAAAACCTCCTGATTCCTGCAGTACGCCTTGTATCCCTCATGTGTGACATCACCAATAAGGTAGGCCCATGAAACACCATAAGCTGCTCGAACCCAATTTGGATGAGCTACCGGTCGGAAAGACTCCCCGATATCTGATGTATAAGCTACATATCGTTGCGCGGATAATAGGGCTTTCCAGAAGTATGAGCCAAAATCCTAATCCTAGCTGCCGTGGAAAACAACTGACCTGTTCGGATCCGGGAAGCATATGCCGCGTATCGAATATTGCTGTCGGTGGTTTGAGGAGCACTGTGCCAACAGAATTAGCATACTGTAATGAAGCATTGTGGCTGAAGAGCTCGCGCAAAACTCAAATGAGAGGAGTGCCCAGAAAACAGGCCGCATAAACACATACTATCCGTCGTAGAGCTCATCATAGAAGTTCTCGTCCTTGTCTGCTTTGTCCACAAGCTTTTGGAGTCCAGCAGGAAGCTTTTCCACAGCAGGTAAACCTGTTGGAGGTGGACCTCGAGAGTCATTGTTATCCTTTCCAGTCATTCTGTTCTAGTATTGACACGATTAAGTTAAAAAGCAGTAAGTGATGTATGTACCCCGAAAAGCAGGTAGCTATTTTACAAGAAGATACGTTGTATAATTGAAAATATCGAAGTCTAATTCTTCTGTCGCATTCCTAGCTTCCTTTGTTTGACTCTAACCTCGGATGGAAGAGCTATTTAAGTTATTACCCGATGTTTCTCGTACGGTACTGACCTGACCTGGGGAAATGACGATATCCACGAGCGAGGGATTGAATGTTCCTGGAATAGGTCCTGTGCAACTAGTGGACACTAAAAGGTGGAGTGGAAGCGGAGCTCCTGCTCTTTCTCTTTTGTTCTTCATGCTGGACGGAACGACCATCGGCATCTCGGGACCTTTTGGTGGGCGCTTGCGCTTAAATCGACTAGCTCGTAAATTTGTACGGAAAGCTCCAATTCAATCCAAATTGTACCGATATCAACCTCTATCACGAACCCTCAGCCCCGTCACTACGACTCCATTCGGACAATTATCAAATATTCGAATCCTTAAACTACTCAAAATGGTTTCTTACTATCAAATTGCCGGAAAGCAAGTCGGCTCTCACTACGTACGTGGCTCCTTCCGAAGTCCCCTCTGCTCAATCTGTTTGATTTTTCTTTGATGCGATTGAATGGGGTTATGTTTGAGTGAAAGCCGGGAACTTGTGCTGATAGAAATGATGATATTAGTTAGCTATGGCAGTTCTCGGTTCGATGGCTGGTATCGTCACTTTGTCTACTCGTGGTGGATCTGCTGCAAAGAAGGACTCAACTCCACCAATTAACGCCAAAAGTCCAGATGAGGAGAAATACATCAAGTAGGTTCTGTGTGAGGATCTGTTGAGTTAACAGATTTCTACAATTTACATGACCTGACATCTGCTAGGGAATTCATGGCAAGCATCGAAGGAGGCAAGAGTGGAAACAACGTAGACTCAACCAAGAAGGATGCAGGAAGATAAAGGATATATGATAAACTGAACGAGGCGTTGGAATCTCTCGCCAACGGAATACCCAGCTTCGGGTGTAAATATAGAACGCGGTCATGAATGCATAAATCCAAGCAGGCACCATGTTATATCCGAAATTCACGTTTTCCTGATATTCCGTACCCTAATCTCTACACCATTTACCAATAACTACCTAATTCTCGAGTGGGAGGGGTATTTGTTTACATCCAAGGAAACATTGCTATTGCGATAGAAAAGCCTATGCTTTTCCTGTCGTTAGTATATAAATTATTCATGGATGATGAACCTCTTTTCTTTCCAACTTTTAGTGGCTTTCATACTGTATATCTAATCAGCTCTTCAAAATTCTTCTACAAGTCTTCCCCTTTGCGGATTTGAAGCATTGATTTGAAGGTATTTATACTTATTTTGGGCACCACCGTGCTACAGTTTCATTCCCCAATTTCACTATTGAAAGTTGGACTTCTAAATGACTTAGTAGCTAAATGAGATTATACAAATTTGTACATTCATATCTTTTCATTCTAGATTATAGGCTGCCTCTAGTATAGTTGCTGTTGAAGAGCGACAAGGAGAATAAAAATGATGTTAGTCCGCAACCCCTGTACCAATTTTTGACTTGAGTCAACATTTCAATCAACTAACAGCCACCGACTGCTTTCCCTAGATTATGTTATAAATATCAAAGCGTAATTCACGTCATTGTCAAATGTAGCCCATCACCCCATCCCACATGCCAAGCTCTACACAGCCTCAGCGAGACAAATGCTTCCTTACAGGTCGAAACATGAGTCTAGCCAGTTCCAACTCGCTCTCACTGTCTGTCGATTAGCAGATTACAAGTCAATTTAAATAATGTAATTGTGGTCTAGCAACCTCGTTCCATCATGAGATAGTGAAAAATTCCCTATATTGACATAAGTACTGATGGTTTGCCGAGTTGTACAAACGAAGATGGAAATTTGTGGCCTCGAGGTCTAGGCAAAATTGCTGGTACACATGTTTTCTGTTGATATACATGTCCTAGACCAAGTGTGAATATCAGTCCCATATTAAAGAATCGATCCTTCTTTTGTATAAAAGAACTGCAAGTCGCTACCAAAATTGATATCACCATCGCACTCCCAATCAGAACTTACTTTAGCTCATCTGCATCATCTATACACAACCATCCTTCTATCAGCCCATCTCATCGTACACCACTATCACTACCAGCCCATCTCGGATCTCATTTAGTATCTATCACATCAATCTATTCTCTCGATACCGCAACAGCCATGTCCAAGGTCAAGTTACCAAAACTCAAGGATCAATACAAGGGTCTATATCCGAACCGAGACGATGTACCTAATCCTCAATCCCCACCGACCCCCTTCAAAAAGAAATAAGCATACAACTAAGTTCTCCTAAATGTACCACGCATAACTAACCAAAAGCCACAGTATCCTAGTGGTAAAGAAGGAGACAGGTTATGTACGGCTGCCCGCAATAAGTGGACTCTTGCAAGTATTCGCCATGATGAAGAACTGGAGCGACTAAAAGCGGAGGCAGAAGCGGTAAAGGCAGAGGCGAAGTCAAAGGGTCGAAAGGTTGAGGAGAAGAAAACGAAGAAGGATGGTTCAAGTTCAAGCGGAGATTCAAGATCAGGCGGAAGTTCAAGTGGAAGTTCAGGGAGAAAGTAGACTGACATCAAGAGATCTGCTTTCTAGGCGATTCTGCGTGGGAATGAGTTTTTCATGTTGATGAGTACTGGTTGGATCAGGCTGGTGTTGGAGTTGGTGCGGATGTTGGAATGGAGGCCTATATAACTTTATGTATTGAATGATATTCATTATGTGATAAACATACTTCTATAGAGAGAAGTGGGTTCCATCAACCAGTCGCCTTTTTCGCTAACAGCTACCATCAATGCCCCCTGCCGCAAAAAGTGACAGGGAAAGATAAGCGACTAGAGAAATCGGCAGCACTTATATGTAGAATATGACCAGCATCCAGGTGTTAAAGTAGTCTTGGAGGTAGAAAAGTAATCTTTCGTATTGTTGGAAGGGCTTCTATCGCACTATTTACCAGGTTTTGATCGATAATTAGATGGAAGGTTTAAAGGAAACCAACGCTCGAGATGGAATCGCCGGAAAATAACCTCGAGGATTTTGAGGTTTTTCTAGAGCCTCGAGGTATATACTTCATCGCAGCTCCAGTATACGTAGCGAGCTTTCGCCTCGAAAAAAAGTGAGGAATGATTGACCATTATCTTTCGTTCTTGAAGTACGCAGATGAACACGGTCTGGATGAGCTTAGGGATATTTAGATGACTCCAATCAATATGCTCTAGAAACACATGACTCTTCGGTCATGAAGCCCGAATATACTGAGAGAATTACTTCACTACGGAAGAGTAGGTATATGCTTTCGAACACTCAAGGCTGAAGTTGTGTTTGCATTCCAGGGGACAGCAGGGTTATGGGGAGCTAGGAGGGTGACATTCATGAAGCAGGAGAAGGACCTTGAAGGTTTTGAAGCGATCATTTATCACGATCTCAGGAGATCAAAGGTCTCGTGTGAGAGGGAGCTCTGGAAACAATTTCAGCAGTCTGCGAAATGTATACATACAAGTTGATGAAAATTTAAGAAATTCTACCCACTGATGACGAGTTAAAGCACTCAATGACATCACTTTATGATATTTGAGACCACAGAAATGTATGAACCTATTTCAACGATGGGCAAAGTTCAGTACCTCGCGAATTTGAAGAAACATGCAGCTCAGGTGTTTTCGGAGAAGGGCGATGAGGAGACTTCATTCCAATACTGCTGATACATCTAACAGTTAAAAATATGGTATCTCTGGATACAGAGACCTTGCCGCATCCAGAGTTGAAACTTTTTGTATCTCTCATAGATGGGTTAATGCGAGTATGTAAACTCTATTTCGTAAATCAAATTATGATGGTTTACGATGAAGTTTTCTCAGTGGTACCAAATACTGACTCTTGATCTAACTATGGCATCCGATCTAGGCGAATGGTTGAGACGAGGTCACCGTAAAAACATAAGGTTACAGCGAGAAAGGAATTTCCAGCAAGTTGATTCCGGGATGGACACAAACATTATCCATGCCCAGACCATAAGTTATCATTCATTGAGGGCGCCTATTCACTCTGCAGTATGTAAATCTCAATGGGTGGTTGTTCCCTGCATCAATGATGAATTTGTTACTATCCACGGCTGTAATGAATTCGTTCGTCCAAACCTTAAGCGAGATCCAAACCGTAGAGCTAGAACTATAGAACTAGCTCCCCCTTTAGCCTGCCATCATCACTTCCTTATACCCCATCATTTTTCCCACCCAAAAAAAATCCCGTTTTACATCCTTTGCAATTACCACTCCCCAAACTTCAAAAAGCGATATAAAGTCTTACACCGTGGTAATAAAATTGGCACATCATTTTGGAACCAGCAATCGACACAAGGTTAGCGAAACAAGATGCCTTACTATTCAAGCATCAGTGACACAATGTGGATGTGCTGTCATAGACAGTCAACAAACTTTCAGGGAGTAAGTCTGCTCTTCAAAATACAAACAGCTCAATGGTATGCTAACTTGCTATTCGAGTGCGGTACGCGTAATAAGATGAAGTTGAAGAAATGCGGGAAATGTTCTCACGAAAAGTGCAATAAATGCACGGTGACGGCACTGGAGATGATTGCGAAGAGTGTCGAGGAAGCAGTGGAATACATGAAGTCGAAATAAAAGCTTGACATGTTGCAGCTTGTCGAAAAGGGAAATGATATCCAGAGGAGGTTCCGGGCACATATCGACGAATGAACCGCGAGGTTTCCGTGTACAATCGAAGACATTTAAAATGTTGTGACGGCCGATGTTCGCAAAGAATTATATATGAAGGCGCAATCAGGGAGTCCCGCATTTCAGTGGTCGAAATAATATCTGGGGGAACATGTTTTCGCGTCTGCACTCACAGACCAATATTTAGCAAGAACACAGCTTCTTACCTGCGCTGTATATATGATTCAATCTTCAAAACATTTTTAGATCTTCAACCTTTCCCTTTGCGCATACACCGGGATGATGGTCTTTTTGCTGTGGTTTGGCAAAATTGTATCATTATTCGAATCATCATTAATGATACTTTTGAATTACATCGAATCGCGCGACATATACATCCGAGCTGTATGATATCCTCATACCAGAAAGAGCGCATAGTTGTTGCAAATCAAATACCTCAAAATGCTGGTATAGCTCGCTCTAGAGGATCTCTTGCTGTTTCCCATGCCAACCAATCCGATCTTGTAGTCCTAAAGAGGCATTAGCATTTGACCCCAGAGTCATCAGGCAAGTAACTTACGGCAATAAACCCATTCCATTGATCTTCCATATTCCTAACGCCAAAGCTATCACTTGACACGCAACATATGCCAGTTTTACTACGCCCAATTTCCCTCTTGTTCCTTCACTCTCAAAACGTTCAAATGCTTGATTCGTTGCCATTAGCCCCATCAAAGGATTTTTGAACGCCATAACAACCATCATAATGGAGAATATTTGAAGAGAATTCCCGGACATATACATCATAATCGCAGTCATTGGAAGTTGTTTGACAGGTGCAAGAGCCACTTCCCATGCCTTCTTGAGCTTAAGAGTGTCCATTTCAGCGGGAGTGGGAGCTTGTCGTGGAGCTTTGGTGGTTTGTTTCTGAAGAAACACGAATATCAGCAGATTGACAATAGGTAAACGGGCGAAAATAGCATACTCGGCTTGAAGATGGAGATGCTGTATATCCTGGAGGATCTGGAATACCTGCGGATTTTGGCTTCAATATAGGTGGAGTATTGAGATCTACGACCCATGGAGGGGGAGGGGGAGGTGGTGAAATCGTGGTCGTGGCCATTTTGTTTTAATATGATAAGGAATCACGAATGTATAAAATGAAGTGTATTCTCATGAACAACGTCGTCGAAGGTGGTGTCAGATTATTAAGGCAGAAAGTTGAGATACCTCATTGATACGAGTACCTAAAATACCTAATATGCAACGCTCAAGCCTTGTACCTCTCTGCCTTCAAAGAAATAAGCTTCCCGCGCTAACTTAAAGCCGCGGCCCCCGAGCCTTACTAGAGCCACCCCTTTTGGTGATCATTACCTCGTTCTCAAAGGCCTCACGAAACATCCATCATTACATTCGAAAAATGACATCTGCGAGATTTTAGGATTCTTCTAGTCAATGGAAAGATACCTGTTATAGAACCTAACGATATACTGCCGGTGATTGTGGCGCATTACTCATTTACCCTGCGGCGCGCCGCCTTGGGATACGAACGATTTCAGTGGTACGAGGAATTTCCTGCGAGATTGAATTAGGAGGGGTTTCCGTGTTAGATCAGAGTTATAGCGACAAAGTCACATATACATAGAGGAATTGAGGCTTGCTCATCATGAGTTCGGGCGGGGGAGATGCGAAGCTCTTTGCAAGGGTATGTCCCTTGGATTTCATTCTCATACAATTTCAGTAACTTCTACATCTCATTTGCGCCTCATTTGATATGCTTAGCCGGGCTGTTGCATATTGTAGCACCTCAGATGCTTGGGATCTCATGGTTTGGATAGGCTTCAGATTTTATTTGTTTCGGACTTCACAATGAAGGCGCATCCTGCTATCATGTTTCTACCTCACTACATTCCGCCATCTGGATTTGTTGGCTCACTTTATAATCGTTCACCACAGGGCAAAGTCGCGGAGCTTAGATTGGAATTAAATAGTGGTGGGAAGAAGGACAAGAACCATGCCGCGAAGAAGATTGCTCTGAAGAAGATCGTGGCCAATATGACCATGAGCAATAATGATATGGTAGCCCTGTTTCCGGATATTGTTGGCTGTATGCAAATACCAAGCTTGGAGATTAAGAAAATGTGGGTGGACTACCTATAGCGAAGATCGCGCGGATTGATAACTGATGTGATTGTAGGTGCTTCTTGTTTTTGGTTAACTATGCTCGTATGAAGCCTGAGGTGGCTGTTAAGGCATTGCCTACTCTGCAAGAGGCAAGTTTCTATCTCGTATTGTATTGCTTAAGCTGACATTTGTCAAATAGGATATGAACGACTCCAATCCCCTTGTGAGAGCTCTTGCCTTGCGCACGATGTCATATATCCATGTCCGAGATTTCGTCGAGGCCACAGTGCCACCCACAAAGCAACTTCTTCGAGATGCAGACCCTTATGTTCGCAAGACGGCCGCTTTCTGTGTCGCAAAACTATACGATCATGACAGGCATTTGGTTGAGGGCTCCGATCTTATTGACAGGCTGAATTCGATGTTGAGGGATGATAACCCGACGGTGGTGGCTAGTGCGTTGGCAAGTTTAATGGACATATGGGAGAGGAGTGATGCGATTAAGCTCACCATTGACTATGGAAACGCTTCAAAGATGGTTCAGATTCTCCCGGACTGTTCCGAGTAAGTATTCCCCTTCCAATCTCGATCCGTTTGACCTAACAATAACAGATGGGGCCAAACATATATTTTGGAAGCCTTAATGTCATATGTTCCACAAGAATCCTCCGAGGCTTTGTTGCTAGCGGAGCGCATATCTCCACGTTTATCACATTCAAATTCTGCAGTCGTCCTTACATGCATAAGGGTAGTTCTATACCTAATGAACTATATTAATGATCAGAAGCAAATTTCGGCATTATGTCGGAAGCTTTCGCCTCCTTTAGTCACTCTGTTGGCGAAGGGTCCGGAGGTTCAATACCTTGCATTACGGAACGCATTGTTAATATTGCAAAGGAGGCCAGAAGTTCTACGAAACGATATTCGAGTATTTTTCTGCAAATATAATGATCCTATCTATGTCAAAGTTACCAAACTGGAATTGATCTTCATGTTGGCAAATGAAAAGAACATCCAAGAGGTTCTTACCGAATTAAGAGAGTACGCCACAGAAATTGACGTTCACTTCGTCCGCAAATCAGTACGAGCAATCGGAAAGCTTGCTATCAAAATCGAGCCTGCGGCTAAACAGTGTATTAATACATTGCTGGAGCTAGTGGCCACAAAAGTCACCTACATTGTACAAGAAGCAACGGTGGTCATTCGGAACATTTTCAGAAAGTACCCTAACCAATACGAATCTATAATTGGTACATTGTGCGAGAATCTGGATTCTCTAGATGAGCCTGAAGCTAAGGCAGCCATGATTTGGGTTATTGGACAATATGCATCTCGGATAGAGAACTCTGATGTGTTACTCGAAGATTTCTTATACTCCTTTGCAGATGAGCCAGTGGAAGTTCAACTTGCTCTCCTCACTGCGACCGTTAAGCTGTTTATTCAAAGGCCGACAAAAGGACAAGAACTCGTTCCCAAAGTGTTAAAATGGGCCACAGAAGACACAGATAACCCAGATTTGCGAGACAGAGGCTATATGTACTGGCGTCTGCTCTCCTCTGATATGGCAACAGCGAAAGCCATTGTTATGGGTGAAAAGCCGCCTATTACTGCTGAATCGGAGAAACTCGATCCTGCCACCCTTGAAGAAATGTGCCTTAACGTTGGTACTCTGGCCACTGTTTATCTTAAACCCGTCCAACAGGTATTCCGATCCGCTCGCCCACGTCGTCTCACAGACTCTCCCGCTTTACAAAAACAGCATCTTCCAAATTGGGACATGGATTCCCAAAAATCACTGTCTGCATTCGGAAACACCCAACCTATGGTAAAGCCCAATGGACAAGGCGATCTAGCTGCAGCAGTTGATGCAGCGGATGCTTTTTTCGCCGGAGTTGGTCAACAAATGGCAAGCATGAATTTGAATGGGCAGGATGAAGGATTTGGTGGTAGTCCTAGTGTCGGCCGGAGCGAGATGCAATATGTGGTTAATCAAAATGCACCAGAGCAGGTTTATCAACCAGCAGTGGGACAGGGTTCTAATGGTGATTTACTTATGTTTAATTGAAAGTTTTTAGCGAGATGGTTCTCCTATTATATTCGGGAAGGGGTTTTATGGTCAAACATAATTGTAGTTGATATACTAAATGCATGGGAATTTCTTCAATTGTTGTGCAGGATTTTACGATTATTTTTCGCGGATAATTGACGCAGCAGTGATCGTTCTATATCAATAGGTGGTTTTGTCACCGGTTTGCGAGTAATCGTGAACGTTGAAGAAACGAGATGGATTTATTCATTCCCCCTTCAAAATCGAAAGAATACCTCAGTCAGTCACTTTGTCTTTCGAAGTCCTCTTCCTCGGCTATGAGCCAATTGGTCATGATCATTAAACAAGTTTGAATGAAACTAGGTATGTAATATTCTTACAGTCAGCCCTACGGAACCACAAATTTTGCGATATGCAACAAAACCCATCCCAGCTAGGATATTTCGTAACTTGTGTAACTGATGTCCTTGGCCAACTGTTATTCCTTGCCGAGTTGATTCCCCCTTTATGAACATAGAAGGTTTTTCGTACTACCAATATCTAGCATATCATCCTTCCTAGTTTCATGGATGCATGGTTAAGGCGTTTTCTTACCTTTTTTTTTGATCTAAGAGATTCATATGTAGAGACAAGAGACAGCTCCCCGTCATGGTCTGGTGGATCCGACTTCAACGCATATACACTCAATCATTTTTCAACCTTTCCTCTATTCTACAGAATTTTCACTGAATCCTAAATTCAGGCTTCTTCTCACCTTGTGTCGCTATGATATATTTGCCCCTCTACTTTCTTCCATGTTTTACCTTACGCGAGGCTACCAATTTATTCGTAGTCACGCCTCGTACAAATCGCAATCTTTTGCCATCATGAGATTATAATCACGTGCTTGCAGTAAATCATGCAAATCTCACGTCATCAAGTTACCTACGATATACGTAGCTAGTAGTACGGTCTATCCTTTGTAGCGGCAACTTGTGGGAGTGTGCCAGGATCTTCAGAGCAGTTGGTCACGTCTAATGAGTCAGCTTATCTAGTTCTACCTGCCAACAATTCTGTACTTCTTCGTCAGGTGTTTTGGATTATCTCGCGTTTGTTCTTAATTAGCCCCTTGGTACCTTGCAACGGTGCTGGGGTGTCAAGTCATGCATCGTCTGCTACTGTATCTCAAGATTCGAAACGTGGACGCATTGGGCGACGAATCAAGTGAAGAACCCAATTTTCTGATTTGATATCCTGCTACGAATGCAGTGATGTCATGTACTTCGATCCCACACGAATCTGTCACAATGACCGGATCTCAGCATCGATATAAGTTCTATTTTTGTTTATTCTCGAGGATCTTCTAACTTTCCTTGACAGGGGTTATGGGTTATAGCTCAAAACTTGATCACTTCGAGGACAGGAATGTGAATAGCTTGAAGATTGGAAATGATGACTCTACATTGGGTATGAAAACGGAAGATTACATGTCGAATTCTGATATCTTCATGTGAAATTTTTGTTTCTTGATGAGGGAGGAAAAAGAGCATTGCAAATACATCGATTTCATGCAATTTGCAAACGCGCGACCATATGCCTTTCCTGCGGCCTTCCGGCATGGCAAATTAGACAGGGTGACTGGAATTCTTCATTCGATCTGCAAGTAATAACAATTTCTTTTCGTCCAAATGGTTGCTTGTATCACTAGAAAATTCGACCCCTCACAATGAACAATAGCAGCAGAGAGGAGATGTATACAAGCCAGAGATAAGTATTTCCTTGGCAACAGTAGTCAGCCTGGACATGGGACTCGCTGTACAACTATTGATCTATCCAGCTTACCGCCGTATTTCGTATTGTTGAGGCAAATGTCCCATTGCCAAAATTACCGAATATGGCTCTTGTTTTCCTTATGATAGGCTCTAAACTCCCCTCTCGAAATGGGGGAGAGTAAAAAAAGAAAATAATATGAAGACTACTGCAAAGGAAAAGTGCATTTCCACAAAAGCGATTACCCGAACCAATGGGGGTTGACTGATTCTTTATTTCGCTAGGAATATAACACTTCTACCGGAAAAGTGCATTCTGAAATTTTGTCTCAATTTAGATACTAGTAACGGCGCATGCATGAGTGTGCGTTTGAAGAATGTGAGGGAAAGTTATGGATCGATGATATATACTATATAGTGATAACATCTCAAATATAGGAGACGCGGGCGGAAGAACAAAGTGTCTGCTTGAGTATTATGAAAAGCTAGAATATCCTTCTAGGGATCACTTTCCCACTGAAACTTTTCCTACAACGCATGGTAGTTGGTTTTTCAGACACAAAACCCATCTTCGCAGGCAACTGGCGCTTTTCAAACAAACCAAGAACTCATCAGCATTCAAAATGGCTGGTTTCCTCTCCACACTTAGAGGTGGCTGTAAAGCCCTCTTCAGATCCTTTACCTCTACACTTTCCACCGTCAAAAAATGGTTTCAACATGAAATCACCCCAATAATCCAGGAAATCGCTTCCTTTGTCCATCATTTGTATCATAACTATGTGCGTTCATTTGCATCGCAAGCTTTTCAATTCGCCTCCGACCATCTTGGAATAGCTATCGGACTCTTTTGCATCACTGTTATGGCCTGTCTGTGGATAATGACTACACCATCACTTTACACCTTAGGTTTTACGATCTTAGGTACGTAATCCATATCTTTAATGCCCTCTTTTCTTTCTCTCGCCCCATTCTCTTGTGAGTTCCCCTAAAGATAGCCAACTGACGTAAATCCTCGATAGTTTCTCTCGCCGCACTTGCCCAGTCCATCATCGGAATGGTACCTGCTGGTAGCATATTTGCGATATTTCAGAGTGCTGGTATGGCTGACACCGGCTTGTTTACACTTAATGGAATTACTGTTGGTATTGCTGCTTTGATTCTGTTGGCAGTGGTGGTGCGCTTAATTATACTGCAGCGAATGGAAAGGGAGAAGAGAAAGGAGGGTGAGAGTGAGAAGGAGAGGAACAAGGCGTTTTGAGGTTGGAGATGAAGTGTATGGCACTTAGGTTGGGGTCAACAGAGCGAACGAGCTATACAGGCTTTTGATGGGATTTGCGCGGGTGAGAAAGGGGTCTTGAAATTTTGTATTTCAAACTTGTATCCAAGTTCATGTATCGTTTGGAAATTTGATTTTTTTATGCTATAGTTTGATTTGAACATTTGAGAAGGAAAATAGGAACTCTTGATTTGACATATCAACCCCAACTAACGTTTTCGCTCATACAAAACGATGGGGCAAAGTCACTAGACTTGATGCTGAACCGTTCGATGTTGCATATAAAGTAGATGATCTGATCCCATAATTGCGCATCAATGTGGACTGAATAATTTACTGGTGTTGAAAGGTACTTACAAGAATACTGTCAGAACCAGAAGTGCCACCGGCCAATGAGTTGTACAATCTCAAACTATCTCGATTAATACTGTACAGCTATAAGCAATTCAGGCTGGAATAGTAGCTATAACTTTAGAAAGTATTGACAGACGAAAGGTGCATAAATTTCTACAGCTCGTAGCTTTCGGATCTTGAACATATCCCATCGGGTGTCATGAGGATAGAAAACACTTGGGATGAAAAGGCTAATGGAGATAAACAAATAAAGAAATCACGAATATCGAGATATCAAACTCGTAAATCCTCTCTCCTGCTCACTTTCCCTTCACTCTCAACATTCTCTCCACGGATCCACTTTCCAACGGCTGCTAAGTTATCAGAAACTCCCATATAATCTTAATCACCCCTATCTCACCTTCCTATGGACAGAAAAGTTAACAAGCAAAGTAAGCTGATAGCTCATTCGTAAGAGCCGATCTTGTCTGTATGCAATTCAAACTTTGATTCGCGTTCGCTATGTGATGGAAGTCGGGGTTTGGTAGAGGGCCAAATTGTGGATATGAGCTCAGTTGAAGTGTTGTTGTTCTCAACCCAATATAAGTCAATGTTTCATAAACACAAATGTGAGCGTTGGCCCAATCATCATTGGTTCATGTGATCAGCATAGGTAAATTCAATATTCTGTTGCACATCTTCAACTTTTGTTGGCGTTTTGACCATTTGGTGATGTTGTCGTTATTGTTGTTTATCTGGTTTGTTTATCCGCAGTTTATCCGACAAATGAAGCTAAACAGCCCACCTTTCATCACTCATACTTGTACTTATAGCTTCCTGGTCTGATACTCGAATCATTATACTTTTATATCTCGACATACAAGGAAATCCCAGCTCCTACTTGTTCTAAAGCGAATCCTTCAATTTAATCAGCTCTACACCAAAGCTGCATGTATCGAGATATATCTTCATAATGGTAAGATATCATTCCTGACGACGCTCAAGACGCGCAACTAACTATTCGGACAATCTAGTCTTCAGAATCCCGTCTCTACACTTTCAGCACCGAAACGAAAGCACATCTTCGCAAATTCAGACTGGGGACTTCACGCGCAAATGATCCACAAGCTGTTATATGTTTGTCTCCCCATTCTCCTTTCCTATTATCTGAATATTTCTATGTCCGAATCCCGCGATGATTAGATACGATGCACCACCACCTTCATAGAACCTACGGGTTATGGCTGAGAACCACATCTATATATTGTTAATGAGCAAGGGGATATACTACTATTTTACCAAATTGCATGGTTTTGAGAGATATGAATTCTGCTAATACCCTCGCATTCCTTAGATCTCATCGATAAAACTAGCCTAGAAATAAAACAAGATGAAGAAGGAACCGTATACAAAGATCTCGAATCGATAGGCGATGACCTTCCAGATCATTCTCCTCGATTCATTCTTTTAAGTTATCCTTGCACCCTGGTCTATCCCCTTCCCCTACCAATCCCCCTCAAAAACTAATCTATTCTAGCCCTCGGGTCGTCTCTCCGTTCCATATGTCCTGATATTCTACCTACCGCCTACGGTCAACGCCTCACAACGTATGTTATATGCTGGAGCCAAGGAGCTCATGAGGAATACGGCGGAGGTATCAAAGGTGTTGGAGATTGACAGTGCGGAGGATTTGGAAGAGATACCTGATAAATTGAGGGGAGATGAGAGGTAGATGATGGGTTTTGGATAAGAAACAAAATGGAAGGTAAGATTTATTGATTGGTTTGGAAAGGAAATGGGACAGCGATCCCAGGCGCGATTTGGAGACTACTAAGTTGAACGGTTCAAGCTTTGTCAGAGGAGCCTCTACTTGGACACTTTCGTTGTCCAACTTGCCGTTATTAGGCTAAAGACTTTGTATGAGTGACTCGAGGTTCGAGGTTGGTAGCCATGGAATGCCGGAAGAAAATATATGGCATAAATACATGATTTTCTCAAGTCAGGATAGATATAGCACGAGAAGAGAAGTCCGAGTACACATTGGATACTCACTTACGAAATAAATAATTTACATTTATACCCAACCATCATGATCTGATCAGAGTTCAAACATATCTCCTCCAGTGTCTATCCACGCATTAAGATTATCATCAACACAAGCAAACAAACACTCGACTTACCGATAACAAAGCCCCTCAAACCAAACATTCAATTCAAGTCAATAAACATTTTGCAATGCCATACCCATACCATTTAATCACTATCAAGTAAGATATAGCAATGGAGGCAACATATAGTTCATCATAATTCATTAATCTTACGGAAGTGTATCTCATCCTTTTCCTTCAAGATATGCTGTCATATCCAAACCAAACCAGACCGAACCAAAATAATTTATCACATTATCCTCAACTCCCATCAAATACCAATACCGATACCAAGCCGATCTCTAACCTCTAATTTCTAAACCTCTATTCAATATTCCTCGCCACGCCTTTTTCCAACCCACCATCCACATCAACCACCGACTCACCATCTACCGCACCAACCCCATTCCCCTTCATCTTCTTAATACTCTTCTCAATGGTTTCATGACCAGCTGCCGCCGCCAAATCACTATCATGCTGCACATCGAAACTTCTCCTCAAATATTCGGGCCCCACAAACGTCAAAACGATCACGTAAACATAGACACAACCCAGGAAAATACAAATCACCTTTCCGTATTCAAATCGTGCGGTTTTGCCATTAGGAGGAAGGGGGAATTTTTCTCCTAATTGTGCTTCGATGGTGGAACTAGCAGAGGAAACAAGATTACCGAGTTGATATGCGGTGCCTACGACGAAGGTGCGGAAGGAACCGGGAGAGAGTTCCATGAGGTGGATGGGGATGACGCCCCAGGCGCCTTGGACGCAGAATTGTTCGAAGAAGGCGGCGGCGATGATGGCACTCGAGGAGGTGTAGGTGTAGGGGTACAGGAGAGCACCGCCGATGATGGAGATGAAGATTATAGAGAAGCGACGGCCGAAGATTTGGGAACAGTAGCCGATTACGGTGCCGCCGGTCATGGCGCCGAGGTTGGCGACGACTTGGATCACGGTTACGGCGTTGGCCGAGAAGTTGTATTGGTTTTTAAGCATGGTTGGGTAGAGATCTTGGGAGCCGTGGGACTGGAGTTGTGTTAGTGTGAATGATATTATTGGATTTGTGGTTAGTGGTGGAGGGAAGACTTACCATGAAGTTGAAACCTGCCATGAGAAGTACCAAGTAAATTAACAACAACCAATGTTCCCTCAATGCGACTTTTCCTTCAGCAAGGAAGGTAGCTCCAATATTACCTCTTTCGTTTCGAACAAGTACACGCTCATTATATGCATCTGTTTCGGGAAGGCAAAGACGGAAGATAATGATGAGAACAGGTGGACATGCACCAAACCAAAATAAAGGTCTCCATCCATGACTAGTGGTATTTACCAAACCTCTAGCAAAAGCTGTTGCGAGAAGATATCCAAAAGCGTATCCTTGTTGAAGTATACCAGAAATCAAACCACGAGCTTCTTCAGGACAATCTTCTAGTGCTGTCGCGGCTGCGTTTCCGTATAAGCCGCCCATTGCAACACCGAATAAAGCTCTGCATGCGAGGAACTCTTTATAGGTTCGACAGAAACCGGTACCCAGTTCGAGGGCGATGAATAGAAGATTGTTGACGATAAAGGGCCATTTTCTACCATATCTATCTGCGGCGAGACCGAAGAGAATAGATCCGACAGATCTTAACATGAGAACCAATGTGATACCCCATGTGATCTCTGTAGTGGTCTTATCGAATTCCTCTGCAAGATCCGAGACTGTAAGACTGACTGTGAAGAAATCGAATGCATCCCAAGTCTAGAAGGATGTTAGTGACGGAAATTCAACCATATCATATGCATCGATTAAGCACATACCCAGGCAACAAATCCAACGAAAAAGAATAGCCATTGTTTTCCATTCAACATAGCCAAAAGTTTGAATGGATTAGGAGCTTTGTGCATGGGAGGCTTGAGTGTTGAAACTCGGGTCCTGCAATATTCTCCAACGGATTTCTTGACTGGAGATTGGGATTCGATGACATGGCCATCATGGCCTGCAGTGTCGTACTGGTCTGCCATGTTGAGTTTTGGGGTCTGTAAAAGAGCAATTAGCAATTGATATGAAATAGCTTATTGCAATAAACAGAATTGAAATGTATCTTAGTAACTGTGGGGTTTCTTGTTTGCATATGTGAAGAATCGAGAACGAAGGTGATCTAAGTAATGATTCAAGAAGCTATCAATTGGAAGGTAAACTTACAGAATTCGTATTCACTCCAGCTGAAAACAAGTATCGCGTGCCCACGAAGCTCAACCCAAGATGACAGTTGAACGAGGACGATGTTAAGAGAACAATTTTGAAATGAGGGACAGGATGTTACCTACTTATCTGTGTCTAATCCGATACCGCGGAAGTAGCACAAGAAAAACGTTTCAGCAAGAGTTAGATAGCAACAGTTTGCCCTCCAACCGGTGATTTTTCCATCTGCTAACCCTGGGTATTCGCATGCTTCCATCAGCGCCTCCAGGACTCTGATTCATCAGCTGATGACCTTAGCGTTGGTAAGATATATGAATGGTCATTATCGACATTAAATCCTGGCTTTCCCCCGCATGGAGAATGGGGGAAAAGTGGAACATAATCCAGTGAATGAGCTTATATCAAATGGAGGCTTCTCCAGATGGCTTGCTTATCCTGGTTTTGATATTTTATTCCTTGTCAAAAGCTCGGTCGAAGGCGAGCTACATGTGGTGACAGGATCTTTTTTTTTTTTCCAAAGCTTTCTTGCCTATGGACCAGTAATATTCTCCACATTCTTTAAATTAATTACCAATAAAAGCTAATAGTTCGTCGAGCTGACATCGTACCGTAATGTGGGGATCCAGCCGCATTTTTGGGGTTATAGGAGACTACTCCGTAAGCTGTATTTGCACATTCACCAAGTTTGAGGTAAGGTTACTGAGGTCCATCCCGGTTGGGAAGATGTATCCAGGGGCAAGTCTACCGAGCATGGTACCTACTTAGGTAATAAATAACACGCATCCCCGGAGCTACAAACGGCCTCAGAAATTCGAACCTTTTCAGTAACTAGAATGGAGAGAAATTGACGGAGTGATAATAGTGGAATGGATAATTTTCAGACTTCGACTTCCATTTTGCTCATTGTCCTCTAATGAGCAAATAATCAAATCTGGTGACACCAATTACTATTGACGGCGTTTGTACTCAGTACCCAGTCAGCATTGGCCCTCCCTGCGGTGTGAGCAAGAAGAGAGGCGTAAAAGAGAAGCTAAGTAGTTTCGGTACTTCATTGTTTAATTTGTCTTGGTATCTTGGAATCGCTTCAAGCTTTCATTTCCAAGACGGAAGGCTTTAAAAGTGGTTTTAACGGGTTTTTGCTTGTAAGAACTTCTTGGTAAATGATTGAGAAAATAAATTAATAGCCGTATATGATGATGTTGGAATAAGTAATGCCAAGATCTTTTGACATCTTCTTGACATCTGTTACAGTCGCTGATTGTCATTGTGTGTGTTAAGAGTAGTTCAGATTAAGCCTTTTCCTGGGGGATTTTCTTTTCTGACATGTTGTACGCTTTCTCCATTCTCTTCTGGCGTCTTGGTAATCGCTGGGCAAAAAGCTGGGGCAGAGGGGTAAAAATTCGGGCAAAAAAAGATTTTTAGCGTGAGTGGAGAGTCTGGGGATGGATATTCTACGGAGTAGGTAGTATCCCAAAGAGCCAAGAGAGCCACATCATAGGAAATTCTTGGCCCAATTTTTAAACTTTCAAAAAATTATCTCTAACTATTTGGAATTGTGATCACAAGCATCAAAAATGATGGGTAGTATTGAACCAGACTAATCTTACCATACTCCTGGGTTACTGCAACGTGGTATACGCGCCATCTAAATTCTAGATCCAACTTTCTCCGCCAGTTGTGGAAATCATCCGATTATGCATTATGCCCCTTCATTTCGAGCAACTTCAAGCGAATATATGATATATGGAACAAAATGGTATGCAGACAGATAAGACGCGACAAGTTCTGTAGCTTGTGCTCTTACACCAATTTCAAATCTCCTAAAACCTCCTAATAAAATTATCATATCTATTGTGGCTACCATATGCAGTACTTCGTACATGAAGGTTAGTCTAGAGTTCCTGGGCTTTGTGTTGCCCGAATTGAGTGTTGGAGATAGACTGATAGGCAGATGACGATTACCTTCGTTTACTTAGCTATGATTTCCTGCATGAAGCAAAATCTCTTATCTTCAACTGAAATTTCTCTATCTCTATCTACCGAGTTAAGGTACTCCGGCTATCAAATCTCTCTTCCCGAAACAGTAGGTGAGCGTCGCCGAAACCTTCCACATCCGGAACGACATTTCGGGAAGTTACTTGAATCAAATCTCTTTTTCAACAACTACCGAGGATTTCTTCCAAGTCTCCAGAAACTTTTACCAAACATTTGAATTTGTGTATCTTGAGAAATGACCAGTTTCTACCCTTTAAAACAATTAACAATGATATTTCTGATGGGCTTGTACTTCTAGTCGCACATAACCGAAGCAAGAGCGTATCCACCGAAGCTTCTATCAATCCGTTCAGTTATGTGGCATTTCATCCTAGGAACTCATACCACCTGCGTAAATTACGATGAGGACCATTGATTTGACTTCGACAGTCATCAAAATGATATACGAGGAAAAGTTGTCTCTACCAGATTGTGTTAAAAGTCTGACTAAAATCAAAGTCATCTATGACAATATTCTCCGCGCGGAGAATATTATTCGTCGTAACTACAAAAGAGCATGATACTCGCATTTGGAAAGAGATCAGATCGTTCTCCACCATCTCCCACCCTTTCTCCGGAAAATTTCTCCACGATGACCTAGATATAAAACTCTTGGCTGTCTCCATATGAATTCTTGTTTTTGAGCTTTGATCTTTGGATGCCTTTTGATCGCGCATGACCGCGGATGGATGGAATGTTCTTATTAGGAATATTCGGTACTTGTACCATAGGCATAAGTTTATAAGCCTGAGCCCTACAAATTACTTTTGTGTACTTGCTTGTATACCATGGTTATTGTTGAGGTTAAGAATGCCTGAGATGTGGTATCATCAGACAGAGCCTTCAATTATAAGTATTTCCTTGGGTTTCAACTTCAAGTGCCAATACTTGAACCGATTGGAATTATATAGTGTTCCATTTCAGGATCATAAAAGGAATCGTTATCATCACTTATGTTTACTTTTGTTCATGGTATTTCTATCATAAGGTTGCTCTTTTGTGTCTTAGGTCATAGACTATGGTGCAATATTTTCTGAGCCTCATGGTTCCCAAATGCATTTTAATTTCCCATTATACTAAACCTGGAATTGCCACATACATCAGAAGTAATAGCATGAGTTAGTTAAATTTGTCAGATGCTTCGCGGGTAATTTTGTTACCCTCATCTTTTTCATAAGTCAAATCAATATACTACTATTTGAAGGATTTTGCAGACAATATTCTTGTTGTCAAAAAGCGCAGTGTACTAAATCTGTAGTACTATTATACGTCAAATCAGAACAAAGCTAACTAAAGTAGCCAGCAGTAGAACAAAACTCAAGTGACTCCCAAACGCCTGTAAAACTCAAATTATCCATCAAAATCCATAGCATCTATCTCTTGTGGAAAAGTAGACAGTCAGAGTCCATAATCATAAGGCTTTTACCATAGTTATAGTCTCAATCAAAAACCTTAATAATTTTGTGGCCAGACTTCCTTTGTTTTGTAGGGCCTAGACGAGGCTGAACTGGGAGGTGCTGCAGTAGTTCGTGTACGAGAACTATGTCCAGAGACTGAGGAACCTCGTTCGGGGAATTGATAGTCAGCTGGTACTACTGTTCTTCTATCAGAATTAGATCTGCTGTCAGAAACAGTAGAACCTCGTTCGGAGAATTGATAGTCAGCTGGTACTACTGTTCTTCTATCAGAATTAGATCTGCTGTCAGAAACAGTAGAACCTCGTTCAGAGAATTGATAGTCAGCTGGTACTACTGTTCTTCTATCAGAATTAGATCTCGAATCAGGATAGTTACTTCTGCCAGATGAATCTCCATGACGGTGCTTCCTATCCGACGACCTCTTACCACCCTCATCCACTTTTTTCAACTCAAATAGCCCCCCTTCATCATATTTAGAACCAAGCTTCATTTCTGCCATTCCTATGGGCTTACCATCCCCATCAAGCAGCAACGTATTACCCAAATCCCGTCCCGCCTTCCGTTCCATATGATCCATGACCGAATTGGCTACACTTCCCATACTAGAATGTCTGTTTTGTATCTCCTGTAAATCACGAGCATCAGGCATATAACGCGAGATTTCCGCTTTAGACATGTTGGATAATTCGCTTGGTGCGCGACTTGCAGCGGGATTGTAGATACTTTGAGAATTCCTACTGCTATTTCGAGATTCATGCGTCCGAGAGCTATAAGTGCTTTGACTCGCTTCACTTGGATTTGCGGATCTTCGATATCCGTTACTGGGGTCCGCGATGACGGTTCTATCTTCGGGGACAGTGGGTAGGTTTGGACGGATTGAGGGTGCTTCGCTGGTACCTTTTCGATGAGATGGTTTTTTAGTTGCTGACAGTGCTGTACTTGATCCGCTTCGAGATTTTTGGTCGGAAGAGCGAGATTTGGGTGGGCCACAGACACTAATACTTTGTGAGGGTGTTATGCTGGGGACTTCAGAAGGTGCACGAGAGGATTTTTTCGATAGGACTGAGCTGCTAGATGAGTGTCTATCCCTTTCTCGCTCTCTACTTCTATCTCTTCTCTCTCTATCTCTTCCCTCATCTCTGTTCCTTTCACGGTCTCTACTTCTATCTCTTCTCTCCCTATCCCTTCCCTGATCCTTATCCTTCTGTCTCGAATATTCCTTAGATCTCTGTTCAGAAGATATAGAAGCTCCAGATGTATTGGAAGCACTCGTACGCGTCGAACGCACCGTACGACTTGTATTTTTAGTGTATCTGGATTCGTTGTCTCTTTCACTTGACATTTTTGATTATTGATTTGGCTGTTATCGTGATGAGTTGTTCTAAAGTTTTCTTGGTTTTGGAATTGTGTACAGGTGTAGCTACCTAGCTATAGGCTGTGTTTAACCGTATGCGTGTGTGAGATGTCTGTTTCTTTCCTTGAGGTTAATTAATGAGAATGTTTTTGTGATCTTAATAATTAAGCGAGGATTTTGTAACTTTTGTAGTAAAGGGGGATTTTTTTAGAAATTGTATATTCCAGTTGGAATGGGTGGTGTAAATGATATAGGTTGGGTTTTGATGGTGAATGTTTATAATGATAATCTTAGTATAATCCGAACAATACATACATATCGACTCGATATTTAAATACTCAACCCGTTGGTCATTACATAAGTCGTATATCCATCCACATGTTAAAGTTAGACACCAGGGCCAACAAATGTAAGACTCTTGATATTTTTTATTGTAGGCCGATATCTAGGTAAATATACGTAGGTGCCTAGTGAGATCTTTCTTACCTAGTCTTAATATTATTATCTGATAATTTTATAAATTTATTTATTTTACTTGTATCTATTTAATTATCTAGTTATAATAGTTGGTAAATCTTCAGTTGACTTTTTAATATACTAGCACATAATATAATATAGTTAGTTAATCTATTAATATTAAATTTATTTTAGATTTATAAATAATTATAAATATAAATATATACTCTCTTGTAAAAAATAAATTTGTAAGAGTAATAGAACTTTCAGATATAAAAAGAGTTCTTGATATTGGATATTGGGAATCTGATATTTGATAATTATTTAATATAATATAAATAAATATAAGTGTAACGATACTGTACTGGAGGCAGCGGCTGCCTAAGGTTTCGTCTGGTTGGTAGTTGTGGGTTAAGGCTTTATCACTGGTCTTCACTTGGAAGTGAAGTCGTTACTAGATCAAGTAGAATGTAGGTTAACTAATTGATAACTAAGTTGAGCACGAAGCTCCTAAACTATGAAACTATCCTAACTATATACTCATCGTTTCCTTGAGTGCTAGCTACGCTAGCATATCACGTGATTTCATATTGGCCTCAGGACACTAATCTTGGGACAATTCGTCTCCTGGGATAATATAGCTCCTAGGATAATTGTCCTGGGACAAATATTATCCTAGGACATTCTATCCCAGGACGAATAACGTCCTAGGACACTTGTCCTAAGCCTACATGGTTGCCTAATCGTTTTGTCCTAGGATATTAATTATCCTGGGACATATTTTATCCTAGGACACTTGTCCTAGGATTCCTTATCGATAAGGACTCCCTCGGAAACAGCGGCCCAAACCGCCGTACTTGCTTTTATTGTATTATAATAATCGTGATTCGTGACAATAGCATTTATATGTAAATTTGAAAATCTTAAATGTCACACTCAAGAATACTGGGTAAAGTATCTTGTATTAGAAAATACTAAGCTAAGGAGAAAAGAAGAAGGAAAACAAGAGTAGCGAGTTTTCCTGTGATTAAATACAAACGGGGCATGCTACGTGACCCGGAGGTGTGAGGCGTCACATTAAAAATCTTTAATAATCTTTCAATAAAAATTACTAAAAATGAATTATAAAATTTTTTAAAATCTTCAAATCAAATTAAGTATAAAAGATTAGAACTTTGAATTTTAAATTATATAAAAAATCTTTTATTGATATTTTTAGATTTTATTGTGACGGAAATCCCTGCTTTCCTCCCACCCTTATTATATAAGAAACCTCAGGTACATTAACCATGTCCACACATGATACGATTACTCGGGATTAGTATACGATTTAGGTGACCTGAGGATCAGATCCGGACAAGTACTAGGTATCAATGGTTATCGGTAAAGTAAGATCATTGGAGGGATAAATATGACTTCTTTTTGCCTAGCCATTACGGCTAGGCCATTCATTTGTGTATATATAGAGTAGCTATCCCCATCTACAGGTGCTCTTCACCTGTAGATTCTAAGTTAAATACAATTGCTGGTCTATAAACACCCTTTTGGTCACATTTATAGAGATTAAAAATCAGAATATTTTGATTAATAGGATTTCTATATAAATTCTACACAAATTGAAAATCAAAATTTGAACATTCAAAATCTCAATCAATAAAATCGCAAAAAATCTAAAATTTTCATAATCTATTTATAATTATATAATTAATCTATAATTCAAATTTCATCAAATTCTATTGACTAACTGTAAAATTATTAATAATCAAAAATGATGATTTTTGGTGTAAAAGGGTGGCCCATATTAGGGGTGGCCCAAAAGTAGGGTACTAGACTTAAATGAATAAATAAATAAATAATGATGATGTCTAGTAGACGGATGAATAGGAATAGCTGGTGGAGTTTTGGTTTGGTGACTGGTATGAGCGGTTGAGGTTGAGGTTGAGGTTTGCTCGTGGGCTAGTAGACTAGGCAGATAGGTGTAGAATCTAGATTTTTATGTGTTGTTTGAGGTTGGAATTGGGGTGCTACGTATGTAAATGCCTAAGTTATAGGTATGGGTTAGTAGGTAGGATGGATGGATAAATGGATGGCCGGGTGTTATTAGGTTAATGGTCATTGGATTTATGACCTTAGTTCTATTTTAGGGGTTTGTGAAACTATCTTCGATTAATTAACGTGTGGTTAGGATGTGGTTATGGTTGGAAATTGGGGGGAAGGTTGCTTGATTGTTTGTATAATAGATAGATAGATAGGTAAGGTTTGGAAGTGTAAGGCTTACATTGTACGAGTTTAATGTACAGTATGATATAAGTTATATTCATGTATTTGAAGGAAAACAGTAAGAATCCGATATCTTCAACTCTTTATCCTTATTCTCACAGTATCAACTTGCTGCATTCGAAAGAGAGTGATTAGGATCCGGTATCTTGACTCCTTATCCTTATTTGCCTTCTAGTCAATGTGCTTGGTACGTTCGGAGGGCATTAGGGATCTAGTCCCTTCAAACTTTTATCCCTTTTCTCACAAAATCGACTTGCTACATTCTCAATTTCTCATTCTCTTTCAGGTAATTAATGAATAAGATATCGATTTCATCAACCTCCTGCCTCTATTCACAGAATAACCTCCCACTTCGTTCACCGACTCAAATTATAACAAATAAACAAATAGTCTCCAATCTCTTGACTTCTTCTGCAGTTAGGCTTGAACTTTTTTTTATTTTTTTTTCATTCGATCATTTACTAGATATCTCTTTAATATATCAGATCTGCTGATACCTACCTACCTCGTGTATTGTGAAGAGTATATTTCTCGGGAGATGAATGTAAGATTGAATAAGAAAGGCATTGTAACAAGTTTCTTCATAAATCTTCAAAAATTCTAACTATTGGAAGAAATCAAAGTAGTTTTAAATTATAATGTATCAAGACTTAGAAGGTTTTGTAGTTTTATAATATAAGATTAGAAGATTTAAAGTTAAATATTTACTTAATTAATCCCCAACTCTATCCAGACGGTAGCTAGTCGTCTATCGCTGCAGTCTATGGATTGCTTCTTAATTGCTAACCTTGTAGTCTGTCTATATACAGTTGTAAGCTTATGAATGAGTGGTAGGTAACTAAACCTAGACCTCGAGTATTCAGATGTAAGTCGTGATCTTCACGATGTGGATTGTAGTTAAGGTTATTCATTTATATACATATACATATGCCGGATTGCAGATTTTGTAGTAGGATCTTACAAATTCCTGTCCGGTAGCCGGGATAGTAGATTGTGATGATTGTAACGGAAGGAAAGAATATAAAATAATAAAATGTATATCTGGCATGATCCTTTGCTGACCGCTTGATGAGAGATCGATGTACAGAGTATAATAATATGGATTTGAAGTTTGGTTAAGGAATCTCGGGTCCAACCAAGGATGAAAGAGATAAGGCTTATATATATGTTTGACAGCATTGAGTTGGTAACCGTATCCAAAATCTAAATAAATACTCAAATTATACTCGTTGATGCAATAAGACTTACTCTTTTACTCACTTCAAAAATAAGAGGATTGGAATACGGATGTTTGATATCGATAGTGATAATAGATGATTTACCAACGCAATTCTCGGGATAACCTTATATATTTAAGAGTGAAGCCAAGTCGATCGCAATACAGTTAAATTGTAAGATATTAATTTAACCATTAAATACCTAGGTAGGTAATATATAGACAAAATAGACGGTCAGAAAGTCATGATCAAATTGAGAACATTCACCCCTCTGTTAACTTTCATCCGAAGCAAGAATCAAAGGTGCACGTTCGTCATATTACGCGGCTTTGGAGAGTGTTTCAACTGATGTTGTGTCAAGTGATTACTGTACCTGTACCTGTACTTGGCATATTGTATGAGATGCGGTCCACTTGTAAGGAAGAACCGTGATAGATCTGCATTTTATGATGGGGATAGGAAGGTTGGTATAATTGTATTGAGGGTGTATAAATATGTTACTCTATTGATTAGTAAATAAGTGTGTGAACGTATGATGATGTAGATGTGGATATATATATCCATGGGTTAAAGTAAGCATGAGACTGAACGGATGATCAAATAGTCAATCTATTTCAGTAGCTGTTTGCAACTTGTGCTTAGAGTTTCACCAAACTCGGTAGTCCGTAGAAAGAAAAACAATTACGTGGCTTCGTATTTATTTGAAGCAAGTAACAAAGGCCAGAGGAATATGAAGGAGAAGTGAGGTTAGTTATTATCGTATATGTAGGTAGGTAGGAAGGTTGCATGTATGTAAGATATTGCGTATGCTATGGGTTACTTGAGACGGATATTCCAATCAGAGGAAGAAGTGAATTCTTAGTCTTATCTTCAAAGTCCAGCCTCCAACCTCCAACCTCCCCTCCAAGGCGGGGTTTCTTCTTTCTTGAATGCAATCCGAACGGTACTGCATGCGCTTGAATTTGGATGAATGAGATTGGATGGATTGAATCATTAGATTACCTAGTTGGAATAAGTGAATTCCCCGTTTCCCCCGTGTGAAACTTTAGCTTGTGACTGGTATAAATATAGATTTCACATTTTATAATTCTTTGAGCCTTACTCACCATCACATCATTCTAAGGCATCAATCACTCGATTTGGTTAAGTGTGTTGATTTTCTTTGGATTGACCCAATGATATCCCATCTTTTTCCCATCTTTTTTCCCATCTTTCCCCCAAATAACCCCAAGCTTTTATGCAACTAAAGGGGCCCCCGATAAAGTTCTCGACCACCAAAAGTTCATCCATCCACCCAGTCCATCCACCATCCAGCCCATCCATCGATTCATCCATCAATCAATTTATCATTTCATTTCTTTTTCATTTCACTTCATATTAACTCCTACATTCGTTCATATCACCAACAAAACTTAATATCGTCGAAAGTATCGGTACCTTTGAATACCTTTACCCTACTTTGATTTCAATCATTGTCAATTGAAGACTAATTCGTTCTCTTCTTTTATCATTCATTGTCGTTATCCTACACCCCTTTCGCTCTTTTCAGGTTCCGATTAAGTTCGATCGAATGCATTCGTAATCTTAACCCTCGCGAAACATTGAAAAGATAAGGATTTGAAGAAACCACACCCTATCACCTTTTACCAACCCCAGAGAATACCCTTTCGTGAATTCATACCGTCAATTCAATTCACCTCATCTCTCCTCGTCTCACTACCTTTTCTCAATTTCAATCAACTTCAATCTCCTCATGGGTAAATGTAAAAATCCCTTCTGTTGGTTGTACTTACGAAAATCATCTGGCTAACAACTGCCAATAGGGCGATATGGTGTTATCCTGGACGCAGGCTCGTCGGGAACTCGAGTTCACATTTATAGATGGCTCAACAGTGCCAAAGCATTACAAAATCCCGATCCTATCACTCTACAAAGTTTACCCAAGTTAGAAACCAATAAGAAATGGACGAAAAAGATTAAACCAGGTGTATCTACATTTGGCGAAAGACCAACTGATGTTGGCCCCGAACATTTACAACAGCTCCTTGACCATGCTCTCGACATTGTCCCAAAAGATCAGATTTCCGATACACCAATCTTCTTAATGGCAACAGCTGGTATGCGATTACTTCCTCAAGTTCAACAAAATGTACTTCTATCCGAGATCTGCGACTTTGCACAAAAATATACAAAGTTTGATTTACCAGATTGTGGTTTACACATTCAAGTAATTCCTGGTGAAACAGAAGGACTTTATGGATGGATCGCCGCAAATTACCTACTTGGAGGTTTCGATACACCAGAAGAACATGCTCACGGCAAAGGACATCATACATATGGATTTTTAGATATGGGTGGAGCGTCGGCGCAAATTGCATTTGCTCCTAATGCTACTGAAGCCGAAAAACATGCCGATGACCTCAAATTATTACGAATGAGAACTATGAATGGACAACCTGCAGAATACAAGGTGTTTACCACAACTTGGTTGGGATTTGGTGTTAATCAAGCTAGGCAACGCTTCGTACAAAGTTTAATGGATGCCTCTTACACCAAGGATACCAAAGAATTGCTCGACCCATGTCTTCCGGCTGGCCTCAAAACGACCTTAAAAGGTGATATTATTGATGATTCAAAGAGATCAGGAAAGGATCCAATATTGTTAGGTACTGGACGATTCGATCAATGTTTAGCAGCGACCTACCCCTTATTAGATAAAGATGCCCCTTGTGCCGATCAACCTTGCTTGCTTCACGGCCAACATGTTCCAGCTATCGATTTTGATGTTAATCACTTCGTTGGAGTTTCTGAATATTGGCACACGACACACGAAGTTTTTGAAATGTCGCACAAAGATAAAGCATATGATTTCACGAAATATCAAGCTTTGGTCAAGGATTTTTGTAGTGAGGAATGGGATGATATTGAGAAGGGCGTTGAAAAGAAGAAATGGGGAAAGAAGGTAGATGCTAAGATTGCACAAGGAGTATGCTTTAAAGCTTCATGGTTAATCAACGTACTCCATGATGGAATTGGTGTTCCGAGAGTAGGATTAGAAAAACCTGGAGCGAATTATAACGCGACAAAGGAAATGATGCTTCACTCAAAGGGCAAAGGTTTCTTGGATCCATTTCAAGCAGTTGACAAGATTAATGGAGTTGAAGTTAGTTGGACATTAGGGAAGATGATATTATACGCATCCGGTCAAGTTCCTCCTGCAACTGAGGATGCTTTACCAGTTGGATTTGGTAGTAATACTTTGGGAGTTCCCACGGACTTTCAATTAGCTGGTTCGAATGCAAATCCTGTACCTCACGATGATGATGATTGGTCTGATGCAGCTGATGACCTTATCGAAAAGGCACATTCTCGATCAACTCCTGGCTTTCTATTATTTCTATTCATTTTAGCATTTCTTGCTTATTTATTCCGCAAGAGGGATAGAAGACTTCGATTGTATCGGGGTGTCAATACAGTTCTACGCCGAAATTTTCGACCAGGTAGTCCAAAGAAAGGGACTCGTAGTTTTTTCGGTGCAGGAAAATTATTTGGATCTCGAGGTACCACGAGCTATGAACGTGTGCTAGAAGATGGTGAAGCTGCTACCGAGTTTGAATTAGGTGGCGTTGACTCATCCGAAGAAAATGAGTATTCGGATGGAAGTGAAGGATCTCGAGTAGGACGTTCTTCAGGATTAGCTACACCAAAGTTAAATGTGGTCAATTTTGAAACAGCCAATTATTTTGACAACAATCCTCAAAATGGTCAAGGTGTTGGTCTTGGTTTAGGAAGTGGAGTGCCAGTTGCATGGAACAGAAGTGGTCTTGTTGTTAGGACAGAAAGTCGAGAAAGATTAGCTCCATCTTTAAATTCCTTGGGAGCTGGAAGAAGAAGTAGAACGGGTAGTCCAACGAGGAAAAGTCCTTTAATGACACCTTTTGAAGAGTCATGACATGAGAATTAGGGTGAATGTAGAAGGCGAGTGGAGAAACTATCATCATACCTATTTAATAGTATATTCTCTTTCAGCGAGGCGCTTTCACTTGGATTGGAAATGGAGTTAAGATGGTGTTGAAATGGCGTTGAAAATGGATAGGAGATGTTGAGCGACGGTTTAAGCTTGGGATGGCATGGCTTAACTTGTTGATATCAGGACTTATTACTTCTACCTACTTTTTGTACATATATTTTTCTTCTCCTTCTTCTTCTTCAGATACTCATGAAAGTTGAGTAGGCAATGCTGATGTATGGTATGTGAAGGGTAAAGTGCGAATAGATGGATCAATGAATGGATGAGCCGGAGATATCTTTGTACGTCAATCAATCAGTGGATCGGTCACATAGAGTATGAGTACTGTAGTATGATTTTGGGTATGAGAGAGCGTGTGTGGGGTTTTAATGTATGATGAATTCAGAGATGTTATTTTTATGTGATTGATTGGGTGTTTAAGATGATTCTTTTGACATTGAACTTTTAATGTGTATTTTTGATATTTGAAATTTGATATTTGTTTGCAGTGGTGTGTTGGTGTTGGAGATGGTGATATTAATCTGACTAAATATCGACGTAGCGACTGCGGTGATAAAAGGGATAGATGATGGAGGAAGTGGATAAGGGTATGTTTCTACCCTGATTAACGGTTTGGTTGGTGCTGGTTTGGGGTTTTCTGCGTTTTGCTAGGGGTTTTTGGTCTTCGGAGTCGGAGTCGGATTCGGTGTTGGAATCGGAGTTGGAGTCGGAGGAGTTAAGGTCGGGGTCGGGATCTTCATGGGTGTGGTAGTTGTTATTTTTGGTTTTGTTGTGGTTTTGGTGTGGTGGTGATGTGGTGGAGGGGTACGATGGGGAAGTGGATGATGAGGAAGATGAGAATGAAGAACGAGGTTCGAGTTTTGGTTTTATAGCCGGTGAGAGTGAGAGTGAGAGGGTTTGAGCTCGAGTGAGGTTGTTGATGTTGTAATTGGGATTGGGATTGAGATTGGGTTCGAGGGTATTGATATTGGGATTGGTATCGGTGGTGGTTTGTGGGGTGCGGGTTCTGTGAGCGTTGTATCTGTGAGGAGAGAGAGGGGGGGAGGAAAAATGTATATGAGGAGGAGGATGAGGAGAATGGTGATGATAATGGTCGATTTGAGGGTATGTGGAGAAAGTTTCTGGGGAGAAAAATTGTGTAGAGGTGGGATGGTTTGGGATGGGTGGAAGGGGTGAGGATGGGATGCTTTTACGTTTCGGTATCTGTCCTTTCGACTCATGTATGTAGATATTTGCGTTTGTATCGAAGTCCTCGTCCTCTCTTTTCCTCTTCGTACTTCTTTTCTCCACACTAGAAGGTAGACAGATTTGCACTTGTGTTTTTATCCTTGCTCCTGCTCCTGCTCTTATTCCTACTGCTTCAGCCTCTTCCTCTTCCTCCTTCACTCTCACTCTTCCCCCATTCTCTCCTTCGTCCACTTTCACCTTATCTTCTTCCTTCTTTATCTCCTTCATCCCCTTTTTCGCCCTCTTCTTCCTACCGCCAACACTTCTCTCGCTTGCACCTTCATTCCTACCCTTCTCATCCCCATTTCTGCTTACCCTCCCACCCACAGCACCGAAATTAACCCCGCCAATCGATCCAATAACCCCCTTTTCAATTTGTCGTTTAAGTCTCGTGTAACGCATACGTGCAGCGGGAGGTTTGAGATTTGTTGTTTGACCTACGGAGGAAAAATCTATCTGTGTGTGTGGGCGGTTGTTAGAGGTTAGAGGACGTGAGAGGGGGTGGAAGGGGGGTTTGGATGTGGGTGGTTGGAGCTGGAGGGGGGAAAGGGGGGGAAGAATGGATTGGTAGGGGAAGGGAATGGTTTTCAGGTTATGGAGTTCTTCTCTGGTTACTCTCCGGGGAAGGTTGTTTGGCGGGGCAAAAAGGAGGGAAGATGCAGATGCGAAGTTAAGCAAAGACAGACATACATCATCAAAAAGCTCCTACAAAGAAGAGTCAAATAGGAAAAGAGCACAGGAAATCAAAACAAGTCAAACTAATAAAATCTGCCTGAAGAAACTCTCTACTCACAGATTTCATATCCGATTTCTGGAGACAAATATACAAGAAGACGAGATTTTGATCGAGTTGAATTTTCGAAGGCATTTTTGCTGGTTTTTTCTTCTGGTTTACTTCGTAATTCTGCTTTTTGATTTTGGTGAGTTTGTGATTTCTTGATGGTTTTATGGGGATTGAGATGGAGAGGTGTAATGTTGAAGAGTGAGGGCTGGAGAGTGGTTGGATTAGATCGGATTGGATAGTAGTGTTATGTACGAGGAAAGTAGTAATCAATAAAGCAACCTCAATATCCCTAAATACCAAAAGTCAGGCAGATATGGATAAAAGTTGGCTGGGGATATTGGAAGTTTAATCTTTTATATAGATGAGATGATGAAAGCGAACTGTGGGTACATGAATGAAATGAACGAGTTTGGGGATGTTTTTTTGTTTGTTTTAGGGGGATTAGTTGTGTATTGTTATTGGGGTGAAGGATGGATGGTGTGTAGGTTTGTATATAGATTTGTGTGTAGGATTGAACGTAGATTTTATTGTTGTGATGTTGCTCTTTTTCCATATGATATAGAAGGCAGTTGTTTTTTAGAGATGTTTTTAAAGGATATGATTAAAGGGCTTTATTATGTATTAGGTTGGTCTTTGAAAGTTATATGATTGAGTTGAGGTTCTGGTTGTGCTCTTTGAATTGTTATTCTTGTGGATGGTTAAATGGATTGGGGGCTTGGTTTGTGAAATATGATATTGAGCTTTAGTGAGAATTTTTAAAATGCTGTTCGATGCATCTATACATGCATATAACAACAGATGAGGCAATGCAAAACTTATAACAAGAAGATCATCATGCACAAAAGGCGTTAGGAAGAATGTACATCAAATGATGATATATTGTTCTGATTCTGATTGTCCCACATAGATATCGAAGTCTAACTTCGAAATATCACGAGAAACTCCTCCCTTTCATGCAATAAGGTCCTTTCCTTCAACGCCTTAAATCATCCTGAGTCAATGTTGACCATTCATTACTCTCTTTTCTAATCCCTAAGAACTCCTGTTTCAAATACCCGAGAAAGAATCAAAAGCTTGGTATCATCGTCTGAATTTGATATCTGCAGTTTCCTTTAAAGCTCCAATGAGAACTCGATGTGCTCCTAAAGCTGCTTGTACCGCATTCTCCGTAAGCTCTTCGTAAGATGGATCATCATTGTTAGACTCAGTTGAGTGCCCAATATCTCCTTTTACCCAAAGATCTGTGATTTCATCTCGAGCAGGAAGATATGCCACAATACATGCTGCTAGAATCTCCTTATGCTCAGATGGTACTGGATCCAAGACTAGTGAAGTAGAATCCTCTTGCTCTGAATTGGCAGGTGAACGTACTAATGCGGCAACTCCACCAGAAACAACATCAACGCAATCAATTCCAGCATCTGCAATAGCTGCAGAAGCAACAGTTATACAACCACTGAGTACACTCATCATACCCCATCCACCTGCAGTCGATGAACCAAAAGATTTGTCATCACCCCACCAATGATCCTCCTCTCCTTCAAGAATCGTAATATTAATCTCAACTCCACTCTTGGGCCATCTATCACCGATAATTACTCCTCTCAAAGCAGTTTCCAAATGTACTCCAAGATCCCTTTCACTCGTATCTCTAATATATCCACGTCTTCTTCTGGATGCAAATGGCGCATATTTAACATGAGTCTGTAGAATCATATGTGGTGAGAATGCAGCGGATTTAGATAATGGTCGAGGTCCATGAACGGTACATGTAAGTTTGAGACCAGAAGTAGAGAGGGAAGCAAGGCCTGGAGCAGATTGATTTGAAGGCTGTGATGGTTCAAGTTCGAGATATGCAGATCCTGAAGCTGATGGTGTAACGCCGGTCTTCAAAACTGTTATATCGTAAGTTTGTGATTCAATCGTAAGTAGATTTATGTATACGTACAAATTTTCCTTAGAACATTAGGTTGTCTATTTCTTGAAGGTCGTTCTGGGCGATTCTTTGAATCTTTGGCAAGATACTTTGAGAATATCGGTGCATGTGTTCCACCTGGTGGACCATTTATTCTCCTTCGATCTGACATGATGACTGAATATATGAAATTGATCAATTCAATTCATCTATCTTCTTTCAGTTAATCGCACAGCTTTCGATTTCCATATGCGATGATATGGTATCAACTTTTTTGCTGGGAACCTCGGATAAATAGATGGTCCGATTTATCCTTGCAGATCTTTTTAGCGCGGTTGAAGACATTAAATTTTCTCGCAACTCGATAAGATTTTCTCTTTCATACAACAATTTATTTTTCAGATTTGGTATTGAGATGTTGAGAATTCCCTTTTTCCAACATCTCAAACCTCATCAATTGCTTCACAAGCAATATACAGCATTGTCTGGTAGAATGGTAACAATGGGACAGAAGTACCGAACTTCACATTAACATTTCATCGCAGCTGGACTGTTTGCTCTTGATTAACTTGGTACGTTCTTATACCCTTTTCATTCATATCCTCATGGCCCGGATTCAATCTACACACCTTAGTTCTCGGCGATCTCCTGAGCCACGAACAAACATGCATCACCATATGAGCCATTATTGATGCTCGTATTTCAATTAGAAATATTTTACCTTTTCAATTGCTAACAATTGCCTAAGATAGATCACAATTGCTTTGGAATTTCACACAACCACATTACATGGCAGTTTATTGCGCTTGGGATATCAAATTGTAAGTTCAACTGTCCCTCTACTACCACTGTTCACCCCGTCTTTATATGATGAAAAAAATAATTATCAGTTCTGCTTCTGAACATTCATGTTGATAACCAAAATACCAAACTTTTCTGATCTCAAAGACATTACCTTATTTTTGCTTCCATTTTATCAGCATTACAAGAGCTAATTGTCAATTCAGTCATCACAGAATTTATCCCATTCTTCCAAGTTCAAAATGCCACCAATAATAGGTACGGTATACTTTATACTACTTCACCACTTCCTCGTTATGATGATAACAGCTTATCCATTCCATGAATGCTCATCGACCGAATCCTACTCCCGCACCGGACTGAGCCTCAAAGCTTGGGATGATAGGTTGTGGAGCTAGGGTTTCAGTGCTTCAAAGATTTGTCTTGCGTCTTGTAATTCAAGTCTTTGTCGCCGGTCGAAGTGCTTGATTTAAACGGCTTACTGAAAAATCTTGGAAATTCATATTCAGCATTAAACATCATTATTAGTTCTATGCTAATTGGTGAGTGCTATTAGGTACATGTGAGTTTTCGACTTGAAATATTTAGGAAGTCGAGAGTGTTGCAGTATTTTGGTACGAATAGTACTTGCAGGCAGGTCTGTGTTCTAGTAGGCCATTTCATGGTTGGAGCGTGGACTCTAGCATATCATCATGGGCCCGTTCAGATAGTCATAATATAAGATATTCTTCACTTGCAATTGTTACTTGTTGCCAGCATGATTGGTGTGATCTTGTGTGTATAATTACCTAGTAGACGACTTGTAGAGCACTTTCTTTGGGTGCTATTTTCCATTCAGACTTTTAGGAGAATTGTCTCATTAGTCAGCATGGCCTTTACTTTCAGAGATGAGCAATCATCTCATAAGAGGCACCGCAGCATTGAATGTCGGGAGCCACGGATGAGGTAATTCTACAGCAACATCTCAGTTCACAATGCCGGCACTTTGGCCCTTGATACTGGTCATGTCAATTGGCATTACGCTATTCATTGGCATGTGATATTGTCCCATCGTGCCCAAATCATGACAGTTACTAACGAGAGTCATAGCTTGGATGATACTTACATCATGTCTCGGTGAAGGGGCTCGTCGTCGTATCTCGGGCATGTCATATAATCCTCGAGAAGCCATATTTGACAGTAATTACATGGGAGCCATCACATCCAATGGACAAGGAGCCTGGAATCAATTCGAGATGGAAAATATGTTGGGAGATCATATTCAGCATTCTGATTCTGAGTAATATTTTTCCATCCGTCTAAACGCCTGGATATCTATGCTTTATACAATATCCGCCCATACCTTTTGGGGGATTTATCTATCTAGAATTCTATGTCGACTTTAGTGGCTTTTCCGCCTTTTCCATCGATATCGATTCCTCCTTTTTGTTCTTCACCTTCGTCTTCAACGGGTGGTAAACTATATGGTTTAATAACAAGTCCCTTCCTCCTACTTAAAGAAAATGCCAAATCGTCTCCAGCAAATCCGGCGCTTCCGCCGCCCTTCTCGTGGAATATCGGTAAGCGGTGGATTTTTAACATTCCTTGTGGAGGTTCTTCTTGAGCGGGATTAGAGGAGCTGGTGGGAGCGGCTTTAGGAATGATGGCTATGGAAGGAAAGGGGGCGATTTCGAGGACGCCGTCGCTGAGGAGTTCGATCCATTTTGTGAGTGCAGTGGTGCGAGGGTGAAGGGGGAGGGGGAGGGTAAGTATGAGGGATAATCTGGTTGGATATTGACGAAGAAGGGCTCGTAGAGCATGGAGAAAGGGAAGGATGTGGTAAGGAAGGGAAGCGTGAGAGGGGTAGAGGGCGGGTGACAGAAGGGAGGGAATTATGATGCGGTGAATAGATGTAGAAGGCGTTCGGGCGAGTTGTGTTGAGAGATGTTGGAGGAGTGGAGTAAAAGGAGATTTTGTTTGACTCGTTGTATCTGCGAAATCAAAGTCTGGTCTGAGAATCGTAGGAATGAAGTGCATCTGCGTCGACGATGGAGGAATTAATCTTTTACTAAGGTCGAAATCGTGGCAAAATATTGAAGGTGGATCTGACGAGTTTGTACTCGATTGCACTGCATTCCTCTCTACACAACAACGGTATTAGCTTTCGCATTTCAATATTAAATTCATCTATGAATCCATCAAACATATATACAAAGGACCACCCACCTCTCGCACCACTTGCGCCAAATTCTCCCAATCTCTCATATCTCCAGGCAATCTTCATCTTATCATCTGCCGCCTTACTATCCACATCCTTCTTCGAAGACGATCCTTCCGCAACACCCAAACCCGGTAATTCTCTTCCCCATCCTTGATGCATGCCCAAGATATGAATATGATGTCCTTGAAGCACACCCTCCGCCGCAAAATATTTCAACAACGTGCCACCGAAATCCGTAGTTCCACTCTCTTCAAGTAGTAAAGATGTGCCAAGTGGGAGTCCTGCATGACCGGCTAGTACAGAATCGAGAGAACGGATACCTGTAGATGTAGTTGGACGACCATCGAGTGGTGATGGACGAATACCTGGAATTGGAATTACTTTTTCTGGGATAGGAGTCTGCGAGGTTTGAATTCCGGGTTGTGCGATTGCTAAGTTGCGTTTTCGAAAAGCCATTTTTGTGGAAAATGTGTGGTGATAATTATGACGAGGGAGGAATAATTATTATTCTGTCGCGGGGTATTTCATATCCCACTAAAAGTGAGCTAGTTAGAACTTCCACAATAATTTTGCGCCGGAGTTTTGTTCGGCCGATCTCCGATTCATTTTGATGTTTTTGGGATTGGAATATTTTGCGAAAGACAAAGCTTTCTTTTCATACCTACTTGCAGCAAAGCCATTTATACACCACTGTCAAGCATTATAAACGTGAAGTCTACAGGACTGTCTTTCGATACTTCGACTATCTTGCACCGAATCAACACAAATATCTTGGAGATTCTTGACTTCGAATACTTCCATCACCTATTCTATTACCACCAATATCTAATCAAAAATGTCGGGTACCGCGGACGCGCAACTCTTCGATGAGCACTTCACTGTCAATGAATTGGACCATAAGAAATATGTACGAGTAGGACGTATCAAGGCCACTTCCACTGTCGATCATTCTGTTTCTATGCTCCTCGATATCAATACCGAGCTATACCCATTAGCCGTTGGCGACAACATTCGCGTTGTGCTTGCGACATCTCTTAATCTGGATGGTACAAAGGATGATGGAAAGGGATGGAGAGATGCTAATAGGATGGGATTGGGCGGTGAAGCTACGCTCGCAGATATGTTTGATTATGTTTGTCATGGGAAGATTTATAAGTTTGAGGATCAAGAGAATAGTGATCTTATGTAGGTTTTTTTCTTGAATGATTGGAATTGCCTGATTGCTTGCCATTTGGCTATGCTATCTAAATTCTATGAATTGATTGACTAATTTCTGATATAGTAAGGCATATATCTCCTTCGGTGGTTTGTTGATGGGTTTGGAGGGTCCCTATAAGAAGCTCACACCCTTACGAGTCGACTATGTTTATCTTCTCATTAAGAAATAGATGAAAGATCTGGGGAACCGAAAACAATAGAAGAAAGGACCTGCTTTCTATGACGTGGTGAAATCTTTGAAAAATCTGGCAGGGGAAAATCGACAATATTGAAATCCGATTTTTCGCATGCACATTTGGTTTGCATTTGCGTGGGGCGTTTGTGGATGGGAAATTGAAAAAGTCTTGAGGGCGTTCAAGCACCAGATACCTTTTTCAGATCTGGAATACTAAAGTATTCAAATATTGTGTGGTCCTGGAAATGGCAACTTCCTATGAATCCTGCTGTTGATCTCTTCGAAATCGCTCTCGTTTTCCCGTGTCAATATGCCATGTCTGATGAAGAAATCCAACAGAACGATTGCGCAATTGGTTTTGAACTCATCATTTTTCATGCGTTCCTGAACTTCCTCTACTGTCAATAAATAAAATTGATCCACCTCGGTATCATTTGGTTTGGGTATGATATCGGCAGGGAGCTCCAAATCGTAAACGTATTCACATTCCGGCTGCATCAAACCCGTCTCCCCTCCAGCAGTAGCGCCTCTTACATAGAAATATGTAAGAGCACCCTGATCCTTCACATTCTTCCTCACAATCTCTTCCGGAAAACTAGCTTCTTCCATACACTCTCTAACCAAAGCTTCAAGCTTATCTTCTCCCGTAGCCATCCCTCCCGCAACCGTGTTATCCAACATGGAAGGATATGTTTGTTTAGTGGCTGAGCGTCTAGGCACCCACAACTTCATGCCATATTTCACTTCAGGACAACGTACATATGCCATCATATGAATACCATAACCCAGGATCCCAAACAATACCGAAGCACTTCGCTCCACAGACCACAAAACTTCATTTCCGGGTCCATACACGGGATATACCTCATCACGCCATCCGGATAGCACCTGGAAGGTTTTGTTGGAATGCCAGTAGTCACATGTTGTGGCTACGGCGGCGGTACGTTCGGGTTCGGTGGCTTGGGTGAAGATGGATATGGTGCGGGAGGATTGGTTGACGACCATTTCTCCTTTGATGCTGGTGGGTACTTTGCAGAGGGCTTCATAAATGGGGAGGGTGATGTAGCCCAAGGGGTAGATGGTGGAGGTTAAGGGATCTTCGTGGATGAGGGTGTAAATAGTAGAGGTCATAGTTGTGTGAGCGACCGGATCTGTTTCCGGGTAGGGAAATCTGGGGGTGCGTTAGTTGGGATTTTCAACTTGGGGAATGGATGGTGGGATAGATATTTGGGGGATCCGGAAGCATTGTGCAGTTGAGTAGGTATGTTGTGTTTGAGTGTTCACAGCTCTGATAAGTTGTGAGCACTTTTTGGAAGTTGATCCTTCCTTGTTGCTTCATATATGAGCATATATTCATGTTACCAACCACTTGGTTGTATGACGGCAAATTGCATTTTACTGCATTGTACTCCTCAAGCACCATCCAATCGTCACAAATCCCAAAAGCCACATCTCCACCATTTCCATTGCCATTTACATGCAGTGATATCATCTAGTACTTGGCAAGTCAATGAAAAATGACAAAATAGAAGTACTTACGTATCGCACTCATTAACAAGATCCAAATAAGTCTTCATGATGTCTATCTCTGTTTCTCTCAAGGAATGTGATTCGTATATCCAAAAATATGTGTCTAAACAAAATATATTTATATGCAAAATCCAGATGTTTAAGTTTTTGAATCTACCATAAAATAAATCTGAAATACTTTATACACAATCTAACAGTATAGTACTATTGTTAGTGTGGTACTATAGCAACGTGTATTGAGTCTCGGGAGTCAATATTAGCACATTATGACGTGCATGAGATTATATTAATTACACCCATGCAAAAAAAAAGAGAGCTGCCCCGCAATCTATCTAGACGGGACGAGAACTTTCCGCGAACAACCTTTGAAAATATTGATAAAGAGCAAACCAATCTCTTCAATTTTGGGTACCTAGACAAACAATCTTTGGTAAGATTGCAATATATTGTTTTAATTATATCTATTCTGTTAATTGAATCATTCATCATCTGAGCTAGGTTGGAAGCTCCGGAATATTCAAATAGCTGTTTCTTCTACGTCACATTCAATCGCATATCGCAAATCGCATAAAGGCGCAAAAGTAAACAAATCATGGAGCAAGCCCCTCCTTCACTTCCTCAACTCTTCGGCATGTATGTTCTTTCTTTTCCCTATTTCAGACTTCATATCTATCCCAATCAATCAAACAACAAAAAACTAATCTCTGCCCGCACAGAATACCCACCGGACAACCTCCAATCATAACCCCCACGTCCGCTCCCTCCCCAACATCCTTCGTCTTCACCCTCCCCGCGCGCTCCTACAACCACATCTGCGTATTCCTCCTCCCAGGAATAACACTACCACACTCCACCGCCGCCGCCGTCTACATCTCACTACCCCCTTCCCTCAATGCCTCCACACCAGCCTCCACACCACCGTTTAAATTCCTCGGAGGCATTGGACCGGGAAAAGAAAGCGCCATATTTAAAATAAACAGCGACACGACCCCTCAAAACAGCAATCCAAACCCGGCGCCCGAAATCGACATGGACGCTGATTCCAACCCCTCCTCACTAAATCCCCAAGCCGAAATAACCCTCGGTATCTCTCTCGAAAGCGCCGACTCAGTATCCGCGCAAATGGCACAACTATCCTCCTCTTCTGCTTCTCCTTCATCAATTAACCCCTCTAACCCCTCTACATCTTTAATCCTCTCCCGACCTTCACAAAACCCAAAAACAGACACGTTAGTTCTCGCGCAGCGAATCATAAAAAATGCATTTAATTTCCTCGCGAGTTTTAGCGGGAATGTAATGGATGGGGGAAATGGGAAAGGTGTGGAAGTTGTGCCGTTGAAGGCGTTTGAGGAGTGGTGGAGGAAGTTTGAGGTGAGGGTTAGGAATGATCCGGGGTTTTTGGAGAGGGATGGGGATTAAGATTCATTGTTTTTTTTGTTTTTTTTTCTCTCCCAGGAAAGAGGAGAGTGGGAAAGAAGAATCTGGAAGGGGGAATGGTAAAATATAAGATGTGGATGCGTAGGGGAAGAAACATTAGTCTACATCTACATAAAGTACATTGGATGAATGCGTACAAAAAGAGAGGCAGGTCGAAAACCCGCAAGAAGTAGAATCACAAACTCTTCCTGTGATCATATTTGATCATCTGCTGGTGGGGGTAAAGTGGGATCTAAAGTTCTCATCTATTGCTTAAATATTAAAGCACTATTTACACGACTTATTACGTGTCAATGTAATAGAGAGGGTGGAAGGGAGATGGCACAAAATACCTAGCAAACAATATCTAATTAATACAGAATAAAATTAATTACATAGCATAGGTTGCGTGAACTCAATGAATTGAATGTTCGGATAAACTTGGTCATCATGTAGCCATATGTATTCTGTATTCATGTTATAATAGACACACTATTGATTCATACACACACATCACATCATAATCTAATGATACAAAAATAAAACATTGTACTACTCCTCATGATGAAAATTATGCGCCCCTGTGGAGAAAAAAAAAAGAAAGAAAAATTAAAACGAATCAATAGTCGCACACTTTCTGCTCTCCATGCAAATCTCATACCATAACAAAATAACCCCAGCTTCCAACCTAGCCATGGGAACCTGGTGTTTGTAATAGCTCAAGTCAATCTGTACGCCCGCATTCTCTCCACTCCATCTCCTCTTTTCACATCTCCACAATCCCGCTATGGAACATAAATCCTACTAAAACTAACCACATCCCTCCTACAACAAACACACTTATCGAAATTGTTCATCGCGAGCGTAACACGACAATCATCGCATAAACTCAAGCAACGACAAGGCCATACAATAATACTCCTAGGTGAACTCTGACATACTACACATTGTGGACCATTTTCTCCCATACCTGATGCACCTTGCATCCAAGAAGCAGGTTCTTTGGTAGCTTTTTGATAGTTACGTTTTGAAATGATGAGATGTTCGAGGATTTGCGCTTCTTCTTCGGGAGAAAGTTTTCCGGATGGATCAGAGGAGATGAAGTTCGGGGGACGTTGGAGGGTGGATGTTAAAACGCGGGCACGTTCTCTTTGGATCATATCACGATAGCGGGAACGGGTTATGATTTTGTCACTTGTAAGGTGATGGGCGAGGGCTTGTGCTTCGGCTCTTTCTTCAGGGGTTCGAGGATGTAAGAGTTGAGCTAAATCTGTTGAGGATAAGGGTGTGTCGATAAATGGACTAGATTCCCGTGATGGTTGAGGTGATCGTTGTGTGGGAGTTCTTTGACCATCTGTAAGGGCATCATCCGACTCCCAATCTGTGTCATTTTCTGTCGAATAAGATATCACACTGGTCATGTCGTCTTCGATATCTTTTCTCTCAGGAGTGAACGTTCCGCTGTTATCATCACTTCCCCACCAACCACCATTAAGCCACCATTGATAAAGGCTGGAGTCTAACTCAGCCTCCCTATGTCGACTCCAATATTCTTGATCAGTCTTGAGTCGCCGTCTCATTTCAACCTCTACGTCCACATGCTCATCTTTCGGTAACGTTAATTCCCCGTCGATATTGAGTAGCCAGAAGTTTAATGTATCTGGATCATTTGCTTGTACGGCTGTGTTCAAAGACTCTTTCTTCGTTTGTCTTACAAGCCAAAGAAGCCATCGTGGACGACTTTGAATACCCAGCCAGCTCATGAGCATCAAGATACATGTTGCCCACCTACAATTCAAGAGTTAGTAGCTGTCAATACCAGTAAAATTATGATTTGCGCTTTATGGGTAAATCTGAGCTCTAAGATTGGAAACAGCTCTGAAAATATGCTGGAGATGAAGTATTCGGTGCCAATTCCGTATGTCAACCATCCAAAGATGGAGAATATCTAAGACCAAGAAGGAGAATATTGTACTTACCAACTGAAAACTAATCTATTAATGCCAATAAAGAATTCCAAGGCCATCACCCAACGTCCACTACGTTCTGTAGCACCGACACCATCTCGTATTGCTCGTTCCTGTCCTTTGGATTTTGTATTTTTCTGTGCAGTCATTTCGCGTAAATAAGGGCTGTGAGATAGAAATTTCTGATTTGTAGCTGCAACGAGACCAACGTTGTGAGGCATATGATTATCTATAGCAAGTTCAGATTCATGTGCTCTAAAACTTGGACCTAGCCATAGAGCTCCAGTCTCTTCAATCTCACGTAGACGATCATCTTCAAGCCATGTATTAGGTTTGACATTTACTCCTCGACTCTCATTCAGGTAAACAGCTTCACTTGCCATAGTCATAACAGCAAAGCCTGTCCTGAGTAAGGCGGTGTAGAAGTCCATGTGCATCGTAATCCGAATACTTGATAGGGGAACATTTGCTTGCATATTATGATGTGCTTTGACCAGTCTTTGTGAGAAAGATAATCGAGGACGGGTACCTGGTAGGTTTCGTCTGACTGGAGTATCGGACTCATCAATACCATGAAGAGGTGCCAATGTAGACAAAATCAACGCAACGCCATATATGATTGAACATATAATGATACCGCACAGAACAAGAACGTGAGGAATAAATCCAACGATACAGACCGTGGGAAATCTCAATAATCCTTGAGTCGAAAAATCTTCGAAAGAAAATGAGAAGAGGCTCCATACTATGACAGACATGAATGAAATGCCCCAAAATCCAGTGTTAAGCAACCGGAATCTTCCTTGAACGTCGAATATTCCCAGGATGTGGCTACTCAAGTGATTCATTGCTGAGAGAAATCCAACCAGTAGAACCTCTGGTGTGGTGTTAATCTTCTTCATAATCATGGAGCGTGTGATGGCAATTTGAGTGGGTCCAGCGTTTGCGTCGTCTTCCGAGGAAACATTAATCTTGCGAAACCCAATAATCTGAGCACTAACCGCAGCATCAGCCTCAGCAAATGCTAATGAGTGTTCGAAGAGTGTCATTCCAGTTTCGGCTGCGACCTGACGACCTGAATTTCGTTAGGAGACACACTTTCAAATACATCCAAGCTATTACAGGGAGTGACGGAGATCAAGAAGTTCAAGCTCCTAGCACTACCCTGAATATGGAAATAAAAGAATCTTGGAAGCTATATAGGCTAGGCTTACCTTGAACAGCGCAGGATACTGTTTCGACAAATTGACTGAGGCTAAAAGTTTTGAATAAAGGCCATAGAAGTGTCAAAGATCCGGAAAGACTATATGCGGTGGGAATGCTTTCTTCAGAGCTCGTCTCATTCACCGCGATATAATCATTAGGAATCATATTGATTGCCAGACATGAGTCGGAATCTTTAGCACCAAATAGGAGAGCTTGACTGAACGTATGCAATGGGCCTCCATTTTGAGTGAACAAAAGGCTATTAGATTTTGACGAGTTACCCCACCGTAGGTAACCAAAATCAGGGGATGTCTGGCATTGTATTGATTGTAGCAGCCACCTGGCTTGAACGAGAAGTAGAAGGATTGGTATTATTCGTAATAGGAAGCGTGGTTTCCAAGTAAATTCGAGCGGCCTTCTTGTGCTGGCCATTATATGCGTGCGATTTAAAACGACAGCCATCACTATACATCCTAGCGCCCATTTGCTTGTGGCATAGGTAAATAGGCCTCCCAGACTTCGCGCACTCTCCAAAGAGAACTTTGAGCTTTCCATAATATTCTCTTCCGTGAATGTAGCTGAGCCGGTCTCCACAGCTTGTCTTATGCCCGCAACTGCTGCAGCGGTTATCGTTTCCGCAGGATCAGGTATGCCAACGCCAGTGGCTTCTGGAATTATTCGCGCCCCCATCCTTATACCCAATATATTATCAACGGTTTCGGGAACTGTAAGAAAGGAACCAAGTTTCATAACCATTCGCGGTCCTGCCAAAGCGAGATCTCTTGCTGATGGCACATATTGTGTAACATTGACCGCGGTCCAATTTGCCCATGAAGCAATGTCGAATTTTGTGCCATTATCGAGCATCGCTGGAGTGGCCATGATAAGCTAAGATCGAACCAAACGCAAACGGGAGTTGTTCACAAAGAGATAATGAGTCGATGTCTATTGGTCTCACCATACCATCAGAAAATTACAGATAAAGGGCATCTTCCAGTATGAATAAGACTGAGTGGAAAAGATAACTGAAACAGCACCAGTCAATAATATTTTTATGTCGGAAGGCGGAATCCAAACATGGTTCCTAAAGTTTATTATCTGATGCGATTTCAGATGATGTGAATTATGTCGGAGGATGGAGTTATTCCGACCGAGGACAATTCTAGAATGCAGGGACGGCATTAGTGGTTTCACAGAGTTTACTTTGCTAAATCCACCACGGACGGGCACTCATTCTTTATCATAGGGAGTCTCATCATGGAAAGGGTGTTTATGTTGGTAAAGCTGTTTGTCAGTACTTTGTCGGGAATATTAAGTCGTCAATGGTAGGTGCTCTCAAACTTCATCATAAATGCATTAAAGACACAAGAACTGTCAACACTGAGATTGCACAAGAGCATGACTTGAATTAGATAGCTGTTAAGAAACTCATTTTGTATTCATAATTCTATATCGATATGGCAATAAGCAGATGTGTCTCTCCAACCCATATGGGTATATCACATGCCACCCCATTCAATACAAAACGTTCTTACTCCATCAGTCTCCTCAACTGACTGCTTTTGGGGATTTTCACCACCGATCAAGAAGCCCTTCTTGACACCGGTCCCTAACCTACCACCGCCGACGATGTCCAGCAAGCGTATCTCTTCGTTCCATCCATAACCGGTGGCTATGAAGTGACTATGAAAGCGGAGAGGATCTCCTGGGTACACAGTATAATCGCATCCGAAGCGGAGGCCAGGTGTCATGAAGTAGTCACGAGAGTGCAAGTGCGCAAACAAAGGATAAGATGAAGGAACGGAAGGATCTAAACTTGATGGAAAGTTTTGAGATGAAGAGGATGAATGATATGAAACGGTTGGTGTGATTCCCCAAAGTTTTGTGGATGGAGATGCCGCAGAGGATGCTCTAGAGGCAGGACGTTCATCATCAAACAAAGAATCTGGTTCATTGGAAATGGAATCTTTAGACTCATTACTCTTTCGGGGGGTACCCGGTAATGATTCACTCCCACCTTTCAGAGCTTTTTTTGCTAGGGCATTTTCAGTCCGCTTTCTAGCCTCAGTATCTGCAGCTCTCTTTGCCTTCAATGCCTCCGTTCTGAGAGATTCCAAGTATTTTTTTCTGTCTGATCCCTCTATCGAAGGGAAATGTTGCTTATGCCAGGGAGTATCCTCAACAATATATGCAATTTTTTTATTGACGAGGACTTTGGCCTCCTCTGGTAGTAACTCGACGGGTAGGCCAAGGAATAAGTTCTGTTGTGGAATCTGCGGGATGGTACCAGTCAAAACACCGCAGATATGGTAAGTCCTGCGAAGGTGAGTCACGACATCTATGTCGAATAGCAAATATCGGCCAGCAATGAATGATATGGCAATAGGCTCTGATAAGGCTGATGGAGACATCTTAAAATTTGGATCTAAGCTAAAATTTACTTTGCAATGTTAGCAGTGATTCTGATGACAACTGACAGAATGTGCAATGATAAAAATTGAGGCTCGATGAATCATGAATTAAAACATATTTTAAGACATCATGTCCAGATAAATCTGGTTGTCAGGGGATTGACAGATCGGTTTTGTAATCATATCGAAGGGGAATTAAGATAAAGTAATTGCCTAAATGTTTACTTACCAAAGGATGAATTATCATTGGAGGTTCAATTGAAAGTTGTCGAATGTTGAAAAGTTGTTGAAGCTTGAAAGGTTTAAAAATTAAAAATATTTTTCTTCGTGCGAAAGAAGATAAAAGAGCTTCTCACTAGCTCAGGCGCTAGCTTAGGTAATCGAGCTAAGCTTTAATGGTGATAGATCGAGCCTGAAAAGGGCCCATGCATCGAATATTCGAAATGAATAATGGAAACATCTGCAGAATCTCGATCCTTGTTTCGAACTCCTTTAATTCTTATCTAATATCTTGATGTCGGTTTTTCATCATTGTGTACATGTGTTTAGAGTTACTCCATCTTCAAATCTATATCAACATCTTGAAACCTTTTGCAATATGCCTAACATGGACAGTAGGGCCCAGGTAGAGAGGAGTAGCAGTGTGAGCAAACTCTCCGATATGTTGCTGGAGCAGCCACAGGCATTTTCCGCAGAGATGTGAACAAGCTCAACATTCGCGTCTAATCGCTTAATAAGTAACAGTATGATGTCTCAAACTTCAAGATATTCTATCAATAGGTACCACATACCACCGCTAACTAGGTAGGTACCAGTTCATACTCCATGGAACAGAGTGAATATTAATGCCCTTTTTGGTTGTGCCTCTTTGGTTGTTCTAAGGAAAGCCCTTTGCTGATATTCTCCTGCCCCTCACACAATGAGGACTTGGAAAAGATCCCTTTTTCAATTGAAAGTTGGAATGATTTACAAATTAAAAGATTGTTTTATACCCCATAGTATTATAGAATTTACTACCCATTTAATTGATTGGTATTATGTTCAACTCCCAAGTCCAATTGCGTCGTATTAAAGCCCTTGTAACTTCTAAGGTAATTATTAGGCATGGTTGAGGATCTTTTTTTGGTTTGAGCAAGCCCATCCAAGGAACACGAATCCACTCGGTAATTTCCCCTGCTCATACTGTTTGTACTCGTCCTTTGAATTAAACTATTCCCAATACCCATTTCTATAACTCTCAATTCTCGACAATCGACGTCAAAATTTGACATTCAGCCATCTGGGTTCAGTGTAACTCTCTTGAATGTTACCCTCTTATGCATTTGTATCCTCACCCAAGATGATGCCCAGGCATCAAGCAACCGCATATTCTAATGGATATCCTCGTAAGAGCGATCCATATTCTAAGAGCGACACATATTCCATATCACCACATAGGTTCGTGCGAATTGAATTGATCATTGAACTTGGCGCGACAATTACGTTTGATGTAATTTACTGACATACCTTGTTTCCAATGTAGATTTCAACCAAGGACGTCACCCCCAGCGCTGCGCCGTCGAAGGCAGCTCCTCGTTCGTTTGACTCTTGTCTTGGTATTCGCATTAGTAGTAGGACTATTTATATGGCCCGGTGCCGCTGTCCTTCCAGTATTGTCTTTTGGCCTCATCTCTTCCGGGGACGACTTTCAACTCGAAACTGTTCGATATTACGATCTCTCGAATGTACAAGGGACTGCTAGAGGCTGGGAAAGAGAGGAGCGAATCTTACTTTGCGCCCCCCTCCGAGATGCTGAACCCCATCTACCAATGTTTTTCGGCCATCTTCGTAACTTCACATACCCACATCATCTTATAGATCTCGCATTTTTAGTTTCCGATTCCAAAGACAATACCCTTTCTCTACTCTCTCAACTTTTGGAGCAATTACAAGCCGACCAGGACCCTAAACAACCATATGGCGAAATATCTATCATCGAAAAGGATTTTGGTCAAAAGGTCAACCAGGATGTGGAAAGTCGTCATGGTTTTGCTGCCCAAGCAAGCCGTAGAAAATTGATGGCACAAGCTAGAAATTGGCTATTAAGTGCTGCATTACGTCCTTATCACAGCTGGGTTTACTGGAGAGATGTTGATGTCGAAACCGCACCGTTCACAATTCTAGAAGATCTTATGCGCCACAATAAGGATGTCATTGTACCTAGTGAGTGAAGGAGAACAGTTTCTATCACTACATGCTAATAACTTTCAGATGTTTGGCGACCATTGCCAGATTGGCTTGGAGGGGAGCAACCTTATGATTTGAACTCATGGCAAGAGTCGGAGACAGCCTTGGCTTTAGCTGATACTCTTGATGAGGATGCAGTTATTGTCGAGGGATATGCGGAATATGCGACATGGCGCCCTCATTTAGCATACTTGAGAGATCCATACGGTGACCCTGACATGGAAATGGATATTGATGGTGTTGGGGGTGTCAGTATTTTAGCCAAGGCCAAAGTTTTCAGATCTGGTGTCCATTTCCCTGCGTTTAGTTTTGAAAAGCATGCCGAGACTGAAGGATTTGGAAAGGTTCGAAATCCTTTGACTGTTCCGTTTTGCAGATGCTAACTCAAGGAATAGATGGCAAAGCGAATGAAATTTTCAGTTGTTGGTTTACCTCATTATACCATTTGGCATTTGTATGAGCCAAGTGTTGATGATATTCGTCACATGGAGGTAAGTGAAGTCATATTTGGCTTTTAATAACCACTAATAATTTTCAGGAAATGGAACAAGAGCGTATTGCTCGCGAGAACGAAGAAAAGGAGAAAGCTGAACGTACGAAGAAGATGAAGGATCAGTTTGATGACCCAAGTCCACAATGGGAGAAGGATAAGAACGTTATCGCAGATGAGGCTTTGAGAGAGAAGAAGGAGAAGGAAAATGCTGAAGCTCAAGCCAAAGAAGACAACGGTGCTGAAAAGGCTTCTGGTTCAAAGGCCGAAGAAAACAAGCCAAAGGACAAGGTAAGGGTGCGATATAACCCGAATATCAATATGGTTACTGACTGACTTAGGTACAATAAGGGATTGATTGAGAGGCGTAACAAGGAAACTTGGGTAATTGAGTGACACACATAGGTTCTTGACTGCGCCAGTGTTGATGAGGCTACGAGGATATTCATAAAAATTTCACAGCTTGACAAATTATTTCTATCTCATCAATTGAGAGAGAAAACAGCTTTCTCAAGCCTAGGACGTAAATATGGAAATGGCCTTGCAGCACTTTAGTGTTAGGGGTGCAGTGTAATCTAGGTTGGAGTTCTTGTAAAAACACAAACAGCAGTACTATAGAATTAAATGATTGATTGGACAAACCATAATGCTGAGATTATTGTATTACTTCCTATTAGATTTTGCTATGAAGCTTTATTCAAAATTTTGGTCAATTGTTTCATCTGTCATATCAAAGAACACAGTTTGCTACCTAGGTATCCGTAGTTCTCGACATCTGTGCTCTTCGAATTTATATAGCCTGCCATGGCACCGTACACTAGTAAGGTATTCATATTGAATCTAGTTAATGTATTTGTATTTATTTAATATCTACAAATAGTCCTATTGTTTTTGGCGACTGGAATCTCTTCAAAGCGGATATTTCATATCGCTTAGAATTTACGGCAGTGGTGTGTGGTTCATCTTCGCAGATAGTCCTTATGCTGTGCTCAGTGGGCAGTCGATATACAACATGAGCAATAATGCCCCAGCACAAGATATAGCGTCGGCTACCTTTCCCATACGTCGCTCAACATCCTCCTCAGCTTTGCGCCAAAGCATTGATAGCTTCTCCTCCAAAAAACTTAATGGCAATATGTCCTCGAACACGAGTACGGTTTCTGTAGCTGTCGACCCTGTGGCCCTCATCACTACAGAATGTATTACCGTTACTTCTGCTATGCGAAAGCATGCCCGTTGGGCGCATTCATCTGTTTCCTCTATATTGGGCGGTAGCTCAAGTCCGTTAAGCTCAGGGTTTCAAACTTCAAGACCTTCCACACCACGAGATGAAATTGGATCTCGCAGAGTACCAAAGGGTTCGGCAGCTTCAGAGGGAAATGATGATGCTGGTTTGGCAAACAGATGGGGCTTAAGGGGAAAGAAAGGGAAGAGCATGCAAGATAATCCTCTGATGGCTGGATTTGGGCGCCTTAGACGGGAATTGACTGGATGCAAAGGTAGGCCAACATAAATCACTTACGGGCTAGGCACAACTGATCTTATATTTCTTCTACCATTAGATATACACACATTCGATACCCCATCTTTACTTCATCCTTTCCTCCAAGTCATTGAAGCTCCAGCAACCACTGCGCCGATCACATCTTTGGCCCTAGTTGCCATCACAAAGTTCTTCTCGTACAATTTAATTAGTCCAAGCTCCCCTCGACTTTCGCAAGCAATGCAGTCTTTATCTGCCGCAATGACACACTGTCGATTCGAAGCTAGCGATACAGTGGCTGATGAGGTGGTTTTCCTACGGATATTAAAACTCATGGAAGGAATGTTATCTGGCCCCGGTGGAGATTTACTAAGTGACGGGAGTGTTTGCGAAATGATGGAGACGGGCTTAAGCATGTGTTGTCAACCGAAGCTATCGGAATTAGTGCGTCGATCTGCCGAAATGTCTATGGTCAAGATGTGTCAGATCATATTCGAGAGACTGAAGCATTTAGAAATTGAGGCTGGGGATAATCTGGGAGCTTTAGACGAGAAGACAAAGGGAGATATGGACACTGTTAAAATGGCCCCTTCAGCAGCTGGTACAGATGCTATCACGAAATTGACCGCACCTGCTGTTGAACCACGGCCATCTACGTCAAGCTTTGACACATCACGCCCAGCATCTGTTATGGAAAAGCTACCTCTGATAGAAACTACATCCGAGGGAGGGACTGCGGCTCCGGCTTCAGAAGCTTCAGATGACTCCCCAAGCAAGCCCTATTCTCTTCCGTCTATATGTGAGCTATTTCGGGCTTTGATAGACTTACTAGATCCTCATGATCGCAAACACGCCGATGCTCTCAGAGTTATGGCTCTTCGTATAATAAATGTAGCTCTTGAGGTAGCTGGTCCCTCCATTTCGAAGCATCCAGCCTTAGCGATTCTTGCGGAAGATCGTCTATGTCGATATCTATTCCAATTAGTTCGATCCGACAACATGGCTATCTTACAGGAGTCTCTCATTGTTGCTGGTACTCTCCTCGCGACTTGTAGAGAAGTATTGAAGTTGCAGCAAGAGCTCTTTCTTTCTTATCTGGTTGCATGCTTGCATCCTCGTGTAGAGATTCCTCGAGAAAAAGGAATCGATCCCTCTCTTTATGCAGGGGTACCACAAGCTCCAAAATTGGTGAAACCTCCACCATCACAAGCTAGCAGTGGCCGTTCCACTCCCGTGCCTGTAAAAGATCGCCGAACATTAGGATTAGAAGGTGGATCGCGCAAGCCGGATGCACGTGAAGCAATGGTGGAAAGTGTTGGAGCTCTTGCGCGACTACCGAGCTATATGGTTGAGCTTTATGTTAATTATGATTGCGAGGTCGACCGAAGTGATATCTGTGAGGATATGGTTGGACTCCTGTCTCGTAATGCGATACCGGACTCGGCGACTTGGAGCACGACAAGTGTCCCACCGCTCTGTCTCGATGCTCTTTTAGGTTACGTTCAGTTCATTGCGGATAGACTTAATGATGAGCCAAAACGTGATGGCGTTCCTGATCAAGTAACACTGCGTGAGCAGAAGCGACGAAAGAAGATCATCATTCAAGGAACTATGAAGTTCAATGAGAATCCAAAAGCTGGGATTGCATTTTTGGCATCACAAGGTATCATAGATGATCCTAAAGATGCAAAGGCCGTCGCAAAATTCCTAAAGGGCACTTCTCGGATCGACAAAAAGCAATTAGGAGAATTCATATCAAAGAGGGGAAATGAAGCCATTTTGGAGGCTTTAATGGACTCGTTTGATTTTAAGAACAAAAGAGTCGATGAGGCGTTACGTGAACTCCTTGAGACCTTCAGATTACCGGGAGAGTCCGCTTTAATTGAACGAATTGTCACTACTTTTGCCGAGAACTATTGTTCAGGTACTTTACCTGAAGGCATCGCAGATAAAGATTCTGTATATGTTTTGACCTATGCTATTATCATGTTGAATACGGATCAGCATAATCCGAACATGAAGGGTAAACGCATGGAGCTCGAAAACTTTGCAAGAAATTTACGCGGAGTCAATGGTGGGAAGGACTTTGCTCCACAATATCTTCAAGACATTTACGAATCTATCAAATCGAACGAAATCATCTTGCCTGACGAGCATGATAACAAGCATGCTTTTGACTATGCTTGGAAGGAATTACTACTTAAAAGCGCTTCCGCAGGTGACCTTACCATTTGCGACACTAACATTTTCGACGCAGACATGTTCGCAGCTACATGGAAACCTGTAGTTGCCACATTATCATATGTCTTTATGTCAGCTAGTGACGATGCCGTGTTTGAAAGAGTTATTACGGGATTCGATCAATGTGTTCGTATCGCAGCGAAATATGGTCTAACTGAGGTTATCGACCAAGTCGTTTATTGTTTGAGTTACATCACTACTCTTGCAACAGAAGTTCCATCCAGTACTGCACTCAATACTGAGATACAGGTTGGGGATAATAGTGTCATGGTTAGTGAACTTGCGGTTAAGTTTGGTAGAGATGTCAAGGCTCAACTCGCTACTGTTGTTCTTTTCCGCGTTGTGTTAGGTAGTGAAAACGTGATAGGGGAAAGTTGGAAGCATGTAAGTTGATCAATAATTAAACAATGTCTGATTTTAACTAATCATATATACAGATTTCTAGGATTTGGTTGAATTTATTTGTTAATTCTTTGATACCCCCTTTCTTTGCTACATCAAATAGCATGGATATCGCCCCGATCCCATTACAAACTCCCTCACAAGTTATTGATCGTGGGACAAAACCTAGCGACACTGGTCTATTCTCCGCTTTTACATCATACATCTCTAGCTATGCTGCGGATGATCCTCCAGAGCCATCAGACGAAGAGCTCGAAAGTACCTTATGCACAGTCGATTGTGTCAATGCTTGCTTCATGGGCGACGTCTTTGCCAATGTAGTGTAAGTTTTTCTATTATTCGTTTTTGACCTCATTACTGACGTGGTTAGGAACATGCCTGTTGATTCCTTACGACCTCTAATACAGGCATTAATATCTCAATTGCCAGATGACCCTTCATCGGTCGTTATAAGTGTGAAATCAGAAGTAGATCCCCCGTCAAGTCCTATAAACGGCATTAATGGTGCATCTTCCGGTCCTGTGTATGATCCTTCAATGGTTTATATATTAGAGTTATGCACTGTACTCGCAATTCGAGACAAGGAAACTATCGATGCATTTGGAGCAGATGTTGCTGAGGCTTTGCAAAATGTCATAAGGAATTCTGCTAGCTGGCATACTTTGATGGTATCTAGAACGATATTCTACCTACTTCACCTTCTACACGCAAGCTATGTTAGTACATCCCATTTAATTCGATCGACGAATTCTAACATGTCTAGGAACAACCATATATCCGTGTCCCCGTGGTACTTCACGCCATCTCAAGTTTCAAAAAGGATTTATTCGAAAAATCTGCTACACTTGTCCTTCAAGGTTTAACTCAATGCATAAAAGAGCCCGGTCCTTTACGAAATGAAATCATGACTTCTCCTGATTTCTGGGTAATTCTAAAAAATCTCGCAACCAGTCCTTCTTCCGCATCTGCTGTGTTTGAAATACTCGAAGGAGTTGCTATTGGTTCACCTCCAACAATAATGGCCGATAATTATGAATCAGCTGTGAAGTTACTCAACGATTTTGCTACCGCTGGGAGTGTAGGTTCTACTGTGGAGCAAAAACAGGATAAACGTATACGAAGAGGACAACAAGTCAAACAGCCAAAGCCACCGGTGGTTGATGCGCTTGTGGCTAGAGGAGTCAAGGCAGTTGCAATGATATTTTCTTTGACATCTCGAATCCCAGTTTTGATGGAACAATCACATCTTGAGAGCAAAAAGGGTCTGTCTATATTCATTTATCAAAGTAATCTCCAATACTAACTTACTTCAGCTTGGGCAGCTTATTGGTCACCAATATTCATTGCTCTGACGACACAATGTACCAACCCTTGTCGTGAAATTCGTCATGAAGCATTCTCCTCACTACAACGTTCCTTACTATCACCAGAATTAACATCAGGCGATCATGAAGAATGGACCGCTATATTCGATGAGGTTCTTTTTCCTCTAATAACTCGATTATTAAAGCCTGAAGTCTACTCATCGGATCCTATCGGTATGAGTGAAACTCGTGTACAAGCTGCTACACTTCTTTGTAGGATTTTCCTACACTATTTGGTTCTGTTATCGAAATGGGACGGCATGTTAGATCTTTGGCTTAAGATCCTAGATATCATGGATCGTTTGATGAATAGTGGGCAGGGTGATAGTTTGGTATGTTAATGCAAATTATGAACAAATGCTTTTGGAATCTATTACTAACAAATGAAATAGGAAGAAGCAGTACCAGAAAGTTTGAAGAATGTTCTGTTGGTAATGTCCAGTAGTGGGTATTTAGTACCTCGCAGTCAAGACGAGACTCAAGAGAAATTATGGACGGAAACATGGAAGAGAATTGATAGATTTTTGCCGGATTTGAGAAAGGAAATTGATTTGGACGGGCCAGTTGAGGAAAATGTAAAGGGGAAGGAAAATGAAGAGTTGTCGACGAATGTTAAAAGTGACGCTGAAGCAGGAGTTGAACAGGGTAAAACCGAGGTTAAAGTTTAATTGTAGGCAAGAAAAGGGGGAGATGGAGGATTGTATTATTATCAAGCTGTTGGAGCTGTGTTTAGGTTATACAAAATACAGCCGGAGGCAGGGAGTTTGGATCAATTTGTCGATGTGAGGGGTGGGGTTCTTTGGCCAAAAAAAAACTACCTCTGCTACGTGAGGCGAATTAAAAATGGGATGAGATTCGGAATGAGGAATGCGAGGCAGAAGGAATCAATGGAGGATGGAGGATTTACATGCACATTTCGGTATATGTGATGTGTAATTTGGTGGTTCTATGAGAAGTGAGGGTTGGAGAGGAGAGATGAGAAAATGAGAGATTTATAGGAGATTGCGAGGACGGGGATAGATGAATTGAGATGAGTTGTTGGTACACTCTTTGTATAGCGAGATAGATAAGGAGTTGAGGGTTTATATTAAAGATTAATAGATGCAGTGTTCTAAGTAAGCCGTGCTGTATGGGTATGTGTATGATCTAGTTCTGCTTTAAGTGTCGGAGTGGTGTACTAGCAGACTAGTAGAGTAGTGGGATCTTATTAATGTAGGTTTGAGGATATATGTGGTATGGTATGGTGTTAGTTGCATTTATTTCGGGGAAGTTATCTTGATGTCAAAAAAGGGGGGCCGGGGTCGGTTAAGCTTCGTGTCAATGACGACAATCTACGTTTGTCTTTAGCCTAAGATATGAGTTTGAGTGACCTTCCATTCCTAGATAATCTGATTTAGTAATAATTAGATCCAGATCCAATGATAGATTGCAGGAACTGGGTCGCCATGTCATAAAATTCAAGCTGTGATGCTAACAGCATTGTGCCTTTCCTTCACTGTCCTCCTGGAATTTATTGATGTAATGTAAAAACGTCAAGGTAGTGTAAGTATAGGCAAGAATAGTAGTGATTCAAGGAGATTGGATCTCTAGGAGATCAACGATTCCTTGGTTCAAACCCGGTTTTTTCCAGAAAATTCCAACCATATATCAAGTTTGTTCAAACTCTAAAGAGGTCCATCACCTTCAGCAAGCGCATAGTGCATTTGGGTCTAAACCAGTAGCTACTACGTGTTCTAGTTTAAACAAGCTTTCTCAAAATGAAAAAGAAAAAGCTTTTGTTGCATATCTACACAGGGATATCCCCAAAAACTTGATAATTTAGCTGAATCTAGCAAAGTGGTAACTTATTAGCACGATGTCTAGCAAGATGGCCCAAAGAAGTAAAGACAAGGCCGCTGGATCGGATTCGTGCTTTTTTCTTTCTGTTGCATATCTACACGGGGTGTGATCTAGTTCAGAATTATACCGTATATAGTAAGTAGCATGATGCCCCAACTAAGGAAGCTATCAAGCTCAAGCAAACTAATCTCTCCACATCGCGCCAATTAGTACAACTAATTGTACAAGCGCACTATGCTGTCAATAATCCTAGTTGTGTTGCATATCTGCACTGGGATATTTTGAAACTAGTGATATAGTATAACGGTAGTCTACGATATGATCGATAAACGGCAGTTTTAGCGACCTCTTCATGACTTCTAATTAGTTCTTATGGATGAACATATAATCCATGATTAGTTCTTGTGAATAAAGATATAATCCATGATTAGTTCAGTTATCGGAGACTGAATTGGATCTTTATAAGTTCCTACAATAGTTGTAGGCTAAAAATCTAGTAAACTATTAGTCTTGGTGTCCCGAGCTAAATTGACACCATTCACACACTATTCCTCATCATACGCATTAAGTCTTTCTATTACTAATTCTATGAGGTTTTGTTGCATCTCTGTTCAATTATTTTCTCATTTTTTATCTTACTACTATTTACATACTTCTCTAGCTAGATTCAGGAAGGTGAAGGATGGAAGTCGGGTAGTTGATGATGTTAGAGGATTTAGATATATCCAAACATGTGAAGCTTACTACAGAACTCCCACCAATCACATGATCTTATTGAGAGGATGAGAAATATGTTGCCTATCTGTACTAGGATATAGATTTTAGAGTCTTTTCCGGTAATTTCAGGTTCGTTAGTGAAGTCAGGGAGGGTATTTAGCGTGGGAGGAATCTTCACCCTTATCAAACCGATGCGTGCTTTCTTTCGATGTTTAGTTATATATATACGAAGGGACTAAGTGGAAATTATATTTTTTTAAATCTTCAACTTGAGGAATGCCTGTTAGACCCAGCTTGATGATCCATGAATCATGTATGTTTAAATGGTGATCTGTGGGTAGTTCCTATTTGACTGAATGATACTACTTAAGTTTGACGAGGGATTAATGTTGGCTACTTGAGAAGGTGAATACTCTACCGCCTCTATCATCTCCTAATATTGTCGGAAGCTATCTAGTTCAACCATGTCGAATGCATATACGCCGCAACCGTCTAAACATCCAGCTACGTTCCATGAAGATCCCCTGACAATTTCAGTCATTTTATGATTCTTAACACGCGCTTTCTTGACATATTTGACCCATAGCACGCTCATCAATGTAGAGGAAGTTAAAGTTCATGAGAAATATCCTAAAATGGGGCATATGTTACAAGTCTTTCAATATGCAGATGTATCAGTAGCTAAGCATGTACTTAGAGGTACCAGGCCCACGATTTGCCGTGGTTGGATGTAAGTTTCCGAAAGGTTTGATTTAGTAAATATCTGAAATGGAGGAATCTGAACTCTATGTTCTACTCTAAGCCCTATATTACAGACATGTAGAACACTGAGATCTCGCCCTTATTGGCTAAGCCAGTAGATGCATGGCTATGTTTAACTTCCTTTCAGCCTTATGCTAACCCTTACAGGCGAATTCATATTATAAATACGTATGGAATGAATAGATGTGCTTTCATATCTTGGCCAGTGTTTCCCTTAATAAGTCCTAACTCCAAAAGCCAACAGATTTCGAGTCTTAAGATAATTCAGACGCGGTTGGACTTTTGTTGCATTTAAAAAGCAGGCACAATAAGTGCACAAATGTTGGTGGGAAGGTTAGTAAGATTCTTGGAATAATAAATGCAATATTTGTTGCGAGATGGAGAGCAGGAGTCATTTTACTTCAGGATTTGCACCGCTGTCTTCGGAAATATAATTTCAAAAGGCATGAGCTGAGCTACTTCCAGCAAAGAAACCTTGGGAATTGTCACTTCACAGTAAATAAAAAAGGAGCTCTTCTAAAAGGATAAGTTGGCTTACAGAAGCACATTTTTTGTTGAAGGTGTGCAGCAATACAACCTCAGGAGGGAAATGCTAGCGAGCTCTGCTGAATATCTGTTATTTGACCAATCCGAGTGTAGCTCATAAAGAAAAGAATTTTTGTTGCATATCTCAACTTTGAGAGATTATGCCATCCCATGGGATGGGATTACCGGTTACAAAGTCACCATCTCATGGCAGCTTTCTTCTCATCTCATCTGATCTCTGTGAATTTGCCCAAGTCTTGGTTGGATTCAGCCCGATAGGCATACCGTTGTGCCATACTCTGGCTCCATACCACTTCCTGGCAACAATATGGCTGAAATTCCAATGAAACCTTCAATCCTTCAATCTCACGGTTCTATGCCACGCAACCTTGCAATGGCAGAGGAACAACGTTCAAGACCAGACCATACCATACCTAGCGAAAACAATCTGGAATGTACGATTGGAGCTAGGGTAGCCACAATGCTCTGGTTCTGTACAGTAACTACAGTATAGACATGTTCAGTAGCGAGGAATTGAAGCTTGCAATTGTTTCTCTCGCTACCCCTCGGGAACGGATGGATAGTGCAGTGGGAGAATTAGTACACCTAGAATGGACAAGTGCGACACTAATTCTCTCATGGGGGAATTAGTACACCCGAAGATGGACAAGCGGGAGAATTAGTACGCATGGGAGAATTAGTCACCCCAAAAGTAGACAAATGGGAAGAATTAGTACGACGAGAAAATTAGTCACCCCAAAAATGGACAAGTGGGGATAATTAGTACGCATGGGAGAATTAGTACACCCGAAAACGTACAAGTGGAGAAAATTAGTGCGACACTAAAACGCGCAATGGATGACAGTAGATAATATTCTCGAAAATTACTACGTAGACTCACTCTACTGTAATAAATCATCTTCATCTTATTCCTTCACCAATCATACCGTGGGCAAAAGTTTGTAGATATGCACAGAGTTTTCTGAAGAGGGAAATTCACTATAAGATACTCACGTCTGGTGTGTAAAATAACTGCAATAATGTTTTGTAATTGGAAAGTTTTGTTACACGTCTGAATTTTGTAATGGAATTGTTACTTGAGCAATTGTGGTCTTGCTATCAACCAGCTGCCGCCGTGTCTTGGTTTCGAGGCCAATTTGTGGTGCTCTGCCATACTTTCGCAGTATTACCCTCATCATTTTGAGGATATGCCAGAGCTTTATATTGCTCGAGATATATTCTATTTCCCATCCTGCTATACTCCAATGGGTGAGACAGCAATGCCACTGTTTGGTAGGCATATCCTAATATGAAAGCAATACTTCCTTCTCACCATCACTTGGTGACCAACAGCCCTAATCTAGCTATGAAATCATGTTAGGAATTATTAAGAAAGCGGTTACTTTGGCCACATCACAATACATCAAATCAAAGAAACCAAATGTGTATATGCAGCAAAAATCTTCCCCTATTCCAACCCTATTGATCCAACTGAACCTATACTGAACCTCACTGATATCCACTCCCTAAGTTGTGAGAAATTGTCAGAAATATACTTAAGCATCGAAAGCGAATAAGAAAACATGAGTTGGGATGGTAGATATGCAGCCAGCATCCTTCTTGAGGCTAGGGTAGGTGGTATTCGATTGTATATTCACTTATTGGATCCCTCAGCGCTGTGACATCAAGCTCTATTAACTCCAGGAGAGCTACAGGACTAGTAAACGCAAGGGACACAATATGGTAAACCTCAACTGGAAATATATAGACAAGAACTATCATCAAGCATTCCTAACACCCTCTATCCATCTTCCCTCCCGTCCCTCGCCGCGAAACTCCATTCGTGTACCATACCAGACCAACGAACACAAAAACCAGCCGAAGAAACAGATCTTTTCTAGAATATACAGGTCAGAAAACATATACCACCAACATATACATATAAACACCACCATCCTCATCCGTCATCCTCATCCTTTACTTACACAATACAGCCCCCCATCCATTATCCAAGATGCACCGGACTAACAAGCTCTTCCCAAACTCTCACCAAACTTTCCCACACAAACCCAAGAACAGAAATAAGAAGGCAAACAAACCCCATCCCTAACCGAACGACCCCCATAATACATCCCATCTACATCTACATTTACATCTACATCCCAAACCACAAAACCATTCAATCCCCACAGAAAAGATAGATTCATCAGAAACTAGAAATGTAATGCACTGCAATACACTTCAATACAGTCGTCAATCAGTCACTTGACCACAAACCACCCACCCAGTAACCAACCTATCTGTTAAAGAAGGGTTACCTTGACATAAAATACAAGAAACAGGATAAATTAGCTTTCAAGAGTCAAAAGGTTGATATTGATATTATTGTAGATCTGTGTGATCTCTTCCAACTAAATTATCATCCAAGGAAATTCTCATGAGCAAGGTATTGATTATAAGTGGAAGTGAAAGAAAGCAAACATGAAGAAATTGATGCAGAAGTCGACAAGTGCAGAATTTAGTTGTATGGTAGATTTTAATTTTGAATCATTGAAAATCCAGACTGATTGGTAAATAACCAACGAGAACAAAACATGAAATATGATGGATAAAGTGAAATTGGGCTGTAGATGAAGTTATCCGTATTTTTCATGTATTAGTATATAACTGTATACTAAATCTGAATTGCTCTCTTCAGACTTAAAATCCATACCACATATTCGCTCTAATCGCGTCGCCATGCCATATACGTATGATACGTATTTCCAATCTATATGCCTTAACGCCTTGCAAATGCATCGTCTAGTCCATGATTTCTTGATAGCTTGTATATCCATCCATAATGTGTCTCCAATATGCGACCATTTTCAGTATCCGAACAAATCACTTGCCCTCCTCATACCATGCGAACAAACCCAATGCGATCTATAATTGCGAATTCGTACCACCTACTCCAAACGATTCATCAATCCTTCTCTAACCTTTCTATTGACAACTCCTCCAACACCGAATGCAGGTACAATCCTACATATCCTAGCCGCAGCACTTACTCCCCAATTCTTCTTCACGATACTCCATCTGTCCGCCCAACTAACACCTTGCCCTCTATTATATAAATCTAAGCCTAATAAATGCATAGGCGTACTTATAAGCTGCACAGAAGCCGGTGCCAAAAATTGTGAAATAGTTTGTCCACTTATCGATTTTTGTAATTCTTCGGATAGACTCTTGTTGATAACTGGACCAAGCATTGGTGGTATATTGAATGAAGCAAAAATTGTGAGACAATCGCGAGCGGTAAAAAGTATATATGAGGGAAAAGGTACAGGTCTTGGTGGACCAGAGGGACCAAACAAGCGGGCGAATGTTTGATCTTTGAAAAGACACAATCCAATATTTGCAGTCGAACTTGCAACGAATTTCGAAGTTCCAGATGTAACTGTGGATGCGGGCTTATTGTGTATAGTAGATGTAACAGTATCGAGGGTATTCGCTGTCAAGTATGTGCCTCCATATAACATACAAATCAAGGCGAAAGGTTTCGAGAAGAGTAGATGGTGAGGTCGGAGAACTAAGTTCTTGAGGGATGATCGCAATGAGTCTTTGAGTGTAGCTTGACCTGAAGCATTTTGCATGATACCTCTATTACAACATTAGCATTTGGCGCAAGAGTCAGAGAATTGATACCTACTTATCAATGATAGTGATAATTGGCGCAACCATAGTTGCAGCGGCAACACCAGATACGAAGTCCACACCCAATCTATACGACAAGTTCTTTGTATTCCATTCTTGAGGTTCTGCTATAGGTTCTGCGAGTTGAGGACTTCTAGTCACAGTCTTTGGATTATCAATTTTCAAAGGGGATTTTGGTGACTCCATTTTTTCTGAGCTTTCGGATTTCACAAAGAAAATAATAACATGAACAATTAATCAATGTCTTTATAAACGAAAGAATGAGAAGTAGAGAGATAGAGAAGTCAATTGGAATTTTATAATTATGTATAAGAAGCAAACAATTGCTTAGAAGAGACTTATGTGATATAGGATTCTAGTGAACAAAAAATGTATCTCCGCACATTGAAAGTTTCTTGAGCGAAGGCCGAAATCGCAATGAATGAAAAAGCAATTGAAAATAAGCTTATCGGTGAAAGCTTTCACAGCGGTAACCTTAATGATAAGAACCCGAAGCTAACCGCTTTTATTTGTGCAATATGAATTTTGAAGACATCAAATTGAAGGTTTTCCTTTTATCTCCCACCTTACGTGTCGAGTTCGGAGGAAAAGAGAAGCAATACTACGAAGACACAACTCTACTAATATCATCAAGATGAAATCGATATCCTCAGTTTTCTCGTCCGAGCAGCACCAAAGTACTTGTTCTATCAAGCAACCAAAATGGGGCTTTAATTGATGTCGTCCGGGGCAAAGAAGCGGATCCGAAAGAAGTGGTAATCTCAGGGTCCATCCCACTGCTGCAACTATGCAACCAATCATGCAAACTAGATTAATACTCCCCTGTTTACTCGCTTAATGAGCAAATCGTCGTTGTTTCGAAATTTGACGCTCACGATGATGAGACCATACTCTAGTTGAAGCGCAAATATGGAACAGCAAGAATATGATGATTTGTCCGGGCAAGAAAAACAGGAAATGCATGGTTCCTTATTCGGAAACGAAAAACATGGCGTATATCATCTAAAATCTCAGCATGATGAAATGCCACGAATGATGCGATCTGAACATGGCCTGCGAAAGATATGGCTTAGAAGGTTACTAATCACTGGCTTGCTGACATTTTGGATTTATTGCTTCTTACCACAAGGTAAAAGTACATCTGATGAAGAGTCCGTACTTGGTGAGGATGGTTGGTCTTGGGAAATAGTAAGGATTTTGACGTTGGTAAGATTTGACAGAACTAATAGGACATCATCCTAGATCAAACCATCACCGGAATTGATCTGGCATCAATGCTTTAACGAGTTTGACTGTGCAAGATTAGAGGTAAGAATACAGCATGTATAGACTCATTCACCACGAGCTCATCATCAATTCTGAATATAGGTCCCATTAGATTGGCTAGAACCTACCAACACATCAAAAGTTGTTTTGGCCGTATTGAGAAGAAATGCAACGGCATCCGTGGATTATAAAGGACCTCTATTCATTAATCCAGGAGGACCGGGTGGATCCGGTGTAGGCACTGTGAAAGATCTTTGGAAGGCCATTCATGTGGCTGTTGGAGCTAACCACGTGAGTTATGTTCTCAGTGATATTAAGACTAAAATTAAGGTGTTAACGGTTGGAATAGGATCTTATCGGATTTGACCCTCGTGGAAGTAAGTTATAGCACCAATGTGATGTTGATATGCTGTATTGACTTGACAAAGTTGGCGCCACTACTCCTTCTGCTCATTGTTGGAATGGTCCACAAGAAGAAAGAATCTGGGGAATCCAAAGCCTCAGGCTCGTCGACTCACATCCAGGAATGATATATGATCTTTATGCACATCAGAGTGTCGAGTCTAAGAATTGTGAAGCCACAATTGGTGATTTATCACGGTTTTTGGGAACAGCTTCTGTAGCAAGGGATATGTTAGAGATACTGAATAAGCTCGGGTATGAAAAGTTGAGATATTGGGGTTTAAGCTATGGAACAGTGATCGGAGGAACTTTTGCGGCAATTTTTCCAGATAAGATTGAGCGATTAGTGAATGATGGTTTGTCTTCCAGGCTTTGGTCAACGAAAGTCTTGCTAAATTTCTTTCAGGAAACGTCAATTATTCAGAATGGTATAATGGAACGGGAATCCACTATATTGATGATACCGACAAAGTAATGCTCGCGTTCTTTGATCTTTGTCACAAGGCTGGTCCAGACAATTGTGCGTTCCATGATGCAACACCAGCAGCAATTCAAGAACGGCTTGAAGATATCTATACCAAGCTTCGAAAGTACCCACTACAAGTCTTCCCTACCACAAACAACACAATGGAGTTACAGTCTTTGGGGATTACCCGACCAAAAATCATCACATACTCAGAAGTGAAAAATGCAGTAATATACTCGCTATATCAACCCTTGCTCGTCTTTCCTCAATTATCCGAAGCATTGGCTGCACTCGAAGCCAATGATGGTATACCATTCTTAAAATTGGCAATAGCTCAAGGATATATATCGCCTAGTTTCAGCTGTAGTTACGACTCATCTTCATGCGAAGAGAAATCTAAATGGCCATTAGAAGCAGTTGGAAATGGCGACGCAGCAACGTATGTGAAATGTGGAGAAGGTAACTCTGATGTTGATAAAGATAGTTTGGAGGTTATGATAAAGTACGAGGAAGAATTGAGGAGGAAAAGTCCATTGTCCGCGTCGGTTATGTTCAATATTCGTCTATCATGTGCCGGGTGGAAGTCAAGGACGAAATGGAATTTTATTGGTAAGCATCAGGCGTTTTCTTTGACCAAACATGCTAATCAGATACATTGAAAAGGACCATTTGAGCAAAATACCAGTCATCCAATCTTATTTATCGGCAACTCAGCAGACAACATCACGCCTTTAGGAAGTGCAATTTATAACTCAAACCTTTTTCCCGGTTCTTCCGTTCTAATCCAGAATTCATATGGCGTAAGCTCTTGCCATCATCCTTTCAAGAATCTACAACTTACCAAATCATAGCATACTTCGGCATCCTGCCCATCAAAATGCACAGCCAAACATCGTCTCGCATATTTTCAAACCGGTATCCTACCATCAAATGGCACGGTGTGCGAACCTGATTTTATACCATTCGGTATTCCAGTCGAGGGAATGGATGCGCAAACCGAAGGAGATGATGAGTTAGACTGGGCATTAGAAGAACTGTTGAAGTTGTTGTGAATTTTATACGCTTCCTCCATGCTGTCTATCTACGTTGCAGCATGACGAGACCAAAATAACCCATTCCACTTCATCTCATAATAAAATCAACATCTATCACTATCGAATTTAGTCCGTTAATTATAAGCTAAAAAACCTCACTTCTATCACGTAAATACCTGACCCAAGTTTCCAAGTTTCCAAGTCCCAAATCTCCAACTCCAACTCCACCTCACTTCATTTCATTCCACCCTACAACCACAAAACTAACCACAAACTGAATAAATCACCCATGGAAAAGAATAATCTTCCACTAACCATCATAGCATATCCCAAAAACCTTTTGTTGCAAGGCTCCTCACCCCTGCCCTCGCAAAGCAATTACTAACCTCCTACATATCCTATCGCTATAGCTAGTGGCACACCTGGTTCAAATCGTAGCGCCGACATAGAAGCTAAGTAAGTTTATCTTGGTTAAAAACACCTTTAGAAGCTTTAAAATGCCAGAACATCTTTGAGAATATTCCTTGAAATCCTTATGAATACCTAGTAAACTTTGAGTGAGTGAGTAAAGAGGAGCGACTTAAAAGTGCTCTTGAAGAAATAATTGGTAAATAAGAGATGAGATTAGTCTTGTCATGCCATGTCATCAACTGTTTCTTCTTAGCAATACACTATGTCAGCTAGCACTAACGGCACCATAGACTATGAATGCTAAGCTTCACTTAGCAAAATCTCTAGGCTCTGATGTTGATAATAAGATCTAAGAATACTACTATCAGATGACGGGGGAAAGATGACCAGTCACACCCGCTTTTATTTTCATGAATCGAGAGCTAAGGTTGATAGTTCGTAAATCTTCATGTTTGGTTCAAATCGAAGATATATCTCCAGTTTTGGAACCCAGATCATTGGGTATAAAAGTGACCACCTATTTCTTTCTTAAGATCGTTTAGTCTCGAGATTTCAGGCATTCCATAAACGAACATGTCTGAACTCCATTAAAAATTGTTGCAAAGAGGAATCTGCCATTCTGCACTCGAAACCAATTGGAGTAGACTGTAATATTCGGCATGCTCTATCCTCAACCAACCTATAGGCCTTTGACACCTTCACCAATGCCGTCGATCCCGCCATCAATCAAGACCATGATCCCGTTCATCACAAAATATATTTTCCACTCACAATGTCCACCGACCTCTCCGTCAGCGCTATTACCCTTAGGGATTCAAAAATCATACACGCGAACCACATACCATCGCCACACCCCAACGGCTGTAGCAAAGGAACTCCCGGCTCAGTATATAGAGTGCACACAGTTAACATGGCAAAATCTAGGATGTGATCAACCACCAGGATATCGATAACCTCGTTATCTATGGAGATCCATCCCCAACTGGGCAGGACCTGCACCTCACTCATTTTCATGAACGAAGGCTCTTGCTCTTCATCTTCATACAGCAGGTGTCCCGAACAAACTATAAGACGATATGCCAGCCAAGGTAAATCTGTCTAAATGCGGTGAATTGACTTGCGATTATAAATAACCCCCTTTGCCACCATTATCATCTGTGCTATGTTCGGACACCATTTCTATATATTATCCATCTCATGTTAACATCACCATCACTTTCCACCTAGCCTATAACCCAATTTACCTCCATTTCTATTTCGAGTTACTACTGTTAATCTGGTCTCACGTCATGCCATTTCATATTAATCCATTCCCCTCACCGTACATTACACGAAAATAAAATATCATAATAACATAAACATATGAATTCCATAACTATGATCTAAAGCTACGCTCGACAGAAAATATTCTTGCGATCTACGCATACATAATTAGGGTATCGTGGATAACCACAAAGTACTACACTATCCACATATTCTTCAATCTTTCATCCTGCAAGCTATGCTGTGCTATGCCATGAACAAACATCATCAGATATCCATCCTCCAATAAAATCTACAATTCACAAAGGAAAATTCATCCACAGAGCTTCTCAATCTTATCCTTCTATCTCCCATCCTATAACAAATGAAATCTAACATCCTCATTTCCTTCACATTAAACTTGATATCTATCAAGCTGCTTCCGCCATAATCTGTTCACCCTCATCTAAAATCTCAGTAATCTTGCCCAGATTCTGAATCATACTGCGGCCTTGTCCCACCAACAACAATTTCTCAGCATTAGCCGGCAATCCCAAATAAGTAGGAGGTTCACGCTCGGGTAACTTCTTAACCCAATCTGTGAAATCTTTCATAGTGGTTCCGCTTGGCACAACCAAGTTTCCAGTTTCAGATTCATCACCTGCAACACCTTCGACCAATTTATGGCCGATATCATAGGCAGCAGGGGTCATGAAAGAGTTGACGAGTTTTGTAAGAAGGGAGAAATCTCCCTCATCATCAATTTTACCACCGTATGTCTCTACAATCAGTGTGCGAAGCATATCCCAAGGGAGATTTTGTGGAGCTACGTTCGATCGTCCCGCAGCAACTGTTTCCACCCAAGTGTCAATGATATACGCGGAACATTCATACTACGATTAGTTAGTATATTTTTCAAAAGATGAATATTTGGTAATACTTACATCACTGTCATTGAATTCCCAGAAACCTTTCCATCCAAGGCTAGGAGCGTATCGCAAACGTTCTTGTACAACAGCATGTAAGAATGATAAGAGAAGATACAATCTAATTCTCTCCACGGGAGTTTTAGTACCTCTGGTAGAGAGTGATGCCATCGAGTCCTTCATGTTAGCTCTTACACCAGCTGGTTGTTCGTACATCAACACTCTAGATGCCCGCAACAAATTGACAGGGATTTTAGGGCTTGATTCCATTGACAAAAACAACCTAAAGTTTGCATGAGGCTTAAGTGAATCCATACGTTTTTCTAGACTCTGTAGCCAGGTTGGTGCCAAATGAACATTCTTGACTAGAACCCAAGATCCGTTGGCTGCTGCATTACTAATAGCCTTATCAGCAGTGGCCAGACCTTCATTCGAACCCATGGCAATGTTGGTACACGCAGCTTGTGATCGTTCCACGAGATTTTCGACTTTGTAACTTGCATCGAAACCAGGACTTGAGCAGAGCGCAACAGGACGACTTGCGGATACTTGCTCGACAATTTGCTTTAGATCCTCAGTGACGTCAAGAAGACCTGAACCAAATACAGCAGTGACGAATCGTTCAGCGGCGGGAACGAATCGATCAAGACGGAAAAGCTTAATAAGTAACAAAGAAATAAGCTCTTGGTCTCTCTTTTCAACATTGTCATCCCAGACTTGGGGAACGAAGTTCTCTGCCAATTCTTCGGATAAGAAACGATCCCAAGACTCAGAAGAAACGCCCTCAAGTTTGCCCTTGAAAGCAGAAAGTTTGATTGCATGGCTCATGACTTCATCCTTCTTATCACCATCCGTAGATACATCGGTACCTACCACGGATTCATCCAGAATAACATCAATAAGACTCTTATCCATCTTGTAGGGAGCTGCTTGAGCGAGAAGCATTGCTAAGGTGATTTTATCTTTTTGTAGCAAACCGAGGGACGTACGCTGGTAGGCGGTGACGAACAAGTCTTCTACAATTATATCGCGACGTCTATCATGGTTTGTCTCTGACTCCAGTCGCTTATTACCCTTCAAAACAGAGTGGAAGATGTCGAGGAAGTATTGCAGAGAGAATTGATAGAAGTGATTGAGGTAGTGTAATTGTTCAAGAACGGCGAAAATAGCACTGCAAGAGCGTGCGATAATATTGTACTGAAGTGTGATCTCATCAACCTCAGCCATTACACCTTCAGTGTTACCCATCTTTACCGAAATCTCAGCTGCTTCCTTCTTCAAAGTTTCGAGAGTTTCAATGACGTTATCATCATCGAGAATATTGCCACGTGATTCGTTCAATGCTTGCAACAAGCGTTTCTCGAGCTGTCTAAGATGAACTTTGAATTCACCCTGTAATTTGATGAGATTTGAGCGCCTCTCATCCACATCAGGTCGCTCAGATTTGAGGACGTCATTAAGTGACTGTGTTTGTAAACTGCTTTGTGTGACAGTGAAATTGACAAACGTTGTCCGACTGCAAATATCCGGTGCGAATGTTGCAGATGGATCTCTAGTGGAAAGGTAGATCTTAAATGCGGGCGAAAAGTCAATTTCTTGCTTACCAAGCTGAATAAGAACACGTCCACCAGTCTTTTGATACTCTTTGTTAAGAACGTGGTTAAGGATTGGATCTAGGTATTCAGCATCTTGGATGAGAATAGGGTTTCCGAAACGAAGAGAACTTTCTAATTGCTTGGTAAACGAATCATCCAAGAAACTTGTGACAGTAAGTTTTCTGTCCTTGCTCTGCTTTTGTAAGAATTCTGTGGCACGACCAGAAGGATCAATAATCAATGGATATCTATTGAATCGTTTCAATATGATTGCGTTTTCGGTGCAAAGGTCGTCTACTGGCAGAGTATCTTGTTGCCATCCTAGTCGCTCATCGGCACTTGAGAGATATTCAGTGACTGGGTTGTGTTGTTTGTAACTGATTCCGGATAAATGGAGTTGATGTAACCAGTCCTCCATCATGTTCTTTCGATATTGCTGGTCATAGAGACCACTGTATGCAAGGAAAGCGGCTGCAACAAGGACATCACCGACAAGTGTGCTAATTTGCGTCTCGAATGACTTGCTACCCTCTTCCCAACGTGTTCGTTCAGATGAAAGACTGTCAAGTAGTCGAACACTACGATCAACCTTGAATTGAACCTTTGACATCTCAGACTTGATAGCTTGTGTTTCACTGATGAGAGCTGCATATTCTATCTTATAAGTTGCAATACTCTGCTCTAAAGTGTTTATAGTGTTTTCAATGGCTTGGGCTTCGGCTTTGGTTTGTAGAGCTTGCTCCTCGAGCAGTCCAACTTCCTCTCTTAGTGGTCCTACACGATCGAGAATCTCAGAATAGTTGACTTGAGCCTGAACCCATTGAACAAGAGGTCCGCAAGCTTT